GCTCAATCGATAGCTATTGATTCGCCATAAATGCCGTAATAGAAAAACGGATTGGACCTTGGTTTCACACCATGTTTTGCGCGTTGTCTCACGGTATTTATCACACTAATATTATAAAGGCGAAAGTTTGTGAGTGTGTATGTTTGTTACTTCTTCACGTCTAAACGGCTGGAGCGATTTTAATAAAATTTGGTATGGAGTTAGCTGACACCCTGGATTTACACATAGGCTACGTTTTACTGCGGGAAAATATCCCTAACAAACCGCGGGTAACACCGCGGGGCACAGCTAGTCGCATATAATAATAAACTTTATATTGTACCGAATGAATTGCATCTATAAGAGCTTCCTAAATACGATGACCGACGGCGCCCATTTACCGCTGCGCTACTCGTATTTTGCATTTCAAGTATAATAGGACTTGTTGGACCCGTCCTTGCTTGCTTTAGCGTAGACTAAAGTTTTTCTTTTCAGGCATGTAGTTGCTTTTGTTGCATAGTATGAAACTTCTGAGATATTTAATAAATAGGTAATTTTCATTAACACATCTCATAACTGCAATCGGCTACGTGATCAGCCACTATCAGATTTTCTGCTTCTCGTTTGTTTTTCAAGGGGTATTTCCTTGGACCAAAGGGGTCTGCAAGTGAAACAAAAAAAAGTGAATAAATGTAAAGAAACCAGAGCCCTTAGCCCACTCATTTGACTTGCTTACCTGACCAAAAAGTGACGTTTGCGTTATAAAATATTAATCATCCTTCACAATTTTCATTTTTCTGCTACTGGACCTTATATTATTTCCGATCCTATCTAATGATTATCCTGACTTCCTCCACTCCCTAATCCTGTTTTCTCTCAATCCTTCTCTTTAAACCTTACATTTCCCTACGCTTCCTTCTCTCTTTCCTTTAGCACTCTATTCTTTCTCCTGGCAGCAGCCTTGGGCTGAGAGTGGTAGTTTGTCTTACAAACTCTCGTTACTATGGCTCATTTAATAAAACTAATGAAACACACACGACAAACAAATTAAAAAACCAGAATATAAAAAATTACCTTTTCCTATAAACTCGAATATGATTCTAATCCCAACTGAGTTAAACGCACTACAACCACATGTGTAAAGAAAAGTACTGTTCGTACTACAAGTGTGAAGATTCGTCTAACCAGAATTCATACTTTTTGATTTAATCTAAGGTGTAAATCAAAAAGGGAAGATATGAGTCGTATAGTATCAAAGGCGGCAAAGTAGGACGAACCAAATATTTGGCAAATCAAAAAAACTGTTCAGTCTCGTCTTTAAGGGAGAATTTTTATAATTGACATTCATCATAACTACAAATCGTAGTGAAATGTCAATATTTTATCCTCCCTTAAAGACGAGACTAAACAGTTTTTTTTGATTTGCCAAATATTTGGTTCGCCCTACTTTGCCGCCTTTGATACTATACGACTCATATGGCACTCGCGGCTCAAAAGTGATCCGCTTAAATTGTGGTGCATGCATGACCATAATTCGCTTTAGTCACAATTGGACATTCAAACACGCTACACACAAATATTGCGTATATTGCGTGTTATAAAGATAAAACAATGCCTTCGATGCTGTTATAAAGAACACAAATAGATCAAAATCAAATAACAAATGCCTCGGTAACACTTTTCATTCATAAAACTGTAAAAACGTTTTTTTCTCAAAAATCACGGTTTGTCGTGAATGTTATACGTAATCTAATCTCCATAAAGTTATCAAAAAAAAGGACAACAATACAGCTCATGTAGTATGAGCGTACCGTATCTTCCCTTTTTGTTTTAATCTAACTTTTTAACCCTTTATTTATGCATAAAATATGAACTTGTCAGGGCCGTAGCCAGAGGTGTATTTAAGATATGGCAGCGGTAAATACAGCTAGATTAGATAATCAGGGGCATATTTATAAATCGATTCGAATCGATCGATCGATTAAGATTTTAAGATTTGCACCCACCTCTCTTCCCCGGCTGGCTTGAATGCTTCATAATACCCCTAGGTGCGGCCTTTGAACTTGCTCCCCCCCTAGGCCTTAGGCTGGCGACGTCCTTGCCTTGGATGAAGAATCTCACTAATATCAATGGGTATTTCAGCAAATACTCTCCCATCCAGACCCACAGAGTACATCTTCATCTCAGTGTCTCTGATCTTGTTGCAATATGCATTATTTGCCATCGTTTAAGTCTACCGACATCATAATTGCTGTAAATGGTATTAGGCCATGGTAATCTATATAGGGCGTCCCACGGCTACCTCACACGGAGGGAAAGTATATTAAATATTGAAGTTAGGATATTTTACTGAAAGAAGACATCATTTTATTTTTAATAATAACTAGAACTGCATTCACAGATTTTTAAAAAATCGCCTGCTACATCTGGGAATCAAACTCGTGAAAATTCGAAAAAAAATACAACATATTTTATGATAACCATCGAAAGGGTTAATCATAAAGATTATTTTTTGCTCAATAACATAGCACTTTAAATAAAAGAAAAATAATTTAATTTAACATTTTATTTAAAATTATTTAACACATACTAATACAAAATCGGATACGCCTCAAAGTAAGTTAAAATGTTGAGTTCATCATCATTGACGTTTATCATCCGCTGCTGTGGTTCTGTAAGCGCATATCAAAACGTCATAAATTTCTTAAATTATCCCCTAACCTTTTAAACACATATCGAGAAGGTAGGTCTCTATCAGGGTATCTTTCGTGGTACTACCGCAAAGCTAATATGTCTTTGTGGTTCATAAAGTAAGCTTCCATTAAATCCATTTTATATTGATTAAGTAAATTAACAAAAAAATGGTTGCCTGTAAAGTCGGTTTTACGGGCGAAGATTTTACGTGACAACGTCTTTTTCTCGGTAGAATATTTATTGATATGAATATAATTAAATTGCACAATAGGAACAAGGAATTGAATGAAAATAAGAATTGCACAAATTTTAACTATAGAAATATATTTTGTTTACTAAAACATTGTACATGTAAACTTAAACTTAACACGAGAGACTCATCGTAACGTTACCGAGCGTTACACTTTTTCATAAGTGACTCCCAGCCGCAACCTAATTTAAGACGTTGTCACGTCAAAAAATTGCAAAAAAACGAAAAAGAAACTTACAAAAAACAAAAGAACAGACGCTTGAAAATTTATATGTTCCTTTTGACGTGACAACGTCTTAAATTAGGTTGCGGCTGGGAGTCACTTATGAAAAAGTGTAACGCTCGGTAACGTTACGATGAGTCTCTCGTGTTAAGTTTAAGTTTACATGTACAATGTTTTAGTAAACAAAATATATTTCTATAGTTAAAATTTGTGCAATTCTTATTTTCATTCAATTCCTTGTTCCTATTGTGCAATTTAATTATATTCATATCAATAAATATTCTACCGAGAAAAAGACGTTGTCACGTAAAATCTTCGCCCGTAAAACCGACTTTACAGGCAACCATTTTTTTTAAATTATTATTTTTACACATCAGCCAATCGCATTGTAACTGTAAGTTCAAAAAGAAATGCATACGTACTACAGTTTGTATATCACTTTATTATTTTTATCACGTAATAAGAGTTTAAAATGCTATGTTTTTTAGTAAAAAATAATCCTTATGATTAACCCTTTCGATGGTTATCATAAAATATGTTGTGTTTATTTTTTCGAAATTTCACGAGTTTCATTCCCAGTTGTAGCAGACGATTTTTAAAAAATCTGAGAATGCAGTTCTAGTTACTATTAAAAATAAAACGATGTCTCCTTTCAGTAAAATATCCTATCTTCAATATTTAATATATTTTCCCTCCGTGTGAGGTAGCCGTGGGACGCCCTGTATATATAAAAATATATTGCTAAAAGTCGCTAAAACTCGAGAACGGCTAACCGAATTCATCTTGTCTTGGTCTTGAAATGTTCGTGGAGGTCTAGGGAAGGTTTAAAAGGTGAGAAAAAATTGAATTCTACACTACAGCTCTACACCGAAGCGAAGCGAGGGCGAGCCACTAGTTAGAAATAAACAAATTAAAAAAAATACACAAAATAATAATTACTATAAGTAATAACTACAGATGAAATTCTATGATGAAAACCGCATAAAAATGCTTTCGATAGTATATGAGATCCTCAGGTAGTCTTGGCGCCAGATTTTTTGTGAGGGCTAAATCGTTAAATCGAGATTTAACAAATTATGATTTCATTAATTCAAGTTCGGTACTGGTTTTGCTTATGCAGATTTTTATTTGAACCCAAAATCATTGATACCAAAGGAGAAATTTATCCGTTCTTTATAAATTCTCCTGTATAAGAAGTTATCTTTTCAAGCTTCGCTTTATTTTGTAACTAACAACGAAACACTGCAGTTTTAACGCAAATCTGACACAGCCTTGATATCATGTCAAGAATTACCGACAATTAGGCAAAAATGTCGACTTGGAAAAATTAAACATTTAAAAAAAAAACAATTTTCATTATCCTAATTATTATGTAATTATTGTCGTTGAAGTAAGATTCGAAATACCTGTCATTCTTATAGGCAATGCTCTAAATTATTGTCACTATTCTTGACGACCTCCGTGGCCGAGTGGTTTGTACGCCGGGTTTCATGGCGTCGCCGACTCGAGAGGTCGAGGTTCGAATCCCGGTGGGGGCAGATGTTTGTGTGATGAATACGAGCATTTGTACTCCTGTCATGGATGTTTAATATGTATTTCCATATAAATATACTTATATATGTACTGTATATGTATTCTATCCGTTACCCTAGTATCCCATAACACAAGCCTTATAGTGCTTACTTTGGGGCTAGGCTAATTGGTGTGAGTGTTGGAAATATTTATTTATTTATCCACAACGAAGTTATATACCTAACGTTACCGTTTGCCTCTCCATAAGTCAATGACATATGTCGACTCTGTGAAATAGGGCATAGGTGGGCTTGATTCATTCAAACATTGTGTCATCAACAGGGCAACAAAGTACATTCAGCATCGGAAACACGTACGGTGGAGGTGGGTTTCATAGACCCGCTGGACAAGAAGAAACACAACAAGATCAAGACGTCCAAGTACAGCCTACTCCTGTTCATCCCGAAGAACCTGAGCGAACAGTTCCGCAGAGTTGTCAACTTCTACTTCTTGATAGTTACACTCATCGCCTTCTTAATCGGTAAGTGTGGATTCATCATCGTCATCAATCAGCCTATTAATGTCCCTACTGCTGGGGCACAGGCCTTCCCCATGGATAGAATAGGGAGATTGGGCCATGAACCACGCGGGCTCAGTGCGGATTGGCGGGTGCTAACGACTCGCAGATGCGTGCCTTCTGAAGCACGGAGGAAATCGAGATAGAAGATTTTTGGTCATCCATCCAATGACCGACCACTGCGAAAGTCGCTTAATTTCAAGTAGTGTGGATTCAATTTCTGAGAATTTACAAATGAAGGTTTAGGGAGCTCCTTCGTGCAGTGTTCAGCGTGGTTGGTCTGCGGTCTAAGTTGAACATCTTTCATATTGGCAGGTCATCAGATGGTTCACTTAATATACGTATCTATTATTTAAGCCTGTACGTTCTTTGGTAGTTTTCGATTATACCTGCACAAGTAACAAGTGTCCATCCGCGCTGGAACTGGGGTTACGTGTTTTATTATGGTCCTTTTTTATGGGTGTTTATGCTGTTGGTAGCAGATGACCTTTACAGCGTCACCAGGTTTGGTGACGGCGAGATCCTAAGAGGACCTCAAGCCGAGAATTGGCAAGTACCTCTAGAGGTATATCAGGCGGATGGCATCTCCCCATCCCCCCCTCCCGACTGGAGCCTCTAGACCACTCGAACCTGATGGGGTAGACTCAACTAGAGGGCATCTCTGAGACTCGGACCTCGGCTGTAGTTAGCCGTTGTCGTGGGGGGCGGGGAAAAACGCCCTATTATGGTTCGTTCACCCTAATGGGCAATAGACTGATAATGTGATATGAATTTTCATTGATCGAGTGTCTGATCTTAGATAAGATTGTATGATATAGTCATGGGGGTGCTCCGTGGATATAGTATATTCTTAATTAAATGTGTGTTATCACGCAGAGGGTTCTCTACCATCGTATATTATTATCTTATCGTAGATCGTAATATCATGTACATGAATCTACAGGTATAACTTGGTACAAGAAACAAGATATAGGATGCACCGATTGTCAAGTTGTACAAAGGAGTATAAAAAATATGTTAGCGACAATAGAAATATTGACTTGACAGTAACAACCTATTCAATTCAATTAAATTCAATTCAAAAATCATTGATTCAGTTTAGGCTTTTACAAGCACACGTGAAAGTCGAAAACTACGGCAACCGGGAAGAAACTCAGCAAGGGCTGCTTTTTTCTCCCTGTTTTATTTCATACTGTGTCGTCAAATTAAAAGCTGCCATCAAACTTGCAAACATGTGTTGAGGTCAACTTCCATCACATAATGTCAATTAGGTAACAATAAACAATCAACGAATTTACTAACAATAAGTATAAAGAGAAGCCTAGGTAACAACAGACGGACGCCTCGGTCATGTCGCCTTTCTTTTGTTTCTGAACTGTCACGGAGCACCCCCACTAGAGTCCGCATACAAGGGCAAGTGCTTACGCCAAGCTTAAGTAGTATATTACCTATCCGTGAGGCACGCCTACAGACGTCGCGATACATCGTTTCATTCGGTAACCGAGCGTTGGTCGAACTGCTTCTCTCGTTTTTGTGTTAAAAAACTGTAAAAAATGCCGTACTGTGCAATTAAATTGTGTGGAAAGTTGAGTACAACTTCCAGTCTTAAAAAAATGGTATTACTTTTCACTGGTTAGTTTAAATGCATTACAAAAAGACAAAAATACTGTTATATTAAATTGCTGTTAATGTATTTATTTTTTGGTGAACGCGTTGATGTCTTTTTACACTATCTTTTTATCTATCTCGCTCTCACACCGGCACGTGTATTGCTAGTGACTCAGACGCAGCTCATGTCTCAACGCGTAAGTTTGTCGATAAGTTTGTCAGCTATGGAAATGGAAAAAATAAATAAAAACTATTTATTTCATCGTATACAATAATAGATGTCATAAGTATACAACCAACAGTTTTTATTTGATTGAAGTCAAACATATCCTAATAAAATTTTAAAAACGCGAAAATATAGATAGAAAAATACTAATAGTACGTAAAGTGTCGTTTTTTCGACGGGTATCTAATTAATGTTTTTAATTAACGCCTTTAAAGCAAATTTTATTGTTGTAATACTTACTATAAACTGATTTAATTTAAAATATTTGTGATATTCAAATGCATGGTCGGTTATACGTCGCCCTTAGCCATCTCTTTTCTTCGCGGTCTGTACCTGCTATATTGTTAACAGCGCATTCAGAATTGCGCGTGAAAAGTAAAAAAAAATAAGGTCTATATTCTTCCACATATAACACTAAATCGTAAAATTTTACGAACTTGACGCATGCATTTTAATTAAGACCTTATGCCGTATGCATTAAAGGTGACTTTCAATGTTTAAATAAGGCATCATATTGTTTTTGACCATGCGATCATCTTACGGACCTCCGTGGATCGTCCAATGTACCTTTTGGACACGTTTCGGCCACGATTTTGTTCGTGTTGTTGTATCTAGGGTAGTTAATATCGTTGCATTAATACTTCTTGTCCTGGACGTGTTTTTTTTTGTGTTGCTTACATATTAAATTATATGTAGTTACTAGTCGCGTCATGTAATTAGAACGCTGTAAGAAAGTGGAGAGGGTATGATTACGCATTTGCGCACCAAAGTACTAGGCCTCTATTCTAAATTGTTTATCGATAGAAAATATCGATATTTTCTAAAATCGATCTTACCCTCATCACTTCGCTGCACTGAGTATATGATCTGACCTTGACGCGTCCAATCACAGCGGGGCTGACCTCCCTGCACCCCACCGACTTTGGCGATTTTGATTCCAAACAAAATTTGTGTGATGCGGACTCTAGTGGGGGTGCTCCATGTGAACTGTAAAAAATTACGTATTCATGTTTGTTTCAGAAAGTCCAGTGTCACCATTCACTAGCGTCCTGCCACTAAGCTTTGTGGTGCTAGTGACTGCTGTGAAGCAAGGATTTGAGGACTATCTGAGGCATAAGGAGGACAAGAAGGTCAACAACCAAGTGGGTAAGTATATTATTCATTCTGCTTATACGAATACGCGCCATAAGTAGGAGATGACCGCATATCTGGTGGGGACGCTCTCTCTTGTGGGTAGGGTTTACAATAAAGTACGCGAAACTACTTTATTTAATGTGATTTGATTACTAGCGATTTAATTTTACATAAAATAAACAAAAAGAGGTTGATAGGAAGAATTTTTGCGTAAAGCGGACAGAAAGTATGAATATGTTGCCCTTAGCTAATTCCTGCAACATTTTCGTGGCTGTATGCCTTTGTATCATGACCTTTCCCATTGCGGAAAAAAACTGCAGTATCCGCAAATTATTTATTAAAAGTTGCTAGTAGTAACTTAAAATATATTTTAAGCTTACTAATAAAGTGGAAGAAAAAGTACTTTATTTTGGACACAATGTACTTTTTTTCTACCTTTAATATCCAATGTACTTTATTTCGACAAAAAAAGGTGGCAACCCTACTTATGGGTCCAAGGCGTGAGTAAATATTCAATAAGTACCAGCAAGTTCATTGTCAACAGCAGCATATCCGGGCCAATACGACCCGAAAACCTTAAAAAAAGCGTACTCCTTCCTAAATGCCGGCATCGCATTTTTAATACTCCCGGTGCGAAGGAATATGTCTATTCAGGACATGACACTGAACAGCATAATAATATGCAGTACGATACGTTGAAATAAAATTTCACTTCTAAGTTCGGTAGTTCTTATTTATGACAGTAGACAGAAATGTGTTGGGTCATTTGTGCATTAACAGTCACATCGCAGTGACTGTTAATGCAATCATTAAGTAATAGATATTTGAATATTTTCACAAAATATGTTATGGGTGATTGTGACCACTTACCAGGTGAGCCGTCAGCTCGTATGCCCCCCCTATAATCTATGTATAAAAAAGTAAATTTATGTTAGTGACCATGAAAGTTTAAAACAAGTTAAAGACCAATGATGGCACTTAAACCTTCAATTTAGGATTGGCTACCTGTTATTAGAATATGCAAATACAAACACACTCATTTTGCCGCTTCATATGATTAAATAAACAGTCTCTTAGTTTAGATATTTGGTGAAAGCTCATATTTTGCCATTTTGTCCAATAGGAATTCACTGTAACTGTAGTGTTGCTCGATCCTACCACGGCATCAATGTCCCGTTGAAGTGTCTTAGAATCACTAGCCAAAATCTAATGTTTTCATTGAACAATTCCCCAATATTCACCTGCCGGCCCAGACTGACTTTATCACAATTTCCTCGATTTTACGACTCGTGTGATATGATAAGCAACTGACGCATAATCTGTTTTACCTAGCTGACCATATTAATATTATTGAAGTGCGGCTTTATTTCATTCACGCTTAAAAAAATGCTTGTTAATTACTTTCCTGAAATTTTTTATCCCGATCTGATTAAAATGAAATTTCGTTCGTTAATTCTCTCTCGCGCGCTAAATATTTATTTATGAATAAAATTAATAACATCCTTATTATATTTAATCATTAAAATTAACTTTGAATTTCATTATTCATAACTTGTTTATCGTGATTTTTTTAACGTTTGATAAATTATAAGCTTTTTCGTTTAATCACTAGGTATGCAAACACATTTGCTTCATTGTGGAAGAGACTAGAGACTAGTAATAATATTTTTTTTAAGCATGTAACTGCTTGATGTTAAAATCTAAAGAAAATATAATTAGAAAAATATCCACGCGAACCAGGCAGCAGACGGGACTCGAACCCGCACCCTTCGCTATCCGGGCGAATGCACTGACCAATTATTTTCCTAGCTTTAGGCTGGCCGCATATATACGTTTTCCGTATTCGTTTTCCGAATGCGTAATTTCGAATTGGAATTCCGTGAGACTACCGCAAACGTTCGCCTTTCTTCATTCGGAATGTATCAACGTCAGTACAGATAGTGATAGCGTGGCGAACGCACTACGATGGAGGACGACGATTTATTAGCAATTGCATTTCTGTTATTAGTAAATAAGAAAAAGAAACGTCGTCGGTACTGGATACATCCACTAAATACTAGAAGAATCTATGAGAGCCCGTATTATTTGAAGAGAGCTAAGTTACGAGCACACCCAGAAAAATTCTTTGATTTCTACAGGATGTCAACAAATTCTTTTGATGAACTTCATAATGGCATACGTGAAAAAATAATAAAGCAAAATACTTGCATGAGATTATCTTTGGATACGGAAGAAAAACTAACCATAACCTTGAGGTAAGTTATCTTTATTTTTACATCTGTACTTATTAAAAAAAAAACAACAATCGTATTTAATGCTTCAATTTTAGGTATTTGTTAATATTATCTCCCTCTTCTTGTCCTTGAGATTGTACTAAGTAAGTGGTTGCTTCGGTATCCTCGGCATGTTGAAGATTATCATCATGGAGAGATGTGGAAGGTGCTGTGTAGAGATGACGTGGTGGTTGAAGCGGTGGCAGATGTGTAATAGAGTTAATAACCACTCTGGAATTGTTTGGGGCAGATTGATAATTTGTGGTTTTATTTTGCGAAGAAGATGAACTAAAGATTGGCAATGGAGTTTGCGTTTGATATAACATATTAGGTGAAGTTTCTGGTACAGGAATATATGAATAACAGGGAGAATAACCACGGCTTGATGCTGGCGTTACTGAACGTTGACTGAAGTTATCATAACTCAGCGTAGAAGATGGAGAGGAATTGTACTCAGTGTTAATTTTTTTTACCAACTGCAGCATTCCCAATTTAAAATCAATTTTTTGATTTTCATTCATATGTTTCATATGTGTTCTAAAGCTTAATAAAAATTTCATGTCATCGTCTTCTACTTCTTGTCGTTTCTGATTGGCTTTCTGTTGGTTTTGATGTAGGATACTGAGTATTTGGGAGGGGATATCTTTTTTGCTTCGTTTTAAACTATTTGCAGGTGGAGTTGATATAGGTGATGGAGGTTGTAATATATTTGTATCCACTTGTTCCATGTTGTGTTCCTCTTGGGTTTCAGATTCTTGTGAAATATTAACGTGTAAATCATCATATTGATAGTTTCCTTCGGTATTTCTTTTATCAAAGACTGGTATAAGAAAATACAGCAGGTCTGCATAAACATATTTTTTAACCTTTTTAGCGGCACTGCCTGTAGGAGCACTTTTATTTTTATGGAAGTCTCTTCGAAAGTAGTCTCTTATGTGTGTCCATTTTTTCTTGACCTCAGCACCTGTAATATAATTAACATTATTTTAAATCTTTTTTTTTTCAGATTCCTGGCAACTGGTAAAAATTTTGAAGAGTTACACTTTGAATATTTAATGGGAAGCAGAACAGTATCAGCCGTAGTTAAGGAAACCTGTACAGCAATATGGGAAGTTTTTCAACCTTTGGAAATGAAACCACCATCTTCAAAAGAACTGGCTAGAAATTGCTGAAAATTATTATAAAAGAACTAATTTTCCTAATTGTGTAGGTTCAGTGGATGGGAAACATATTCGTTTGATATCTCCTCTGCATAGTGGATCTGCCTTTTATAACTATAAAAATTTCTACTCTGTTGTACTATTAGCAGTAGTAGATTCTGACTACCGTTTTATAGCTGTAGATGTTGGTGCTTATGGCAGAGACAGCGATAGTAATATTTTCAACAATTGGAATTTTGGAAAAAATCTAACTCAAAATCGCCTTAATATGCCTGAAGCAAAACCTCTGCCGAATACCAATGACACACCTCTACCTTTTGTGTTTCTTGGCGATGAAGCGTTTCCACTCAGTAACAATTTTATGAAACCATATCCGAGAAGTAATCTCAATACTCAACGCAGAATCTTCAACTACCGCCTCAGCAGATCACGACGTGTAGTGGAATGTGCCTTCGGCATTCTCTCGAATAAATGGAGAATTTTTCACACTAGCATGACGATTCCACCAGACTTTGCAGTATTAGTAACAAAGACAGCGTGTGTTTTACATAATTTTGTTCGCAGACGAGACGGCTATCGATTTGAAGATACTCTGACACATTACTTTGAAGATATACCTTTTCGTAGTCCACAACACAGATCTACCAACCGAGGTCGAAGCATAAGAGACAATTTTGCTGAGTACTTTATGACACCGGCAGGGGAAATATCGTACCAATATAACGAGAGAATTAGTAATTTACAAGAATAAATATGATTTGTAATAAAAAGTATACTAAAGAAAAAATCTTACTTTTGTTTTCTTTGTCCACTTTAGTGCACGTGTCCCAATCCTTTATAACCTTTTTAAATACATTCTCCCAGGCCAAATCTTTGACATCTCTATTGTGATAGTCGTTGTCATGAATATTCCACAGGCAGGGGTATTTTTCAACCGCCAATATTAATGTTTCTGTCTCACACATTTATCGTGTTGCAAATTTATGCGTAACCAATACAGAGAATACGTCCGATGCGCGCGGCGCGGGCGCGAAACTGAATAGATATTTCCGAACGTGTGCGCCGCCACAAACAAAATGTATGCAAGCGGTGCGTTCCGCATGACGTCATTAGGTTTTTTCGAGTAGGTTTCTCCGAACGGCGCGACTTGCACACGAAACGTACGTGCGGAATTGATTCCGTTCGAAAAAAAAGCGAATGTGTGCGTCAGTTAATGTATTTTCTACTGATTTCATGCATTCGGATGTCCGAATACGTAAAACGAATTCGGAAATCGAATGCGGAAAACGTTTATATGCGTCCAGCCTTAAACTGCAAGGCAGCGCCATCTCTTCGCATTGTAGGTAACCCACAATGTCAAATGAATACTTTTACGAGTATTAAACATATGAAAAAAAAAAGAAATAGCATTTATAGTTATGATTTTTTTAAGCATATAACTGTAGAGAAAATTGTCATAAATATTGTTAAAAATTCATGTTTTAATTATTTCTAATAGCATTACCAAATTTTTTGTTACATTTACAGAAAACCTGAGTGATATCATACACCAAAAGGTGTAAAGGTTCTGAGCAATTCCGTTAGGCGATTGACCCCTGGGGGCCATTCGCCTAACGGAAATGCTCTGGAAAACGCTAACGCTTACGATTTCATTTTGTTATTTCTAGCCCCCTGAGGTTTACAAATGCCTCGCGCTCTTTTTTTGTTCTTTCGCATTGATAATAACAATATTAAAAAATGAGCGTAAGGTATTTGAAAACCTTCGGCAGTCAGAAATAACAAAATGAAATCGAAAGCGATACTCATAGCAATTCCGTTAGGCGATTGACACCCTAGTATCATCATGGACTTAGTTAAGAACGCATGGACTAGTTAGTCAAGTCCATGGATACCTATTACTAATGTCTAAAGGTTATCGTGGTACGCTTTACCATCGTCATCAAAAAAACATTTCCTTAACCGATGGTAGGGAAAAACTATATGGACGATTCAAAATAATTGTATCATGCTTCCTATTTGAAGAGAGATAATTTGAATTGAAAAAAATGAATGTAATGATAAAAAATGATTGCTCCGCCATTTTGGGTATGCCGCCATGTTGGATTTAGAATGACGTCACACTGTTAATTATGCATTGTCATCCGAACTGAACGTGACTATTTCAGCTCAATCGGTTGAGGGCAAGTGCCTTAAAATTGAGTTGCAAGATTCCACCCGAACAAACACACATTGCAAGTTAAATAAAAGCTTGTAAAATGGTGCGCAGTTTCTTTAATAATTATAATGGGTAGTGGCGCTTCAATATAATGGGTTAATACTGTATTTTTCTTTATACGTGCAGTGGCCAGATCCAAATTTTAACCGGCTGATATTTGTAATCTTATCTTAATCTATGGCCTTGTCTCACTTGTGACAAGATACTTTATGACGATTGATTTTCAAAAACTGCGAAATACTGAAGTATCTTCTACTTCCAAAAAAAAACATAAGAATTATATTATTTACTATAATGTGTAATGTTCCGAGGAACATTTTGTTACGTACTATGCCCACGGCCATCTTTTATCACGCGCAATGCAGTACCCACAATGAATTGGTTGCGTGCACATTGGAAGGTACCCAAAGACATTAATGCACACTATGGAGGTACCTTATCTAAAATACTGCGCGTCTTCAGAAGCATTTCCTCATGCGTATGATTGAGCTGTAGAATGAGTTTCCTGTTGAGCACCACGATATGATATATAACGCGTTTTTATCGCGCTCAATTGTCAAATTACTATGGAGTTTGACAGTTAGACGCAATAAAAAACGTGATATAATGTAAATTGTGATGCTCATGCTACGGGGACTGGTGTCAATTATCCATAGGCCACGGTTACAACTTCCGCATGGGACTGTGTGAAACTGTGAAGTGTATGATCGCAAACAGAATACTATTATAATATTACATATTCTTGTGGCACAAATTTTATTACACATCCCTTTTCCCAATATTTTATCGGTGGCGCTTATGCGCGTTACTTAGGTACGTTCCCTAAATTATTCTAAAGCGATTTGATGCATTCTGGTTTACGCGTCTTTGCTCGTGAATAGGCCATAATAGTGATGATTACAGAGAGGAGATATGTTATGGTAGGAATACACGACGACACCAGGCACTAGACACTCAGTGTATACATCGACTGTCTCAGTATGTCCACTGCCGCGACATTTAGCTGAAGATGTAGTGGCGATGTCGTTCAGTATCCGTGTCGCTGCAGTGGAGACAGGATGTGCGACAGGCAGACAATAAAATACACTTGAACCGGGACATTGGACGAGTGTTTACATTAGTGCTTTACAATAATGTAAAACAATGGAAGGGGAAAGGACCTATTCGAAGGGTAGACGATGAAAAAAAAATCTTCCTCACGTTACATGTTGGGAGCTACCCTAAAAATATGTTTAAAATTTTTATTCTACCACTTTGTCGGCGGATTGATACTTACCTTCACAAAATAACAGCTCTCTAGTGATAACAGTCTCCAAGCAAAACCTCGTACGGACAGGCAGACAGACGGACAGGACAAAACTATAAGGGTTCCTTGTCAACACTACGGAATCCTTAAAAGTGCCGCCCTGTTACAATGGCACTATGTACCTATGTCTACATAATCCCTGCTCATATTTGTTTTTCCCAACAGTGGATATAGTGCACAAGGGAGTGATCAAGAAAGTCACCAACTCCAGCATCGCACCGGGCACACTGGTCCGGGTGGGACGTGGCAAAGAGGTACCGGCCGACCTGGTCCTCCTGTGTTCGGCTGACGTCAAGGGAAAATGCTTTGTGACCACTGCCAACCTCGATGGAGAGACCAATCTGAAGACGCTGCGCGTGCCACCGCCTCTTGTTGGCTACACAGCAGGTATACTACGAGTCACTTTATGGCGGTTGCTAAGTAAGCAGCAAGCGAACTTACTAGTTACTTGTGATGGGCCCCCGTTTCCGCACGTAGACTTCGTACTTGAACCATTGTGCAAGCAGGGTTGGTTGGACTAGCAAGCACAGCCAGCCCAACTCTTTTCAGAAGCGAAGTAGTCTCCTGGGGCTCTCATAGGCCTCTGAGAGCGTCCTCGGCTTCCCGAGGATTGATGCCTGGTGTTCTGTCAAGCTCATGCATTCCAGGATAACATGAGCGGCCGTCTCGCCTGCTTCTAGATAGCCTCAGCACAGAGAATTACCTATCTGTAACACGTATGGTTAGTATATACTTATTAAGTAGGCAGTGCCCTGTTATAAGTGCCCAGTATTACACGGAGAATTCAATTCGGTTAAGATTTTGTAGTTTTCTAGTTAGTCTGGGGATTAGGCTAGGAAAAATATCCTTAGATTGCATGCTGCCCTCGGTACGGGCCCAACGGGTATTGTGGCTCAGTATGGTTCAGCAGCGAGCGCAACTATGCGCAGGTTTCAGTTCAGTGGGACTCTAGTGTGATCCTGCATGCGCCTACATTGTTACTACATTGGCAAGCAAGCGTATGGCTCGCCTGATGGTAAGCGGCCACCATAGCTTATAGACGTTTGTGATACCAAAAATGTCACACGCACCGTTGCCTACCCCGTGGAGCCCTGGGACCACATGCCTCAATATCTGTACCTGGAACCTTACCGACAGAAACACAACACCACCAAAAGGTAGTGCTATTTTACTTTGATCTCCAAGGTTCGCGCTTCAATTTGAGCGAATAATTTCGCTAGAGGCCTCTCTTAACATCACCCTCTCAATTACTGCGCCGTGACTTGCGCTGACTTCACAGTCGCACCATGTTGGTATATTTAGCAGTATGAAAAAGGTGAGAAACATGTATTCGGCCCCACTGATGGTCATCAGCGGCCAGCAAAACCATTATTTTTATTAATTTACTTTGTTTGTTGCTTGTGTAATGAATTTCATTCATCATATATTAAAAAAATAGTTAAACTTAAGAATATAATATTTGCTTTGTAGATATTCTACCACAAGGCATACAGATAGAAATACCGAATCCTATAGCAGATCTGTACACCTTCTATGGCCGCTTGAATATTCCCGGTCAGGACACAATAGTTCTGAGCACGGATAATTTAATGCTGCGAGGGTCCAGGGTCAAAAATACAGACTGGGCAATCGGTTGCGCTATTTATACCGGTAAGTAAAAATAATCATTTGTTCCGTTGAACATCTTACTGGGTACCAATTTTCATCTTAATATTATCATCGTCAGCGAAATAATGAGACAAAGAAGAAAGAAGGAAATCTGGCCATGGCCCAAGGGCGTCGTCGCTCGCGACGAAGACGATCTTCTTTATCCTCTCTTCCATAGTGATATCTATGAATTGGCTACAAAATCTGCAATTTAGATACATTTCAAATGGACCACTTATAATAATGACTCTGCGCAGTAATATACGATATTTATTTATTATCTTAGGGCAGCTAACAGCTTATGAAAATAAAGATAACAGCAAAAAATATTACTAAAAGCTATTGACAAGCTACCACATATAGAAATCTGTACTGATTAAAAATCTAAACAAAAACACAGAAGTGTCAACCATACAGTAATAACAGTTTTACATGAAATGTTAGTAGTGAGAGAAAACATAAAATATTACAATACGTACGTTACATAATAACTAATTATTCAGCTGAATCAAACTCATATTTATACTTTTGATGCTATTAAAAAAGATATCCATGTTGGTGTCAGTTTTATTAAGGGCCGAACATGCTCTAATAAGAAAACTGTTTTGTCTATAGTTCGTGCGAACAGAGGGAATACTAAACGGCTTATATGTATTATTGCGAGGTGCCCTTGAAGGTATCTTAAAAGCAATTTTCGCTAACAAATCAGGGCAGTCCACCAAGTTTCTAATTATTTTAAGGAGAAAAGTAATATCTGCATTGCGACGCCTAACATAAAGTGGTAGTAAATGAAATTTATTGCAGCGGTCTGCATATGACATTTTTGGAATTTTGAATTTAATGTTAAGATGACGTGTAAATTTCTTTTGAATTTTTTCGATATAATTAATATAAGTCTCATAACAGGGATTCCAAATCTGACTAGCATACTCAAGGTGGCTACGAACATAAGCACAATAGAGAATCTTTACGGTCTTCATCTGTCTAAATGGTTTCGACGAACGAATGACAAATCCGAGTGAGCGTGAGGCCTTATTAAAGGAGTTGAGGATATGTTTGTCAAATAACAGTTTAGAGTCCAAGATGACCCCCAAATCCCTAGCTTCACAACGACTAGATAATACTTCGTTTTTAATACTGTAATCGAAACGATAAAGATGTTGTTTACGAGTAAAGCTTATAGAAAAACATTTAGACACATTAATATCCAGTTTGTTAAGATGACAATATGAGTCCAAGCGCCTGAGATCGTCTTGAAGCTCAGTCGCGTCCTCAATATTATTGACAACTTTAAAAACTTTCATGTCATCCGCAAATAAAAGATAATTTGAATTTAAAAAACACTGTCCAATATCGTTAATAAAAGTAATAAAGAGCAGAGGACCAAGCAGGGATCCCTGCGGGACACCAGATGGAATGTATGACCAAGAAGAAATATATCCGTTTAGTACAACAGCCTGAGACCTTTTGGATATGTACGATGAGAACCATCTGAAGAGATCTCCCCTAATGCCCACCTTCAGAAGTTACAATAGCAACATTCTGTGATCAATTCGATCAAAGGCCTTCGCATAATCAGTATATACTGTATCCACTTGTAGGCCCTGATCCATTCGATCAGACAGATACTCGGTAAACACAGCCAAATTTGACACAGTGGAACGATTCTTCAAAAATCCGTGCTGATGAGGACTAAAACTAGATTTCAAACTGTTATAGACTTGGTCATAGACTATTCTTTCGAACACTTTGGCCAGTTGACACAGTTTAGATATGGGTCTATAATTCTCCACACAATCTTTAGCACCTTTTTTATGAATGGGCGTAATGAAAGCGGACTTCCATTTGGCAGGCATGACACCCTCCTTTAGAGACCTTTTAAACAGAATTGAAACTGGATAACATAATTCGTCAGCACATCTTATTATGAACATCGAAGGGATACCATCCGGTCCAGCAGACTTATTTACATCCAAAGATTTCATCATTTTAAGAACCATATCAGTATCAAATTGAATAGAGCAAATGTCACTAACACCATCGACACTATGCTCATCATGACCAGCAAAGCCACAGTTTGTGTTTAGATCAGAGATTTCAGAGTCCAAAAACATAGAATTAAAATATCCAGAAAAAAGCTCACTGATTGTAGCACCATCCTGACACTGCTGACCCCGATAGGACATGCAAGTTGGATACGACGATGAATTTCGAAGATTTTTGTTGTAGGACCAAAATGATTTGGGATTATTTACAATTGAATTTTCAATAAGGGAAATATATTTAATATAACAATCACTTTCAACATATTCAGCCCTATCACGGAGGATTCTGAATGAAAGTTCATCACACTTGTTACCATAAACCTTAAATTTACGGTGATATTTATTTTTTTCTTTTAAAATTTTTAATAGCGCTGAATTATACCATGGCGGAAACTTGTTTTGGGCAGCTAATTTGGTTGGCACAAATTTATCAATTAAACTAAAAATTATGTCATAAAATGCGTCAACCGCCATGTCCACTGTGCCACGGCCGAGGAGTACGTCCCAATCAATTTCTGATAACCTCGATCGAATTGACTCATAATCAGCTCGATTGAATATACGTACAGTACGCTTCGGTGCTATAAGTGGATTGAGTTCGACAAACTTGACCGCAATATCCAACGCTCTATGGTGTGGGTCCTCCGGTACAAGGGGATCGTGACTACCAGATACTGATACAAAGTCGTTAGATATTACTAGATCTTATATTCTACCGTGATTATTATGGATATAATTAAACTGATCGAAGCAACACAAATTCAACGTTTCAATAAAATCTATGGCAACATCACCCGACAGTTGGGTCGCCTGCAAGCCCTCAGCAGTGGGTTCCCATCTTATGGAACTCATGTTAAAGTCACCGATGATGAGGAATTTATCTAATGGATTTTCATTTCTGATTGTTGAAAGTTTATTCATAAAATTGTACAATTGCACATTCTGAGAATTACCTTTACTTTCGTCACATAAGTAGACTATACAAATATGTACCTGTAATTTTAATTTATGTTTTAAAATGTTATTACTAGTACAACCAGTAAATGAGATGGATATCCACAGGTCCTCCGCACTAGATTGCCACTGTGACCTACCAGTCACCATAAGACTGCGGCGAGTAGCTATCAACACCCCACCTCCCCTAGTCTGCCCCGTTCTAGCATAATCCCTATCACGACGCCACACCATATAACGGTCATCAAATAGCTCACTATCCGATATTCCCTCTAAAAGCCAAGTCTCAGTTAAAGCTATTAGATCATAGTCACTCAACATTAAATTCCGAAGAAAAATGTCAGTCTTAGTTCGTAGCCCCCGAACATTTTGGTAATAAACGTTAAGATATGATCTATTAGCCATTTGTATTGGAGTAACAAAAGCTATATATAACTGTACGAAACAAATAATTTAAAGAGATTGAAGCAATAAAAATTAATAAGTTGCTTACCAGTAGACAGCTTAGAAGAATCTCATTTAAATTAATCACCAACTTTGCAGCAATCGCAATAACAAAAACACTTCTCAAATTATGACTGCAATAATAATTCTTGAATACAAAAAAAAATATTTTTTTAATATTATACACTAACTTGAAAACTATCGCAATAATACGTGAAATCACCAAAAAAGCACTACGGCGCATCTTATTTAACTTAAAATTCACCACGACCGACAGACAATACAATAATAAAAAGATAATAATGTAATTACAACTGTAGTTATTAACAGATATCATAAAATATTCTTCTTTAATTTTTTGTACGGTACTCGAGTAATTGTAACTGGGTATAGCAAAATAAACCCACAGAAAAATTAACAATTGACAAATAGGGGAGCTAAACCTATGGCCCGCTGATTCAAAACACAGTAAAAACAAAATATGAGAAAGTTCTTTTAAATTAGTGGTAAAAAATAGTAAGAGAAACATATTTTCATTTTTCTCTCTAATATACAATAAATAAACTTGAAAAATATTTTGCACAATAGGTACAGTAATAGCACTTAAGAACTTAAATAAGAAAAACCAAAACACATTATGTTTAGGATGCACTTCTACTGAGTTTGATGAGGTCTTTTTCTTTTGTAACCGTAAACCATGGCGAAGTCGCATCTTTTCGAACAAAAATCTTGGCATGCTTGACCCAAACAAACTGAAAATTATTTTCACTCGCCAGTAACTTAGTCTTCGATAATAATTGTTTCATGCGGCCAGTTAAGTGATCGTTAACAAAAATTCGGTGAGTCCCCTGAAGACCAATGTCGGATGGAGTCAGAGATTTGTTCAATCGGGCAGCAGCTACAAAGTCCTCTTTGGTGTATTTGTTAACAAAAGATACCACGATAGCCTTGGCACCCTTATCTCGTGTCGGAACACGGGTCACAAAATTGATACTTGATTTGGTGACAGAATACATGATTTTAGACCCTATTTTATTGATAATATCGAATAAATTTTCATTTGCCTTTTGGGGCACACCTTTGATCTCGATGTTGTTCGCCCGCAGCCACTGATCCTTTGCAATGAGCTCGTCTTCTAATGCTCCAACACGCTGAGAAAGGGCAACGACCTCATCTTTTATTTTTTCGACGTGTTCCACCCGCTTCTCTAACTTTGTTATTTGGTTGCTAAAAGTCTTGGTGTTCGCCTTGAGTTCCCTGACATCTTCCTTTATGGTTTGAACATCAGTAGCCAGTGAGACTAGAGATGCAATTATTGCCTGAATCTTGTTTAATTCTCGCATTATATTCTCTAAAGTAAGAGGAGTTGATGATTTAGGCGATACAGGAGCATCAACAACGACGGCCGGTGGCCTGTTAGATGATGTCTTACAGCCGCTGCATTTCCATGTAGATCTGCGGTCACCTAATTTGCGATATCCCTGCTCAGTGATAGAGCTACACGCAAAATGGAAATGATTTAAGCACGAAGAACAGCGCACCCCGTCATCTACTGACTCACGACACCGATTACAGAGTGTTTGATCCATCTTGATGAGATGCGACCCCTTGGATTGACAACACCTGACTTGATGATGAACGAAGTAAATCAATACAAAAGGTAAGGTAACCAGTCGTGCGAGATACTAAGAACCAGTGTTAATATCCGTAAGGTCTTGATAAATGGTCGGTCCGAATGTACGCGTCCAATGACGATAGACACCGGCGGCACATATAAAAATCGGTAGGCGAGAGGTCTAATACGCTGGTTACACGCGGCGAGATTTACGTAAACGCGGGTACTCACACTGCGCGTTGCACGAGACTGTGATATATAAGTAGTTACTAAGGCAAACGTTCACTTTTATGTTTGCCATCTTAATAAAATAAAAAAAAACTATACAAAACTCAAAGGTGACTGACTGACATTGTGATCTATCAACGCACAGCCCAAACGACTGGACGGATCAGCCTGAAATTTGGCATGCAGGTAGATGTTATGACGTAGGCATCCGCTAAGAAAGAATTTTGATCAATTCTACCCCCAAGGGGATAAAATAGGGAATGAAAGCTTGTATGAAACTTTGTCAATTTTAAACCGATCGGGCTGAGACTTTGCATGCAGGTATAAGAAGAATCATAGATGAATGTCATTGTGTATAATACAAGCCTGAGAACAAAAACCGTAGTCTACACTTCAGCTCTACACCGAAGCGAAGCGAGGGCAGGCCGCTCTAGTACTACATATTTGTTTACTGAACTGTGCTGTTTCATTTAAGATTTCAAGAAGCATGTAATTGGTAGATTGCACAGGGTTTCTACAGTAAACAGTAGATCTTGGGTCTAATCAAGTCGGCCACCCCTGCCCTAATAGGGTTGTCCACCCCTAAAATTTTTATTTTTATATTTTGGTATTTTTTTTTATAATGCGGCATTAAAAATACATACATCCTATAACGGGCCATTGCAAAAGTTCTTCACCGCCGACTGAACGCATTAAACATCATCAGTCGTCACCTTCAGAAATTCACTAATGAAGTAAGTATGTATATACCTCCTTGGACAATATGAGGGCAACTTATCTCTGCGGTATTGTACTCGTATGACTAATCTTTGCAATATTCCTAATTCCTCACCCACTTACGAGTAATATCAGTTGGGTGTAGTCATTTGCCTAGCCTTTTTTAACGTTTCTTTCATAAACTAAATTGTATATAATTTGTCCAAGAATCGAGAGAGAACTCTATTGCTGTCGCTCACATGTCCGTCTGTCCGTCATCTCGTCTGTCATAACCCAGATTTTACAAACATACGGTCTATCCGTGTGTCTTACTTAATAACTATTTTGGAAATAATATAAGTGAAAATCGACACGCATTTGGCCATTTTTTGTTTTTCGTATTTAGTTCGTCATATTTATTATTTGATCATTTGCTGCCCTTTGATAGTCCAGTCAATGCACGGTTTTCCGTTTTCCCTAGCAATTCTACCAAACAGCACCGATTACCACCAAAATTTGGCTGTAGGTTCAACTTAACATCTACATCAAAGCTGCGAATGTGCCGAGGGTTGCTTTTACACTGGGGTTGGACGCCACCCCTTCTCGGGGATAAAAAATATTAAAAACCCTGAGAAGGGGTTTTAACCCCCAGGGAAATAGCAATCCTCGGCAGGCAGCACATTGACACCTTCGAAGTAGAGGGTAGGTAGAACTCAAATCCAAATTTTGATATAATTTGGTGCTGTTTGGTAGAATTGCCAGGTTAACCCGTTATTTCCGTGCATTGACTGGACTAAGACCCGTATTATAGAAAGATTCTCAGTGATTGATCTAGTTTTGAGCATAGTAAGAAAGGGATGACGCTATACAGGGTGTTACAAAAATACAAATGAATCTTGAAGGGCGTTGAAGTACATCATATAAGGAATCTTCTCTAATTTTCTTTATTACAGCAGATTTATTAATACTCCTGGTAAGGCGCATGACCTCGAACTAGTGACGTGTCTTAAAATGATCGATATTTTTATTAATCATTAAAATAACTGTTTTTATAAAAAGTTCAAACTTCTTGCAAATATTTTAAGAAAATTCGAAAAGACTCCTTGTATGATGTACTTCAACGCCCTTCAAGCTTTATTTGTATTTTTGTAACACCCTGTATACAGTACATAGCGACATCCCTTTCTAACCGTACTCAAGTAAAGATCAACACTTAGTTGACATTCTGTAATACGGGCCTTAATCTAACTATAGTTTTTGTTTCAGGGGAAGAAACGAAGCTAGCCCTAAACTCAAAATATACTGGGAACAAGTTCTCGTCATGCGAATCAGCAATGAACTCTTTTCTACTCGTGTTCATACTCCTACTTATGCTTATGATTTTGATCTCCTACGCTGCCAAGATTATTATAGAGTCGGTCAGAGTAGAAAAGGAAGCATACCTCGGTCCTGCTCCCCCGCTTCCTCCGTCCGTGAGACAAGTGTTTCAGGACATGTTCTCGTTTCTACTGCTGTATTACTACATCATCCCCATGTCGTTGTACGTCACCATCGAGTTAAATAAGTATATTGGTAAGTACTTATAATATTTAATTTTATATAAAAATGTCTTAATAATATATAGAGCGTCCCTAAATTTCTTTTGCTAAACATGCCGAAATATACACAGCTTCCCTAAGTTTTTTTCATGACAGACCCACCATACCCCTAGCCATACCCCCAGGGGTAGGGTGGGACTGAACCATACCACCGTAGTGCTGTGCACTATATACTTTCAGGTTTTGTTTTTCCGAATATTACGTAGGTACCTGGTGTCAATAGCATCCCATACGACATAGTATAAATATGTACTTATAATTCATTTTTACTTGATTGTTCTCAATAATAATCTTATAGTTTATAGATTAACATCTCTTAAGTTTTTCTGTTTAAGATAAATAACAAAATAAGTATTCGTTATATTTTTAGGTTTTGCCAGAACGGATTTCGGTTTTTTTAATAAACTAAATATTTGTATATGTTAGGTATCTATTTTTATTCTATTTTTCCCTACCCCCAGGGGAATGGCTAGGGGTATGGTGGGTCTGTCATGGTTTTTTTCATAATGTACCGAATTTATCGACAGCAGTTTTTTTCTATGTTAAAAGAATGGCAAACAGGCTTATGGCCCGCCTAATGGTAGGCTATGGCACAATACATACTAGAGCAGTAGCGTAACTCAGCCGTTTTCTTGAAATAGATACCTACGACTGAGCGGAGCGCTAGGGTTGGTACCTACAAAGTGTAAAACAGATTTGTGTTGATTTTTATTGTATGTGTATAGTTACTATTGCCACGTTATGGAATCGAAATGGAGGCAGACGGCGACGGCGCGGCGCGTGCGGCGCGGTGCAGCTAACTTAACTCGGCCAACGACCAGCACTGTGTAGATTTGTCTTGCCAAGATTGGATAGCGGCCGTGTAAATGACGTTTGTCTGTGTGCGTGCGTCAATTCGGGCGCTAGTATGAAGTCAAAGTACTGCTCTTGTATGTATTGTGGCTATGGTGACAGACCATAGTCTATAGACGCCTGCGATACAAAAAAATATCACTCTCGCCGTTGCCTACCCTGACCCCATCCCCTACCCCGTGGAGCCCTGCCCCTCTAGCATGACCACCGAAAAGGGATATGATAAAGCGATATATCGATATTAACTGTCAGACTACTATGGAGTTTGACAGTAGTCTGACAGTTAATGTCGATATATCGCTTTATCATATCCCGTTTTGGTGGTCATGCTAGAGGGGCTGGAACCTTACTCACCGATGGAAACACAACACCACTAAAATGTAGTGTTATTTTACTGCTCCCATTCGAGTGGAAAATCCGCTATGCCCTACCTCTCTTAGTGTATTTACAAAACCAAAATACGCATATCAAACTGCGTTACAGCAGAAAATTGCTATTACTCATACTCCTACCGGACGGATCGTTAGAAATAAAGGCTGTACTTCCAGGGCCCAAGTACTTCACACTAAGTTAGGTTAGGTTTTTTTTTTAATAACTGAGTTTTTTCGTTCGTGTAAAATAGTTCGCAATAGAAGTAAAATGATAAACAAAAATAAAAAGGTAACTGGGTTTGAGTGTTAACGGTGTCGGGCGAGTGACCTGCGCTTCGGCGCGGCGGTCCGTGCTTTAGGGCGGGCGACGCGCAGGTCAGTGGCCCTTCACCAGTCGCCCACCAGCTATAACGTGCTGGTGGTGGACCAGAGATAGAGAGAGAACAGGAAAAAGAAGAGAGTGCCCTTCTTGCCAGAGAGAGGCAAGATGGGCCAAGAGAGGAAGGAAGATAGAGAAGTCGATCAGAGGATCAGAGAGGAAAAGAAAGACGAGGTTAGGTTAGGTTAGTGTTGTGACCAGAGACCAGAAAAAAAAATAGAAATAAAGGCTAAACTGTACTTCCAGGGCCCAAGTACTTCAAACTAGGTAAGGTTAGTGTTGTGAACAGAGACCAGAAAAAAAAATAAAAGAGACCTTTTCTACAAAAAAGTTCGAGTATCACCTCTTGGGCCCCGGTAGTACAGTTTTACCGAAATAAACCACTTTTTCAGGCACTTATTTCTTCACGTGGGACGCGGACTTGCGCTGCGAGGAGACCGGCAAGCCGGCCATGGCCAACACCTCAGACCTGAACGAGGACCTGGGCCAGATCGAGGTGCTGTTCTCCGACAAGACCGGGACCCTCACCAAAAACCTGATGGTGTTCAAGGCGTGCTCGATCAAAGGACACGTGTACGAGGAGAGAGACGGCAAACTTTACAGCACTGAAGGTTTTGAACATCCAATGGATTACACAAACGTAAGTTATTTTTTGTATTATTGGTAGGAATCCTTGTTCTGTTATTACGCCGTATACCGTGAGGAGCATTATGTCAAAATCATCTTCATCATCTATTAATGTCCCCTAATGTTCCCTATGGGTAGAATAAGGATTTCGCATTTAATCATATGTATTTAGTTATACATGCGATATACTTAAGTAATGTTTTATTTTCGTCAGTCAACATTATTCGATGAACATCAAAGACAATGCACTTACCAGTCCAAGATGCAACCGGCTGCAACATAGTAATTACTAATAATTTGATATTACTCATACCTAAGTACTTTTACAATTGTTTCTTCGACGAAGTTTTACTATCTGCGTCAGGAAGTTAATATTATTAAGCAGAAAATGGAAATGCGTCTTTAAGACTTTTTTTTCTTTTACTCCACGTTCAACGATTCAGACGCGATCCTTCATTGCTGTCATTTAACATTTCAAGAATGTATCGATTCATATCTGCAGAACACTAAAACAGGAAAAGAATTAGTAAAACATATATTCATGTAAAATGTTGCTAAGACGAGACCATAATATGACTCGCACTGTCAACAAGTTAGGTACCTAATGCAATTAAAAGATTAAAAATTTATATGTTTAATAAGTCCGCTATTGACAACATATCCCGAGAATTTTGTTTATCTGGTATAATCTTATAATTATGTATATTATAATCCAAACACAATTTATAAGGGTTACTTAATTTTACGCTTCGCTTGGCTCATCTTGTCGTCTTGGCAGGGGCACTTCCGTGCCCCCAGATTATATCAGTCTTCAAGTATCGAGTTTCCTGTAAAGATTAGCCTTATCTCGTGTTGCTTTGATATTGACATTTATATTACTGCTTTTATGAACTGAGTACATAAGTATTTCTAATCTAGTTTTGGACTTCACGGGCATAGATAACTAATAAATTTGTCATGGATGACAAAATTGCGACATCGAATGACGTCGCAATGAATCATAGACTTATAGAATTTACATTTTGTTTTAAAACTTATTTCAAGATTTATATATTTTATTTGCCAATCATCTGCGCGGCGCGCGATATAAAAATTAGACTATTAAAAGAAAAAAAATCGAAAGAAGTTTATAATAAGTCAATTTGAATATAGGTATTGTTTATTTTAATTTATTTTTCATCACAAGTAATTAATATCGGGAATTTGCCCCCTACTACATTGCTAAGCATTGATAAGCTTACTACAATTTTTATATTTTGAGTTCACTATTATTGTTTTGCCCACCGACTACTAAAGATCATTAAACAATAATAAATTATAGTAGTTACTACGTATATTATGAATATAGTCTGGTTACGCGTTACGTCAAATTATACCCAAGAACTTGAATCCAGAAAACATGGAGAAATAGCCAAGATCACAAGAACTTTTTTTAACATTGGCTAGATCCATGATGGTTCCAGTGAGAACTTATTTTTTCTATTGATCCTGGTTTCAAGCTATGGATCTTTGGGGATTTTTCCCTCTCAGTAGATCCATTAGCTAGATCCATGCTGGATATCTAAAATATCTCTAACTTTGTTTTTGCTTGTGATAAAATGTTTATGGTAAATAGAAAAATGGTTTTATCACTATTTTTCTATTTAGTCTAGGTTAAGTTATAGCTTTTATTATAATATTACGATCGACGACGACTTCCGTGGCCGAGTGGTTTGTACGCCGCGCCGGGTTTCATGGTGTCGCCGACTCGAGAGGCCCGGGTTCAAATCCCGGTGGGGGCAGATGTTTGTGTGATGAACACGAGCATTTGTACTCCAGTCATGGATGTTTAATGTATTTCTATATAAATATACTTATATATGTACTGTATATGTATTCTATCCGTTACCCTAGCATTCTATAACACAAGCCTTACAGTGCTTACTTTAGGCTAGGCTGATTTGTGTGTGGTGGAAATATTTTTAAAAAAAAAACGGAGGAATGACGTTTATAAATTGTTTTAACTTTAATGTTCACATTTTAGTTTTCCATATAAAAATCATTCAAATACCAGGACACCATACATAGCTATATGAGGTTCTGGTTATGAAAATAGAAAAAGGGTCTTATTTAATATCTAGTTGTGACTTATGAATAACGGCTCAATTACATTTGATCTTTTGATTGGTCTAATTCGGGCACCCGAAGCAATATTTACACTGGAATACGAGCTGGAAGACGGTGTCGGTTAACTAAAACGTAAACTACCCGAATACTAGATGTACTAGCCTCCATTCCTTTACACTTAGTAATTTACCCGAATTATCATCATCATTAACAGCCTATCCTAGTCTACTGCTGGACATAGGCCTCTCCAATTGCACGCCACTCAGATCGATCTTGGGCTACTCGCATCCAGCTCCTGCCAGCCACCTTGAGCAAATCGTCACTCCATCGTGCTTGAGGACGTCCTACACTGCGTTTGCCTAGACGCGGTCTTTACTCCAGAACTCGTCTACCCCAACGGTTATCGGTTCTTCGGCAAATATGGAATCCCATTGACACTCGGTATTCAGGCTAACGACCAAGTCTAATCGCGCCATAAGTTATTTTTCACTGTTTCATAACCAGCAGAACCTTTAAATGGTGTAAGATCCTTTTCCGGAAAAATGAATTTATATAAATGAAATGAGCGAAGGCACTCCCCACTACCCAGGTCTAGTCTGATTTGATACATTGTAAATAAAACATAGGTAAATAAAACTAGTTTTTACGGGTTAATGCACGAAACTTTATTTATTTATTGACGTTTCGTAGCCTTTACAGGCTTCGTCGTCAGAATAAAACTTTTATTTAATTTGTCGAGCTACCTTCGAAAGACTTTTATTGTCGACAAATTAAATAAAAGTTTTATTCTGACGACGAAGCCTGTAAAGGCTACGAAACGTCAATAAATAAATAAAGTTTCGTGCATTAACCCGTAAAAACTAGTTTTATTTAATGAGTGATGTGCGTGAAAACCTAAGAAACAAATAAAAACATAGGTATTGATAAACTAAGTTCTCGTTAGATTATCATGGATCTAGCCAATATACTTATCTACTGAAAATGAATCTATTTTTAGTCGTTTTCAAAAGGAAAATAAGAAGAATAGGTATGGAAATTACTTAAATTTCGTTTTTATCTATTCAGAGATATTGAGAATTCAGATATGGTATTTCCCTCTAGATACTTAACTACTCCGCTGTATTTTCATCGAGTCTTTGTAATAAGCCGATATCATGAAATGATATGAGGAATTCGTTGAGCTAAAAATACTTACACACATACGTGAATATTAAATAACCTCCTCTTTTTTGAAGTCGGTTAAAATAATTATAAATAAGTACCAATTATTAAAGGACCTCACTGCCTTTGATGTAGCAACCTCTGTTTTTTGGTTTCGATTCGCGTAGACCAAAAAAACAAGAATGATATTCCTATGTGTTTTTGTGTATGGACGGCCAACTTAAACTAGGCAAGTTACATTATCTTTGTATTTGGCGAAATTCTCGTGAATTGTGACCGAACATTGAAAAAATATATCAAAGGTTATTCTCCAGAGTTGTTCCCAAATTCAACAATTTAGCATCTGATATGGGATCTCGGAGAAATCGAGGGAATCTATCATCACTCATTTATTTGAAGTATACCACATTATGGTGTCGGCATGATTATTCTAAACCTAAACTTAAATTTGACAACAGTGTATCCTTGTCATTTTCTGTAATGAATGAAAAGGGAAGACTGATCTAAGAGAGTCATGCCAGTATCCACACCAATATTTTGTGGTTAGCAACTCGCAACAAGTCGGAGGAAGCTACAATTATTTCTTCATTGTTGTATTTATATTTTAAGCATTTAGTTAACTGCGAGATGTTTAAATCTAAAGAAAAAAATACTAGATAAAATTCCAGTCCTTCTAGGTTTCAGACGACATTCAAACCCGCATTAATCACTAGCTAATAATGTCACAAATGCTGGGGCACAGCCCTTCCTTATTAAGATAGGCAAAATTTGCCATGCATGACTCACCACGTGCGATCAGTGCATATTAGTGGATGCTAACGACTGCGAATGAAAGCGGGACCAAGGGCTCTACGCACAGATCTTGCTGTATCCACAGATTCCAGCATGCATTGCTGTCTCGCACGCTGGATCCAGTAAGATGATAGTGCGTAAAGGAATTTAAAGTGCCTTCCGAAGCAAAGAGGAGCTCGAGATAATGAATATTTATGAACCCATCCGATGGCAGGCTATTGCGAAAGTGACTTTACTTCCACGATCGCAGACTGATCACAATGGCTACTAAGCTATCGACCAAAATTTGTTGCTTATCCAGAAATATTCTTTTTCAGAATGATGTCAAGTTTTTCTTCACGATACTAGCGCTATGTCATTCTGTTCAAATATCTAGTGACGATATGAAGAAACTCAGTGCACGGTTGTCCCTATCACCAAATATTTTAGACTTCTTCAAGAGAAAGAAAAACAAAACAGATGTGCCAAACGGCACAGCTGTCAATGGTGGTGTGGACAATGGCACGTGGAACTCTCAGCTATCAGATAATGGTAGCAAAATGGACTATCAAGGCAGCAGTCCTGATGAGAAGGCTTTAGTGGAAGCGGCTTGCAGGGTCGGGATTACTTTTTTAGGCGAGGACGGTAACGATCTACTCTTAAAGATAGGCGAACACACAGAAATGTACGAAAAACTACAGGTTTTGGAGTTTACGTCAGAACGAAAACGAATGTCGGTGATTGTCAGAGATAAAAACGGAAAGGTCGGTATTTCTGCGATACATTTCAATTATTGAAGTAGTTATTATTTAGCTTGATCGGTGATTCCTGTGAAACTGAGATTATGCCAATAGCGTATATAAGATTTTTAGATTGGGTGTGCGAAATCTGGAATTTTGTTGAGTAAGAACTCTTAAGTTTTCATTAACACTAATAAACGATACACTATTTGTCGTCACATGTCAATATTTTCAAGAAAATACATGATAGGTTCTCCAAAATCTGTAACTATATATTTTGAATATCTTTTTTACAGATTTGGCTCTTTTGTAAAGGCGCTGAAAGTTCAATATTCCCTATTTGCAAAAATTCAGTCATTATGGAGGACACGGACAGAGACGTAAATGAGTTTGCCAATAAAGGTCTAAGGACGTTGGCTGTAGCGTATAGAGAAATACCCGAGGAAGAATATCGTAGCGTAGTGGACAGTAAGTTCTACTGAGCATACATAAAAGAACTGTGGCGCAGCGGTTGAGTTCTAACTATGGTTGTAGAAGTTCAACACGTTTTTGGTGTGCAAATATATTATTTTCAACTTGTTTAAGATTTAATGCAAGGAATAAGCTGGGACTTGTCACGCCGTATTTTGTACATAGCACTCAAATGCCATTTGTCATTAAAGGAAGAGAGGCATAACATTGGTGTAGATTCTAGCAGGATTCTCTAGACTTAAAACTAAATTTGACATCAGTCTGTCCTTTTCAGTCTGTATAGAGAATGACAGAGATACACTGTTGTCAAATTTAAGTTTAGCTTTAGAGAATCATGCCAGAATCGACACCATTGAGAAGCTAATCCAAGCTTATTCTTCTTTTATTTAATAAGAAGGTTACGGGCCTTCTTCAAAAAGTTAGACAGTTTTAAACCTTGTTTAGACAAATTTTGTAGGTAATTTTTTCTTAAACTCTTGTTGTCTCACAAGAGTTTAAGAAAAAATGACCTACAAAATTTGTCTAAAAAATGTAAACACATGTCTAACTTTTTTGGGGTACCAAAACTATAGTTTTGTTTTTAAGTATGTGAGATTTCAAAAGTTTCAGTTATGTTACGTTTGTTTGATTTCCAGTGATAAGAACGGTGGACGTTACGGACGCGGAGACACTGCAGCAGGTGTCACAGCAATACCGCATGTTGGAGCGGCAGCTGACCCTGGCGGGGGCCACCGCCGTAGAAGACTGTCTTCAAGACGACGTGGCTGACACCATCGCCTCGCTGCGGAGGGCCGGCATCAAGATATGGGTGCTGACCGGGGACAAGGTGAGCTTCTTCTGTAATACAGGCTGTTGGAACAGCAGCTCTATAGAACTGCCTCTAAAACATCATCGCCTCGCTGCGGAGAGCCAGAATCAAGATATGGGTGCTAACAAGGGAAAAGGTGAGCTCTGCAGCAGTACAGGATATTGGAACAGTAGCTGTGAAGGACTGTCTCCAAGGTGATATAGGTGACATCATCACCTCGCTGCGGAGAGCTGGCATAAAGTTATGGGTGCTGACCGGTGAAAAGGTGAGTTCTGCAGCAGTACAGGATGCAGGAACGGTAGCTGTGGAGAATGCGTCTTTAAGACACCATCGTCTTGCTGCAGAGAGCTGGCATAAATATATGGCAATTTGATGTTTGTCTTTAAAATTATGTAAAACATATTATTAATGTCATCTCGTCTTCTTCATAAGCCCGGGTTCACCCATACTTGGGTATAGGCCGCTTCATGGTTTCTCCACGCGATCCGATTCCTCGCTACGCGCATCCAGTTCTTGCCCACTATCTTGATGATTTCGTCGGTCCAGCGCATCTCATCTCATCAAAGCTGCCATCTCATCAGCTACCATGTCAGCTCATCACTCATTAAATCTATCCTGCAACCGACCAGCACCACCATGAATTTCAGCGCCCACTCATTGACAGCAGATGTACAACGGCGGACGCGCCGTTACGCCGCGTTATACGGTTAAAGACATTTTTTTTCTCAAAAGAATTTACAAAAAATCCATTTACAGAGAAAATACAAAGCATAATTAACAAAAAAAAAATCATTACATCGTGTCGACTAACAATTCAAAAATGTAGGTAGATTAACAAACAGAAACAACAATCTCAGTCTCTGCGCATGCGAACAGCGGAGACACATAAAGGCAATGACACAGTGTGGGATGTTGCGGTGCGACTAATCTTACATAGAAATGTAATAATAGTATAATAAAAAAAAATACGTATCATTTTATCTTACACAGATCAAATATATATATATATATATATATTATCATATCTATGTATATATGTTTTGTAAATTCTAGGTTAAGTTCGTCTTAGTAATACAGGAAACTTATGTTATTACTAAATGTTTTTTTGTTACTTTCAAAGTGTTACTATTATTGACATAAATAGGTTTTTTTACATAAAAAGATCGATCATTGATTAAATACACAAATTATATACTATTAACTTATGCATCCACTGTACTGGCCGATAATATTATTCGCTATAACAATAGATTAGTGTCACTAGTAACATTGATAAATGACAGAACAATAGTTTTACATTAGTTTATACAATCACATACTTCACACAATAGTTAATTTTATAACCGAGAGTTCCTCAAAATGTGGTCTTTCAATAACCTTTTAAATATGTTAATATTCTTTGGCAATTCGTTATCGCCGATGAATCCCGCTAGGTCAATAAATACACTCGCGGTCCACTCGGGACCAGTGCGTTACGGTTTAGTTACGACCTTGCAGCTATGAGTGGCGGCTTAGATTAGGGCGACGATCAACACAAAAGAAGCATACGAGCAACGGGCTGTTAATCGTTACCGAGGTCTATCAGTTCGCAAGAAAGGAAATCCGGAGTTTCTGTAGTGTGTTATATAGACGTTTGAATTGAACGAATGTTTATAGACGTCCATATAAAGAATACTAACCGCATGTACAGTTTGTTTATAAAGTCGTGACATGAATGTTTGAGGAACTAACATTATTCATGTGTCTGGCAACACCAAACTTATGTACATCAGCTGTCACGATTTTCAGTTGTGGAACAGTTTTCCTTTTGTATTTTTTATTGTTTGGATTAAACTGTAATAAATTAAGACGAAACTACGCAGAAAGGTATAAAAATGAGTAAAGTAAATCGGAGTGGCATGCGGGAAATGATTTTTAAAGTTTTCCAGCGATGTTTCGAAGACTACCAAGCTGGACGAATTTTGTGGGATTTGGATGATGTTTATGGGCGAACAGCATCTATGACAGATAGGTAATCGTGTAACTATTTGTTTGTAATCTACCTGAAGTTACAGATTTACTCTACTAGATACTAGTGGCGCCATCATTTAATGTCACGACTTTATAGACAAACTGTAGCAAGGCGGTGATATTCGGCTGTCGGGTGGCTCGAATGAACGATGATCTTAGGTCTCTCAGATCTGGCAAACGCTATTCTGGCCCAAGTGTTTGACGCATATAATTTTTCCCCAGGTAGAAACAGCAATCAATGTGGCGCAGTCGTGCGCTCACATATCCGACAGCGACAGGCGAATGTTCCTCGTAGGCATCAAAAACGAGGACGAATTGATCACCCATCTGGCTGAGTGCACTCGAATAATGAACGAACCGAGCTACAAGGATCTCACGCTCATCATAGATGGCGCTAGTGTGGCGCAGATACTGGACACGTCCTACGCGAAAATCTTCGTCGAGATAACGATGAACTGCCACGCTATACTGTGTTGCAGGCTGTCGCCGATACAGAAGGCGAAGGTCAGTGTGATAATCGACCTTATTTTGTAGTAGTTAAAGTACCCCACGTGTACTTCTGAGATGTTAATGTATGTTTTGTATTTAGTTTTATAAGTAAAAAGAACCCGAAATAGTTACATGGCTTGCCTGATGGTAAGCGGTCGTCAAAGCATTATATACCCATGGGAAACTTCTTGAGCATCGACCATAGACAGGAAAGATTTTGCTCAAGAAATTTGCCGCTACCTATACTTAGACGCTTACGATACCATCAGTTTCACTCGTACGTGGCTGTTGTTTCATCATCATCAGCCTATTAATGTCCCCACTGCTGAGGCACAGGCCTTCCCTATGGATGGAATAGGGAAATTTGGGCCATGACCCACCACGCGGGCCCAGTGCGGATTGGTGGGTGCTAACGACTGCAGATGCAGCCGGCACCAACGGCTTAGCGTGCCTTCCGAAGCACGGAGGAGCTCGAGATAGCAAATTTTTGGTCACCCATCCAATGACCGACCATTGCGAAAGTTGCTTAACTGCAGCGATCGCACTAACCACTTGCGCCATCGAGCTCCTCATGTTTGGCTGTTGTTTTCGGCTAACTATATTTCCAAACTCCGAGGAGTCCTGGAACCCTACTCCCTTAGAGAAACACATCACCGCCCAATGGCAGTGTTATTTCTCTGTGGTCTTCAACAGAAGATCAAATGTCTCACATTAAGGAAGTAACAACACCTCCACATTACAAGGCAGAGATGTTACTTAGCAGAAAATAATCCTAAATAATAATATTAAAATCTCGCGCTCCGGGCCATTTACGACCCTACCCCCCTAGAATTAGTTAACGAATGCCTTTATGAACACTTCTACCTCCCCCCGCAGCCTGCTGCCCTGGGCCACGGCCTTTTTGGCTCTAGGCTAAATACACCCCTGCCTCTTGTTTATCCATATCTTAATGTGTATACATAACTATCTATTTCATGGGTAAGATAGTGAAGATGGTGAAGGAGTGCCCGCAGCGGCCTCTGACGGCGGCCATTGGGGACGGCGCCAACGACATCTCCATGATACAGGAGGCGCACGTAGGCTTCGGCATATTCGGCCGCGAAGGGCACCAAGCCGCCAGGTAACAAACAGGCGCGGACTCATCCTAATGAGTTAATGTAGCGTATGGGTACTGCCAGAGTGCACTCAGATTCAGATTCAGACTCAGAAAACAAGCGCGAGAAATATACAGTGTAGTTTAAGCAGGTTGCCTGCTGCCACTATGGCCACCCTGCTTTAACTACACTGTTTATTTCTCGCGCTTGTTTTCTGAGTCTGAATCTGAATCTGAGTGCACTGTGGCCGTACCCTTAGTTAATGTAGCTTGTGGGTTGACTACGCGGGTTTATTTCTAATTAAAAATAATGTAGTTAATATTTGGTAATAACTTGGCTTAATTATGGCAAGTATGAGTTATGTGGTAATGAATGTCAGTTATTTAAAAGCAGTGCTAAGAAAATATATTATGTCCTCCTTTTTTCCGAACAAAACGAAACTGCGGCTTGGCCGATTGTGTTTAAGATACGGTCCTATAGTATTAAAATATGATTAAAATTTAAGCTTTGATTTCACGCGCGTATTAATAAACTTTAGAAGTTACAATTCAGGACCCCACTCAACAGTGGCTCTATTTGGTGAGATAGAAAACGGTAGCCCTCATTACAACTTGTAATTTTATGTGTATCGTGTGGTTTCATGAATGCGCTCAGACATCATATCTACATACTAATAAATAAGGTTTGAATGCAATCGCATTTTTCATAAACATTTAAAATGAAACAGATAACTTATCAGTGTCGCTTGAATTAACTTTAATCCAGATAATAGTTTCAAATATGATTATGAATGCCAATTAGCTTGTGAAAAACTCGTGTAGGTACCTATATATATTGTCTGAGATACCATTTATTGATTGAGTTGGCATGGCACCTACTCCAATTTAAGTTAATTTGACTTTAAATGTAGAAATAAGTGAGGAATATGCATTATTTCTTACATTTTAGTGGTTTTGCTTTATGAAGTTGCTTTTCTAACACCGGGCTCCGCGGGGTCCTTCATCACCACGACAACGCGCCCGCGCACTCTGCGATCACGGAAAATGGAACGAATGGCGAAAACGGAAGACTTCCTGGACTCCACACCAGTCAGAGATGTTCCTGATTTGGCTCCTCCGTGTGACTTCTTTTTATTCCCTAAAATAAAAATCAGCTCAAAGGGAATCAGTTTTCATCGCCGGAAGAAGCGCTAGCAGCGTTTGAGAAGGCCGCGGAAGAGGTGTCTGCGGAGGACTGGAAAAAATGTTTTGAAAATTGGTTCAGACGCATGAAACTTTGAAAAGATTTAATAAAAATATTTTTTTCATAGAAGTTTTTTTTTTCTCAAAACTTTCTGAGTGTCCTACGTGTACAATAACGTATAACTTTGTTGTCCATCCATCCGTCTCTCAAGCAAGACCCTTTCAACGACCAGACCCAATTACACCCGTAAATTTTACGAATAAGGATTTGAGACATTGAATTGGTTTACTATTTATAATTATTGTAGATAGGCGGAATAAATGTTGATTTTTTTTTAGTTGTATAATAGAGAGCCTGTAAATATGTTATTACATATAACACTTTAATTCCAGGTCTGCTGACTTCGCTTTCACAAAGTTTTCGATGCTGAAGAAGATAATTTTAGTTCTGGGTCATTGGTACTACCAGAGACTGACTACGTTAATACTTTACTTTTTCTATAAAAATTTAATCTTAGGAAATATTATGGTGAGTATTCTTATATATATAAATATAATAAAATAAATATTTCCGACACTCACACCAATTAGCCTAGCCCCAAAGTAAGCACTGTAAGGCTTGTGTTATGGGATTCTAGGGTAACGGATAGAATACATATACAGTACATATAAAAGTATATTTATATAGAAATACATATAAAACATCCATGACTGGAGTACAAATGCTCGTATTCATCACACAAACATCTGCCCCTACCGGGAATGGAACCCGGGACCTCTCGAGTCGGCGACACCAAGAAACCCGGCGTACAAACCACTCGGCCACGGAGGTCGCCAATATCAATAGTATATCTATATTGTATGTATTTTTATATAGTACTAGCTGACCCAGCGAACTTCGTACCGCCCTAAAAAAATAGGGGTTGTCCAGCGGACAAAATTGTGAATCTAAACCATTCTCAGATCCCCTTGAACACACACAAAAAATTTCATCAAAATCGGTCCAGTCGTTTAAGAGAAGTTCAGTGACATACACACTCACAGAAGAATTATATATATAAAGATAGATATTCTATACCATTAATTTCAATCATTATTATATGATTAAGATAAAGATAGTGTGTCAACCGATATACAGAGTGTTTAAAACAATGGGACTGCTTCACTGATTAAATTGGGATATTGTGTATCGAAAATACTACGGATTAACAAAATAACTTCTTACATCTCTCAAGTTATTAATTTAACTGAATTTGATATTGTTAAAGTACAAATTGACTTACCTAATGTAGTGTAGTAATATCAAATCATTACGTCTAGCACTTGCTACAAAAATGTTGCTATCAACTGCTTGTATTAGCTAGTAATCAGATATGACAGAATTAAATATTGTTTGCGTTTTGTTTCAGTTCTTCTTTCAAATACACTGCGCGTTCTCGACGCAGTCCGTGTACGACTCCATGTTCCTGACGGTTTACAACTTGGTACCGACCTCGGTGCCCTGTCTGGTGCTCTCTCTTACCGAACAACGCTTTCCGCCGGGCCTGCTCATCAAGTCAGTATATTGATGTTGAATTTTGTAATTGCGCTTGAATGTCTATTTTTAGGAAGTTTAAAGCATGTTTTTATAAGAAATCCAAATCACCTTGCTAGATTCAACTAATTTTATACCTTATGTGTGTACTGTGAACCTTTCTCTGCAAGAAACCCGTTAAAAACCGCTAAATTGATTCAAAACCTATTTGATTTCGCTTTTTAGAAAAACCGGTTTTTTTAGGTTAAGGTAGAGCCAAACCTAACTAAAACGCTCCTAATGTACTTGACACTGATTTAGGTTTGAAAATTAACGGGTAAACAAGCCCTGTATTAGGTCTTCACTGCGGAGCATCAGGCCTTCCCTTTAGACGGAATAGCAAAATCATGGGTTCGTAGGTGCTAGCGACTCCGTATGTAGGCGATGATAAAGGCTAAGCACAGAAGAGACTCGATAATTCTATTTTGGCCACCTATCTACCCGGGCTAAAAGAGTTACTTTAACTTGGTGTCGAGTCACAATAGATCTTATAGATCACAGTGACTACAGTCCCATTAGGACTGCATAGCCCCAAAAATTATAATAATCTACTCGTTGCGAAAGTTGCTTAAATTCCACGATCGCAGATCGAATGCACCTTGAACGAAGGATTTCGATAGAATGAAAGCACAGTATAACACATTCATTAGAATAGACGTAGAGTAAGATTGTATTTACAGTGTTCTTCGGTCTGAGGGAGAGGGGAAGTTGTGTGCCATGATGATGATGATGATGATATCCGAGTTCTTGCAAATTATAACGTTCCCTAATTGAGGAGATTTTACGTACCTATAATATATTTTTCTTTATAATTTATATTGTTCTTTAGTTTAGTTTGAATTTAAACAAAAATATTACCAGAAATTCTTGCAGAATCCACAAGCACAAATTTCAAAATATTAAAGATGAAATCCTTTCAATGTTTATTTAGTCGTGAAGCAAAAGAAAAAAATGGAAGGATCTAGTACCTATTACCTACATTAAAACACACCTTATTAATAAGCAATGAAAAGTAAAGATTACAAATTGTTATTTCACGAAATATGAAAGTTACAAAATACTAATTTATAAGTAAAATTAATATTAGAAAAATTATGTGCTATATTTGTAGCGTATATAATCATTAATAAAATGTATTTAAATCAGCTGCGGATACAAGTCAAATCCGTAATAAAACTAAACAGACGTTTGACTGTTACGAATCATACATTATTTTTATTTATTCTTGGTGAACTTTGGGAACTCCTCTGGAAGTTTTTGTTTATACTGACTTTGATCAGATGAACCATCACATCCCCATTTACTGTAAAAAACTAAATGGCTCAATCAATTCTTATACACCGAATCTATAGCCAAAATCCTAGCTTCAGTGTGGTCCAATAAATCTTGAAGATTCAGTATTTTTGAATGTGTATTTGTTATTTCTATTGCTGAAGGTGGTGGATAACATCTCTGTTTGATTTCTTGTATTTTATAAAATGGTGGGATTGTAAAACAGTTTCGTTCGTTAGTTAAATTCCTTAAATACGTATATTGTGCTTTCGTTAAATCTATATCAATGAAAACACTTAATGCCAAACAAAATATAACTAGAAAAAAATCCACGCGGACCAGGCAGCAGGCGGGACTCGAACCCGCACCCTTTGCAATCCGGGCGAATGCACTGACCAATTATGCTATCGCGGCCCTCGCGGACCGCGTCGAAATTCTTCTAGCCATTCTTAAGCTGCAAGGCAGCGCATTGTGGGTTACCTATAATGCGAAGAGATGGCGCTTGGCATTTCTTTAGATTTAAACATCAACATCAAGCACTTAATGCCTCTTGATTCATTAGCATTTTGCTCTGGCTTGCGTTATTTAAGAGATTCAAATATAAAGACTTTAGTATCAGGATCAGCAAGCCTTAATGTTTCCGCGAGATTTGCTTCTATTCCGTCTCCTATCGAACGTAATCCCTTAATAAAGGAATTGTAGATGTGTTCAAAGCCATTATCACTAAGTAAAGTCTTTCGCATTTCCCAGAAGAAGTAAATGGCGTGAAATCAGGTTCTAGTTCTTCCGAATTCGGTAAAGTTACCAAATACTCTGAATTCAACCAATTGTCGTTCTTTTTTAAAAATGCATCCTTTTTCCTCAACGCTTCTGCCCATCGTCTATTAAAGCTAGGAATAAGATTCCGTTGAATATCCCTATATAAAGCACACGTTTTCTTCAGAAACATGATTGTCTTCTTTTAAAACTGTTTATAGAGATTAAGTTTTCTTCCTCCTTCAATGTATGAAAGTAATAAATAAGACACGCTTAGAACACTTAAAAGTAGTAGTCATTTTGAAATTCGGCGAAAACACTTGAAACAGTCAAACGTCTGTTTAGTTTTATTACGAACTTTTAAAAGCTACCTATATAAAATGAATCCACGCTTTATATATTGTTTGATAAATAAGGGTAGTGTGCATTTTGTTGATTAAAGTTGTACCGCAAAAAGAGTGCAAAATGTAGATAAAACGCTCTATTATCAATAAATAATTAATAATAAATTTAAATATAACGCAAACTTATCAATAAAATATTCTGCACTGTAGTAAGGTTTTTTCGTTACGGGATTTCTTGATTCGGTCGCCGCACTCAAAGCCCGCGATAAAAGCTATACAATAGCTTAATAATTATTGTTACTACTGCAGTAACCCGATGCTGTATCGTCACATAAGCCGCAACCGCCTACTGTCCTGGTGGCGACTGGGTGGGTGGTGCGTGTCGGCCGCCTACCACTCGCTGGCGGTGTACGCGGTGACGGCCGCCGCCTTCTACGTGCCCGTCATCAACGACGATATGAACACCGTCGACCTGTGGTGAGCCTTTTTCTAGTACATGCTCTTTTTTTTTTTTTGAGTGTGTATGCTGTTGGTCGCAGATGACCTTTACAGCGTCACCGGGTTTGGGGACGGCGAGATCCTAAGGAACCTCAAGCCGAGAATTGGCGAGTACCTCTGGAGGTATTCCAGTCGGATGGCGTCTCCCCACGGGGGGAGTCTCCTCTCCGTCTGGAGCCTCCAGACCATTCGAACCTGAGGGGGGCGGCTCAACTAGAGGGCGTCTCTGAGACTCGGACCTCGGCTCTAGTTAGCTGTTGTCGTAGGGGGCGAAAGAAATAATTGTCTGCCGAGGCTCGAACTGTAGCCCACAGATTTCTTTAGACTCTTTTTGCATACTTGGACGGTAGCGGTGTACGCGGTGACAGTCGTCGTCTTCTACGTGCCCGTCATCAACGACGATATGAACACCGTCGACCTGTGGTGAGCCTTTTATTAGTTCATACTCGCTAACCATTTGCGCCATCGAACTCTTCACCTCGGCTCTAGATAGCCGTTATTGTAGGTATGTGATAGGTCTACTCTTCATAAGTCTGTACATGTATACCACTCGCTAGCGGTGTACGCAGTGACGGCCGCCGCTTTCTACGTGCCCGTCATCAACAACGATATGAACACCATCGACCTGTGGTGAGCTTTTTTTAGTACATACTCGCTAACCATTTGCGCCATCGAGCTCTTCATCTTGGCTCTTGATAGCCGTTATCGTAGGTATGTGATAGGTCTACTCTTTATAAGTCTGTACATGTATACCACTCGCTGGTGGTGTACGCAGTGACGGCCGCCGCCTTCTACGTGCCCGTCATCAACGACGATATGAACACCGTCGACCTGTGGTTAGCCTTTGTTTAGTACATACTCGCTAACCATTTGCGCCATCGAGCTCTTCACCTCGGCTCTAGATAGCCGTTATCGTAAGTATGTGATAGGTCTACTCTTCATAAGTCTGTACATGTATACCACTCGCTAGCGGTGTACGCGGTGACGGCCGCCGCTTTCTACGTGCCCGTCATCAACAACGATATGAACACCATCGACCTGTGGTGAGCTTTTTTTAGTACATACTCGCTAACCATTTGCGCCATCGAGCTCTTCATCTTGGCTCTTGATAGCCGTTATCGTAGGTATGTGATAGGTCTACTCTTTATAAGTCTGTACATGTATACCACTCGCTGGTGGTGTACGCAGTGACGGCCGCCGCCTTCTACGTGCCCGTCATCAACGACGATATGAACACCGTCGACCTGTGGTGAGCTTTTTTTAGTACATACTCGCTAACCATTTGCGCCATCGAGCTCTTCATCTTGGCTCTTGATAGCCGTTATCGTAGGTATGTGATAGGTCTACTCTTTATAAGTCTGTACATGTATACCACTCGCTGGTGGTGTACGCAGTGACGGCCGCCGCCTTCTACGTGCCCGTCATCAACGACGATATGAACACCGTCGACCTGTGGTTAGCCTTTTTTTAGTACATACTCGCTAACCATTTGCGCCATCGAGCTCTTCATCTCGGCTCTAGATAGCCGTTATTGTGGGTATATGATAGGTCTACTCTTTATAAGTCTGTACATGTATACCTCTCGCTAGCGGTGTACGCGGTGACGGCCGCCGCCTTCTACGTGCCCGTCATCATGGATGACAGATAACCCTCACAGCGTCACCGGGTTTGGGGACGGCTAGATACAAAGGAGACCTATTAAGGCCACTGGAACCTGAGGGTGTCTGCTCTACTAAAGGCGTCTCTGAGACTCGGACGACGACATGAAGAATTTCGAGAGGAAGTGTATTTGGTACCCGACTTTTCATATTAACTACCTCGATCGAGTTTCGAGTTCGATCGGTAATTTGTAAGGAGAGATTTTTTTACAATTTTAATTTTGTTTACATATATAATAGGAGTACCTTTTTGAGGGTTTTTTTTACCAAACAACATTGTAAATATACACCAATCTTCACCATCCGTTGGCCTATTCGCTGACTTTTTTGACATTTAGGTGCTTAGCAGACGGCGGGGCGGAGCGGGCCGGTCAATTTCGCCGCGAACGATAGCACAAAGTGAATCCTATACTACAAACGCACACAGAGGGCAAAAAGACCGCGCCTTGGGTGCCCGGCGGGCACTGGCGGCGCGGCGTGGATCATACAAACCAGTTTATATGCAGTAACGCAGACGGCGGCGCGGGGCGGCTAGCTCAGTCCGCGCCACGCGCTTTTTAGTGATGGACTATTCACTAGAACGAACGTCCTGAACTGACTGCCTCTGCCCGTCGCGTCGTGTGCTTTGTGTACTCGGCGAGAGCAGCCGCAGACATCGACGGGCAGACGCGGTTTTTATTGCTTCGCGGACAAAAAGCCTGCCCCGCCCCGTCGTCTGCAAAACGCAGACGTAAAGAGATAATTGCATATCCACTGATGCTTTTCAGAACAAGTATCTTAGCGGCGTAATAATAAAGCAGTAGTGGATCACTAAATAGCTCGGTGATTATCACTTCCATCTGTCAAAACCAGTTAGCGAATAGGCCTACAGGACAGGCATCTATCTACTCGAATATACACTTGTGTACAATTTCAACGAAATCGACATTCTAAAGTCGTTGAGAAAGAATAAAAAATAAAACAGTATATTTTAAACCAGTGGTCCGCCCTCGCTTCGCTTCGGTGTAGAGCTGAAGTGTAGACTACAGTTTTTGTTCTCAGGCTTGTATTATACACAATGACATTCAACTCTGATTCTTCTTATACCTGCATGCAAAGTCTCAGCCCGATCGGTTTAAAATTGACAAAGCTTCATACAAATTTTCATTCCCTATATTATCCCCTTGGGGGTAGAATTGATCAAAATCCTGCGCGTAGCGGATGCCTACGTCATAACATCTACCTGCATGCCAAATTTCAGTCCGATCCGTCCAGTGGTTTGGGCTGTGCGTTTATAGATCACTATGTCAGTCAGTCAGTCACCTTTGACTTTGAGTTTTATATATTTTAAATACAGCCGTGGCAAGGACGGGAGTGATGTCTGCTCTGTAGCTTGCTATCTCCCGCGCACTTGTTTTACTGTACTGTTTATGACTCTATAGAAAAAACAGCTCTTTACCAGATTTTTAGTTCCCACTAGTAATAGTACCTAATATTATTTCTTTATTGAATTTTTATGCAGGTCGTTTGGTGCGATGTTGTTTCATCTGATGGTGCTCATAGTTTCGCTCAAACTGTGGTTGCACGCGCGGTACCACACTTTGATTTTGGTGTCGTCGATCGTGCTATCCGTCCTCGTAAATGTGGCCACCAACGTCTTTTACGCCTCCTTTAACTTGTGAGTATATTGCAACTAAACTAGCAATAGTTTTGTCTACCATGCTCGACTCGGAGCGTAGGGTAAACTGAATACGCCAGCTGCTAACTTTCCAGTTGTGCAATTTAAAGCCTACCAAGTTATCAATATTCAAGGTGAACGTTGAACATTGATACTAGGATTAGTAGTGGTGTAGCTTAAACCTTTAGAAGGCAGCCAAATTTTTCAATAAATAATAATAATATCTTATCTTATTATCTTATATCTTATCTATATTTCCACACGCCTCATCGACGCCTCAGGGGATCCAAGGGCTGGCGCGCATTTCGGACAAAGGTTGAGCCTGGCCATTCAACGGGGAAATGCCGCCAGCCTCTTGGGCACCCTACCCTGCGAACGCAGCGATTTGGGGTCGATTTTTTATATAATATAGTTTTATTTTTAGTTTGATATAAGTATTTAGTTTATTTAGTAGTTTTAATCCATTTTGTGCTTTTAAATAATATATTACATATCTTAAGTTTTTTTAATAAAAAACAAACCACTCTGTAGGTGTTTTAGACAACTTCAAATTCAATTCAATATTCATTTATTCAGTTTAGGATTTTACAAGCAAATGTGAAAGTCGAACGCTACGCCATCGGTTCGCAAATATACGGTAGGAAACCTTGTACTGGGAAGAACCGGCAAGAAACTCAGCAAGGGCTGCTTTTTTCTCCCTGTATTATTCCATATAGTGTCGGCAAATTGAAAGCTGACATCAAACTTTTTAGACAGCATCGGAGCCGGAGGAATGGATCGACTGGAATTTTCTATAGTTTTTTTTTGTCTTTACATTTATAAATTTAGCTGTTAAATGCTTACAAATATGATAATCTTATAAATATTTGAACCATTTCATATTTCTTTCGCACCTACATATGTATGATTAGAACTTTATGGACCAGCCCCTCTAGCATGACCACCGAAACGGGATATGATAAAGCTTTTTATCGAATCTCAACTGTCAAACTCCACTGTAATCCGACAGTTAATGTCTATATATCGCTTTATCATATCCCGTTTCGGTGATCATGCTAGAGGGGCAGATCATTAATGGTTTTTGCACTGATCTTATGGCTATTGACACCAGCATTCAACAGTCTGTTCTCTCTGCGAAACTTCTTCTGCTACATCAATGACCTCTTAATACCTCATTAGGAATTTTAATTAGTATTAGACTAGGCTAGGATAGTATTGGCCAAGCATTGTGTTAACACTATTTTTGACGTGACAACGTCTTAAATTAGGTTGCGGCTGGGAGTCACTTATGAAAAAGTGTAACGCTCGGTAACGTTACGATGAGTCTCTCGTGTTAAGTTTAAGTTTACATGTACAATGTTTTAGTAAACAAAATATATTTCTATAGTTAAAATTTGTGCAATTCTTATTTTCATTCAATTCCTTGTTCCTATTGTGCAATTTAATTATATTCATATCAATAAATATTCTACCGAGAAAAAGACGTTGTCACGTAAAATCTTCGCCCGTAAAACCGACTTTACAGGCAACCATTTTTTCTTTTACAGTCAATACGACGGTGACGTACTTGGAACGTACACGCGGTTGATAGTGTCATTACCGTTTTGGTTAGCCAACGTGTTAGTGGTAGTGGCCGCTTTGGGGCCAGACTTTTGTGCCAGACTAGTGTCAGACTACAGGTTTAAACGGACACTTCTACCGGCTAGGACGCAGACTACATTCTCTACCAGATTGTGATAGTGAAAATCTTAGTTTTTAAGTATAGAACAATTAAATGAATATGTGTGTGAAATAGAAGGTGGATTTTAAAATCTCACGTTATTTATAAGTAATGAAAATTCTCGGGCTCTAGGAAATATTACATAACATTACTGTCGTTACAGGGTATAAAATGCACACATGTCAATAACTTTAAAAACTTTAACTTCTTTTCTCCTTTTCTAGCAGCCCCTTTTTGAGATTGTTATAAAAGAAAACGACCGACGTACAGAATATTTTTAACGTGAGTTGTAATAAGACGGGTATTTTGCTTAACTTGAAAAGTTAATTAAAAAATAATTAAGAAAAACAAAAGGGCTGTGACTTTGGTTTTTTTGTAGAAAAAGCTAGGGCCACCGTTGTAAGCTTTTCACTAAGTAAACAAAGAATATATTTTTGTAATGACAAAGACGTCACTCTCTGAGGTACTCGCATGTTGAAAGTTCTATAAGTATTTTTGTACCAAATTATGAACGTTAAGAAATAATGCAGATTTCGCACTATTAAGGGGACCAGAAATATGTACATTTTTATATGTAAGTGTTATGTTGTTATTGTATTTATTGAATAAAATCTAGTCATTTAAATGTAAAATAAAATACTGGTTTGGCCACACCACACCACACCACACCCGGACAAAGAGTAATGTAAGTATTTTGTACCTACTTATATTATTCGCAGCCATGTTGATTTTGATTATGAAAAGTAAAAAAGACTTGACGAACGAAATATCCTTTTATTTTACATTTCACTAATGTAAGTGCCACAAACACATATCATACACAGATATTACGCATTGATATTAGTAAGAAACTTCACGGTCAAGTCTCGCGTCGCGATGGAACTCATCACCAGCCTATTAATGTCCCCACTGCTGAGGCACAGGCCTTCCTTATGGAGGGAATAGGGAAATTGGGCCATGACCCAGCACGCGGGCCCAGTGCGAATTGGTAGTTGCTAACGATTGCATATGCAGCCGGGACCAACGGCTTAACGTGCCTTACGAAGCACGGAGGAGCTCGACAAAGTAAATTTTTGGTAACCCATTCAATGGCCGACCACTGCGAAAGATGCTTAACTTCAATGATCGCAGTCGAACGCGCTAACCACCTGCGCCATCGAGCTCCTGCCGAAGATTAAACTCACTGTCTTTATAACGGCTATTAAATCTTAATAAATTCGCTTCCTCTCGCCTCGGTTTGATGACCGTGTGCCAATTGGAATATTGGGTGATCATGTCATGCAAGCGAAGACAGGGTATTACGCCGTGTCGGTATTGATCATAGCACAGATTTAGGATAGATAATGTGGGTGCTTAGATAAAATATAAATAAATATTTCCAACACTCACACCAATTATAGTCTAGCCCCAAAGTAAGCACTGTAAGGCTTGTGTTATGGGATGCTGGGTAACGGATAGAATACATATACTGTACATATATAAGTATATTTATATAGAAATACATATTAAACGTCCATGACTGGAGTACAAATGCTCGTATTCATCACACAAACATCTGCCCCCACCGGGATTCGAACCCGGGACCTCCACCATGAACCATGAAACCCGGCGTACAAACCACTCGGCCACGGAGGTCGTAGTCAATTTTGTTTTAAACCCGTTTTTGTTATATGTGTGGAATTAGACATCAGTGACCGACTGTTTGATATAACTGGTAATGTATGGCGGGAAAATTGAAAGTCAAACGAACTTACTGGTTCGACTGACATTAAACGATGTGATTCGCCCCAGAGATTATACTTATTTAACTTGTCACAATCGTACACAATTTCAGAGCAACATTGACCTTCGTTTAAAAAATTGAATATAAAATATGCGCTCGCACTGTGGGTATCTCGATATATTCATACATGTTTGGACTAAAGCGGTCCATTGGATCTTGTTATTTCGTTTGCCTATGTGTAAGATCAGGGGCGTAGCTACCGCCGTATCTGCCGTATCAATTATACGAGGCCCCCGGGCTACAGGGGCCCCCAAGTGTGTAAGCAAAAATTAATGAAAACTTCCCAAAAAATCTTTCTTTGTGGTCTGCCAGCATGTCAGAACCGACCTTTGGGTCTGTTTTTGTAAATATATGTTTATAATAATAAATAATAAATATTACCAACACTCACAGCAATCAGCCTAGCCCCAAAGTAAGCACTGTAAGGCTTGTGTTATGGGATACTAGGGTAACGGATAGAATACATATATTGTACATATATAAGTATATTTATATAGAAATACATATTAAACATCCATGACTGGAGTACAAATGCTCGTATTCATCACACAAACATCTGCCCCCACCGGGATTCGAACCCGGGACCTCTCGAGTCGGCGACACCATGAAACCCGGCGTACAAACCACTCGGCCACGGAGGTCGTCAATAATAATAATAATATAAATAATATATATAATTTTTAGCATTGCTAAAATAACGCAAATTTTATGAAAATTTGGAAACTATGATATTATATAAAATATAGTAGGGACCGGAACAAGTGTCTGCCATTATGTTTTTCAATAAAAAGATATATATATTTTAAGATATCAAAACGGCAGTCATGCTGTGAACAGGTTTTGAAAGTCGATTTTCATGCTTTTCGACTTCTAGGCACGCCTAAAGGAACCCTCTATGGGAATAGTGAACCCCTATTTTTTATCTACGGCAGATGAATTAGTTTAACTAGCATTAAGGAGTTTGCTACTATACCGTAAATCTGCGGAACACTGGCTCTTAGACTATGACATTAAACGCTTCCGGAAAACTGTTAAATACAATAAAGACATCTCAGTTAATGTTAAGACCCATCAAAGGCTCTAAAAACATGTAAAAAAACTGAAATTCAAAAAAATCATTACATTAAGGAACTCATTGAATTATTACTGATAAAATTCAATAGTCTTGCATCCAGTTTTCCGGAGGTAATAACAGCATTCTTTTTATTCTTGACCGTTCCAGTTACAACCGCAACTGCTGAAAGAAGTTTTTCTAAATCAAAAGTGATAAAAAATTATCTAAGAACTTCGATGAACGCCTGTTAGACCTGTCACTCACTATTGTCCATAGAGGCAGAAACTTTAGAAAAACGGAAGTCATCATCAGCTATAAACGATTTAATAAATCAGTTTGCCGAATAAAAGGCAATTAAAGCCTATATTTAATTTGAATTGTTTGTTAAAAACTTTGGAAAAAGTGACAGATAATTATGATGAATATATGTTTCTATTAATTTTATGCAAACATTTTTTTTTTCTTTTGTGAGAAATCTTTACCCTTCCTACGGGCCCTCAAACAAATTTTTATACGGGGCCTCCAAGGTACGCTAGGCCACTGGGTAAGATCCAGATATCTCCTACTCATAGGTATTCAGTTTATCTGCTTTAGAAACCGATTTTATTTAGAAGGCTATATGGAAGGGGAAGTTAGCAAAGGCAAAACATCTCCGGATGTCCGAATTCGTAGTCCAGACAGCCAGGAAGTTAAAAGAATTTACGCCAATGATTATATTAGAAGAATGTTATCTACGAGTACTAGCCTGTGTATTCCCACTGCTCCTGGTGAACTACTGGCGGTGTTGGTGGGTCGCGTGGTATTGACGCGGCCGGGCCTCGGCTGCATGAGCTGTGGTGCCGGTAGCGCCGGGCATCGGCATAGATGGTGGCGCAGCATAGATTTCGTTCCTCGAATAAACTTTTAATCCATTTATGAAAATGTCACACCGTATCTCGTTATATTCATATGAACACACCGACACACGTGTCAAACCTCTCAACGGCTGCGGGCGGTTTTCCAAGTAAGCAGCGAACACCGGGATCCAATGCGGACTCGCAGTGGCGCCACGACGTCTGTAAGTGGTGGTGGCCGCTGCAGTGTCAATTCCAGGGGTGCAGGAATGACAATAGACAGAAGTGCGGCCCGCACAGTTGCCGTCACCTCCGGGACTACCTATACTATAAGGGTACGAATTATCATCAGGCGGGGTTTCTGCTTCCACAGAATACAGCAATCCATAATATCCATAATATATATATTATGCCCATACTACATATTATTATTTAATCTGCCCATATAATATATATATCTCAGAATCTTTATATATATATATATATATATATATATATGTAAAGATTCTGAGATATATATATATATATGGGCAGATTAAATAAAGCGTAGCTATAGGTCACTAGTAGTACAGTCAATCTGTAGGTTGAGTGGTGAAAAAAAACCTAAAGGGTAAGTCTTGTTTTTTCTGTTGCCAAATGACGTCAGTAAGCCACCTTGGCGATGGGCATGTTCAACTCGTAGGCGTTTTTTGAAAAACTCGAAAAAAACCGTCAAAAAATTTTTGAATCGCATTTTTCTTATTTTGTATGCATTTTAGAAACTTTTTTTTCGACCATAATTGTAGAGGGCGTTGAGTACTACAATTTATGTCATTGTTGCAATCTCGTACAACAAAAAATGCGCATTGTAGGTGGCGCTTAAGTCTCAAAAAAAGTGTTTTTTCACTTTTTCACCCTGAAAATATCATTTTGATCGAAAACTTTAAATGGCAAAGTTGTTTCGTACATAATTACCAACAACTTTTGTATAAACAATTTTTTTGTATTACTTACCGTTTTCAAGTTATAAATTGCGCTGGTATGAAAAATCCAATAGTAATCCAAATCCAAATTTTGGGCAGTACAAGTACACATTTGCAGTGCACATTTCAATGTACGTTTTTACTATTTTTTTTTCAATCATGAAAAAAAATAAAAAATAGTAAAACGTACATTGAAATGTGCACTGCAAATGTGTACTTGAACTGCCCAAAACCGCTCTGTTGGATTTTTCATACCAGCGCAATTTATAACTTGAAAACGGTAAGTAATACAAAAAAATTGTTTATACAAAAGTTGTTGGTAATTATGTACGAAATAACTTTGCTATTTAAAGTTTTCCATTAAAATGATATTTTCAGGGTGAAAAAGTGAAAAAACACTTTTTTGAGACTTTAGCGCGACCTACAATGCGCATTTTTTGTTGTACACTGACATAAATTGTAGCACTCAACGCCCTCTACCATTATGGTCGAAAAAAAAGTTTCTAAAGTGCATACAAAACAAGAAAATGCGTTTAAAAAAAAATTTGTCGTTTTTTTTGAGTTTTTCAAAAAACGCCTACGAGTTGAACATGCCCATCGCCAAGGTGGCTAACTGACGTCATTTGGCAACAGAAAAAACAAGACTTACCCTTTAGATTTTTTTTTTCACTGAAACGATATTTTTTTCGACAGATTGACTGTACTATAGCCCCAAAGAGTCAACGGTACAATCTCTTGAACTGCCGTCATGTTATTTATTGTATAAGTGAAAGAAATAAAAAAGATAACGTTATATATTCTCCCGGACTGCACTCATGATATTTATTATTTAAGTAAATAAAGTTAAAGGTTCAGTGTCCCCGAACTGTACTCATGTTACTTATTAAGTAGCAATTTATAATGTTGGCATAATTATTTATGGTACAACTACACGAATCACACTCTTTCTAGAATAATAATGCAAATAAAAAACCTCACGTAGCCCACAGTAGCTTCACGACCTATGCTCCAGGATTTCTCGTGCGACATTTTTTATACAGCGATCAGATTATCAAACCTTACAGTGAACTGAAGTTCAGTTTATAGTTGGTATTAGCCTTGCAGATTAAACTCAATTGCACGGGGTAGTCTAAACTAATACTAAAAGCGGAAGTATTTGTTTGTTTTTAACGAATGAATGACAAGGGGATCCACTGTCACCAAAACTTTTTTCTGCTGTTTTGGAAGACATTTTCCGCAAGCTCCACTGGGATCAGTATGGGTTAAAGATAGATGGAAGAAGGCTAAGTCATCTAAGGTTCGCAGACGATATTGTGATCTTCGAAGAAGACCCGAGGCTCCTGGAGAGAATGATACAGGAATTATCCAAAGAGAGCCTAACAGTTGGACTTAAGATGAACCCTGATAAAACTAAACTTCTAACCAACTCATCTAAAATTGCTATTCAAGTCGACAATCTCGCTTTGGGGTATATGCAAGAATATATCTATATTGGTCAAATTATTTCAGCCAGAGATCAAACTTCTAAAGAAGTCAACTCACGGATAGCCAATGGATGGAAGAAATGGATGGAAGAGTCTGGAGGAGATAACCAAAGCTAGAGACCTAAGCATATCACTGAAAAGAAAAGTATTTAATACCTGTATCCTGCCATGCCTGACATAAATGGATGCGAAACTTGGTCACTAACAAAACAACACCGAGATAAGCTTCAATACTGTCAAAGAGCTATGGTGAGGAGTATGTTAAGAATAACAAAGAAAGATAGATGGAAAAACGAAGACCTCAGACGGAAGACCAAAGTAACTGACATCCTGACCCGAATAGATCAACAAAAATGGAGATGGACAGGCCACATGATACGTAACCAATCAGAAAAATGGATTAAAGTTGTTACCAACTGGTACCCCAGAGATGGAAAAAGAAGCAGGGGACGGCAAGTTGCTAGATGGGCAGACGAGATTAAACAGACGACGGTGGGAGTTTACTGGAGAAGAATAGCCCTAAACAGATCTGAGTGGCGAAGATTGGAAGCAGCATTTCTCCAAAGATTCGAGCATCGGCTGGACATCCTGTAGAGGCTGGGGGAGGCCTTGTGTCACTGACACGCTACGTTTACCACTCAAGAAAAAAAAATCAAACATATTTTGTAAACTGGTAGCTTTAATAAAGGCTTTTTTTTATTTATTTAACGAATGAACATAAAAACTACTGAACCGATTTTACAAATTCTTTCTCCATTTTAAAGCTCTATAAATAGCCAGTTGAGTAAAATAAGAAGTTTGAATTTGAATATTGTGAATTTTGAATATTGTATTACTAGAATATGAACAAGCTATGGACGTATATTACGTCCATATTATAGTTTCACGTGCAGTCGCACGCATCCTTTCACGCATCGCATCACTACAAAACGTCAAAATCTAATTTTCCTCTCCCCAACAACGTGAATTTTGTTTTGTTTGCATTTCATTCACATATACCTTCCATTATCTGATAAATAACTATAAGTAAAAACAAATATTAATTACAAGTTAACTATCAGTAGGTAGTTTACTCTAATAGTTTAATGTTTGTGGCACATTTTATACAATAATTATTAAAATTAAGGAGCTGTAGTTACCAAGGCAAGTATTCATTATTTTATCTATTGCCCTGCTACTGCGGAACAATACGGACTTATCGGCTCGTTCTGCGGTTAGTTGATTGTGTTATACCTAGATTCCGTTCTGAGAAAACCACTTGACTTTCGATAAATATATTAAGTAGTTTTTAATTCCGTCAAATTTATTTTTGTCAGTTAATTATTAATTTTCTTCGCTTGCAGGTACAACCACAATGAATAAGATAAAAAATAACTGGTTCTCGGAGTCCTGCGATATGTGGCCAGGTGCCACGTTTTCATTCGAAGTTACAGAAGTGCTGCATGAAGAGAAGTCCCAGTTCCAGAATATTCAAGTGTTTGACACTAAAAGTCTCGGGAAAGTGCTTGTACTGGACGGCATCATACAGTGCACTGAGAAGGATGAGTTTTCGTATCAGGTACCTACTTATTTGTAGTTTAAGCATGTGTTTCATAACTGGCTGAAGCACCAGCAATAATATTGTATCTCGGAGAAATACACCCCAGCAAACTTTTTGAGCAATAACAATGGACATAAATCCATTTTATTTGTCTGTGGTTCCCTACCTTACCAAAATAGTCCTTTGGAATTTTTGTAATGGTTGAGTTTCTAGAGTTATGAATGTTCAGTTCGCCACAAAATTGTCAAGTCCATGTACACTCCAATCTTTTTACTGCATTAAATTCTTTTATGTAAAGTAATTCAATTAACATTATTTTTGAAGATGATTTTTCATTTTAAACATAATTAAAAGAAATATTGTTTTTATTTCAGGAAATGATATCTTTTCTACCATTATGCTGTCACAAAAATCCTGAAAAAGTACTTATAGTTGGTGGTGGTGATGGCGGTGTTGCCAGGGAAGTTGCTAAACACCCAAAAGTGCAAACAATTGTACAGGTAACTTAAAACCCTTTTAATGTTATTATGTTCATAACTACAGATTCTACAAAACTCCTTGGTTCTTTCTTGCTTTGCTTAAATAATACAGTACAAGTAAAGCACCAATTCTTCAGAATCAAAACTGTTGGTTTGGGTGGAAAATGCAGAGTAGTGGAATAAAGGCTACTATTATTGCAACAACAATGAACTAAGGTGGGGTACTCACTAGCGAGCAGTAACTTTAACAAAACATATACTTTACGTGGTTCTAGTGTGTACAAAAACTCCATTTACTGTGACTGTAATGACAAGCCAGATCTATCCACACCACAGTCTCTTCAATAATAGCTACTGCCTTATAAATAAGTAAATGTACCGTAAAATCTTTATATATATAAAAATCAAATGCTGTTCATTAGTCTTGCTAAAACTCGAGAACGGCTGAATGGATTTATTTTTTCTTGGTCTTGCAATGTTCGTAAAGGTCTAGGGAAGGTTCAAAAGGTGAGAAAAAAATGAATAATTGCCAGGAAAATCCTAAAAACAGCCAGCGAAGCCGCGGGCAAAAGCTAGTTACTAATGATTATGTACATAATATACTTCAATTATCTTTATACCAGCGCTATTTTATCTGTTACCAATGATAAAAGAGGTACTTATAATAAACAAAATTTAAAGATGCTATGCATTGTGATGACAATTTGTAGATAAGAATTTTAATCTTTGAACTCTTCAACTCCATTAGGATTACCATCACTACTGATGTGATAGCAGTTTATCAATATTTAACAGTAACCAACCTATTTATGTTACACTCGAAAACCGAAAACATTCATTGGGCAAAAAAATTCATCACAATGTGTTGTGGTCACAGTAAAATATCCACATGGCGAGATTCTAGTTCTGGCAAAACCAGGATCTGAATGCGTATGAAATGGAGATGGGCTGGCCGCATGATAAGAGGTGAAGCAAAATGTAGCAAGTCAATAACCTCATGGTACCCAAGAAAAGGAAAGGGAAACCACTCAAGAGATGGGAGGGCGACATAGTTCAGTTGGCGGGAAAAACTTGGACAAGGCTGGCTAGGGAGAGGAAAAAGTAGAAAGAATCGGAGGAGGCCTTTGCCAGAAGGCACACAGAGTTAGATAATTAATAAAAATGAACATAATTATTTGACGGCCCCTCGGTATTTATCGTTTTTGTCTTGGTGTTATCTACGGGCATAGACTACGGATCATAGTGAATCGAATGTCACTGTCAGTTCAGTGACAGCTCGATTGACCTAACTCAGTTGGCTGGACACATAGCGCCTGCGCGTTCACCGATCATAATCGGTTTGCACCCGGTGCATGTGCCACGCTTTCTGAGGAACGTCTTGATTTTATAATTGTGCGTTACGTTAACTTTATAATTATACTTCGATTTCAAGAATTAGTGAGTGCGTTGTTCCTAAATTGTAACAGTGAAATATATCAGTGATTATTCTTTGATATTGGATTATTTCTCCTCGCCCGTTAATCCACGCCACCTCTAAGCACCAATGGAGGGCACCGGCAATCCTGGCAATACCCACGTGCCTACATCAGAAGTGGGATCCGTTGGGCTTTCAAGTGAGGAGAATAGTGGTCATCTTCCCTCATCTAATTTTCTACGAAGTATGGAGTCGCTTTTAACCAAATTACTGGCATCCTCTCAACATTCTTCAGCGACACAGCTGATCGTTTTTGATCCTGATGCGGAGGACGCAGATATCGAAGGTTGGTGCAAAGTAACTGAAATAATAGTGAACAGTAAGAGACTTCAAGGCGCTGAATTGCTATTGGTTTTGACACACGCTTTGAAGGGAAGAGCCGCAGCTTGTCTAACTAAGTTAGACGTAAGTCAACTAGAATGGCCGCTTATCAAAGAAATTTTACTAGCAAAATTCTCGAGACCAATGCTACCTCAAGATTACTTCGATAACGTCTTGCGTTTTCAAATAAGCACAAAAGAAACTGCGTGCGAAGCATCTATGCGTCTTTGGGGCATAATTGAGCGCATCCCCCGAGTGGAAATGGCCGAAGACATGATAGCAGGATTGGTTACTTCTGTTTTGTGCCTCAAAGATAACCTTTTACGCCGCGAATTGTACTCACACGTTATATCGACGAGAGCTCAGCTGTTTCGGATCCTAAGCGGTGTTTCCTTAAAGAGGCGTGCAGACGAAACTGAGAGTGGTGATCCAGAACTGAAGAGACTGCGACTCTCCGAGCCAAGATTCACGGGCGCATGTCATCATTGCGGTATATTGGGTCACAAGACTGCAGATTGTCGCAGAAGAAGACAAGAAGTTTCTACCGCACAGAGACCAAGCGACAGACCACGAGGAACTTTCAGAGAGAAGGCGCAGCCGACAACATGTTACGCTTGTGGACAACCGGGCCATCTAGCCTCGGCGTCTCCAGGGCGGACGAGTGCCGGCAGCTCAACCTCGACGGTGAAGGAGGTGTACGTGTGTGACCAAAGGCCAGTCCGAGATGAGTTGCAGATATCGTCTGGTGAGATAGTTTCTTTTATTTTCGACAGTGGGTCCGCCTGCTCACTTGAAACCGAACAACTTTAAATAAGTTTCTGGGTACTTTGCACAACAATGTAGTTCACTTAAAAGGAATTGGAAAGTCTGGCATTTATTGCACGAAACAAATTTTAAGTAAAGTTACTATCCAAGATATTTCTGTGCATATCTTATTCCACATCATTCCTGATAATCTAATTTCAGAATCTGTAATTATGGGAAGGGCCCTTTTGGACCAGGGCATCAGAGTTGAAATAAACAGTAACCGTATTAAATTTTCTAAGCTTGAAAGTACTCTTGCACCTTCGGAGGCTATTGGGTATATTATCGGTAGGCTATTGATTTCGATTTCTCTGGCATCGACACTGATCTAAAAGGTGATGATAGAAAAGCGCTCATTAACATTTTACAAAAGTTTAGTAAATTTTTCATTGACGGTATACCTAATCGTAGAGTTAAGACTGGCATGATGCGTATAGACCCCATAGACCCCAACAAAACAGTTCAACGAAGGCCCTATAGGCTATCCTCTGCCGAAAAAGATATTGTCCGTGAAAAAATAAAATCTCTACTCGACGCCGGCGTCATTAGAGAGAGCAATTCACCCTTTGCTAGCCCCATCCTCTTAGTGAAAAAGAAGGACAACACGGACAGGATGTGTGTGGACTACAGGGAACTTAACGCTAATACGAAACCAGAGCATTACCCATTACCTATAATTGACGAACAGATCGACAGACTGAACGGAGCTCATACATTTTCCTCGTTAGATATGGCATCTGGGTACCAACAGATCCCCATAGATCCTGAAGGTGACAGCATCGCGCGTACTGCCTTTGTTACACCAGAGGGCCAGTACGAATATTTGACTATGCCGTTTGGCTTAAAGAATGCAGCCTCTGTTTATCAGCGGTGTATCAATAAGGCGCTTGGTTCCCTTAAGGATGGCGTGGTACTAGCATACATGGACGATGTCCTCTGTTTTTCTAAAAATGTTCCTGAGGGTTTGATTCGTCTTGAATTAACACTTAAAGCGCTTTCAGAGGCCGGTTTCTCTTTTAATATACGCAAGTGCAAGTTTCTTAAATACGAAGTCGACTACCTCGGATACGTAGTTAGAGCCGGGGAGATCACTCCAAACCCCCGAAAAGTTCAAGCTCTCGCTGATGCTCCTGCACCCAAAACCGCTTCTCAAGTGCGCCAATCCCTTGTCGTGTAGTGGCTATCTACGTGAAATTGGCAGAATTGTGGGTATATCCCCGTTGAGCCATTAAAAAAAAGAAAGAAGAAGACGTAACTCAGTTGGCTGGACATATAGCGCATAGGTTTGCACCCGGTGCATGTGCCACGCTTTCTGCGGAACGTCTTGATTTTATAATTGTGCCTTACGTTAACTTTATAATTGTACTTCGATTTCAAGAATTAGTGAGTGCGTTGTTCCTAAATTGTAACAGTGAAATATATCAGTGATTATTCTTTGATATTGGATTATTTCTCCTCGCCCGTTAATCCACGCCACCTCTAAGCACCAATGGAGGGCACCGGCAATCCTGGCAATACCCACGTGCCTACATATTTATTTTTATATAAACTATGTTGATCTCTGAATAAAGGCTATAAATAAAATAAATAAATATGAATGAAGGAACACGCGACATGCTTGGGCGTAGACCGCCGATGGCAATTTTGTTGTTGATATCGCCGACACGCTGCATCTGTTCTGTTGTAGGCAGACGTTGCAGAAGTCTACCATGTGAGTAAGTGCGCGAGCACACGATGCGTTGCGGCGCCGCAACGTTGTTACGTCGCAGCGGCGCCGCGGGCAACCCAGCAACATACATTCTCTATGACGCATAAACAACTGAGCGGTGCCGCTCCGACGTCGCAACGCAGTCACCCCTCCCCGCCTCGTCTCGGTGGTTTCAAATCCGGTGCGGCGCCGGAGCGCATCGTGTGACATGCCATAGATATTTCTATGTAAGACGACGCAGCGACACCGATCCGGCGCGCCGCAACGCATCATATGCTCCCGCTCTTACTTGGTGCGTTTTTATACAAATTCGTTGCCACCGACTACGGACGGCTGTTTAGCGGTCACGCAGACGTTGGAAAGTTGTCCGTCTGAGTTAAGTGATCAGCGTCACCCCGCCACTGCGGGGCAAGACTTAAATTTGATGTGGGCAAGACAGATTTCGCGAGGCCCTGTTCTGTGGCGACCTGAAGACGGATTTTATAAAAAAAAGAAATTCGCTTTAAACAATGCATAAAAATTTTTGAAGCGCGAGGCCCCTTGTACCGCGAGGCCGTAGGCGGTGGCCCACGTCGCCCACGCCTTACGCCGCTTCTGCCTATAGGCACATGTAAAACCAGGAGTACACAACTGCGATGCCGGCCTTTAAGGAAGGAGTAGTATGTTATTTTTTAGGTTTTCACGTCGTATTAGTCCGGCAACACTGCTTGCGACAATGTTTCCACAGTTTCGTTGTACGTGGTAAAAAAAGACGTCAATAATCAAAACGCTCACGATGCTTTGTAGCAATCGCAGAAAGATCAAATAGCGTAATTTTTGTCGTGGCTGACATGCTATTCGATCTCAGTGCGTTGTGTCAATGAAGAAAAGCCATGACGCGACCATATTAGTTTACGAGGCAGTGTTTTGCGATATGGGTCCTACTAGCCTCGGAAGGTTTTGGTATAAGTCGCGGCACGAAACTCTAGTGCTGATCGTTATTGCGCAGAAGTAAAAATTAAGATGTGTTGGGGGAAACGAGGTGCGCGGGTGGGTGTGCTTTGAGCCGATTGGCTCTCCAGTCCACGCATGCGCAGCTATCCCTGACGCGTTTTGATCAGCGCTAGAGTTCTTCTTCTTCTTTTTCTTTTTTATGGCATAGCGCTAGAGTTACGTGCCGCGACCTGTAGATGTCATTGGGTTTTTTTTATCGTGTAACTGGTACCAGACAGACAATGTACTTAAAATGTCTTTTCTGGTATAGCTACTTTTTCGCTCAATGAGCATTTTCGGTTTTTGAGTATAATATTTATAAACTAATAATAATAACAATACTCTGCTTGCTATACTTATTTTTTGCATTCAGTTCAACTTATATATATATATATACATAGCTCTCATATATATAGCTATACTAAGCAGAGTTCGTATTATGAAAATTATAAAAAATATTCATTTATACAAGCAAAGATAAGTGTGATCATCTCACAAATAATCTCCACTTCAGTCCTCTGGAGCAGAAGGCAAGAGTGGCAATACGTCATAAATTACTATATTATTTGTATTGCGGGGATCATGTTTCCATGATTCATTGAATCAGTCTGGAATCAAGTCAAACGAAGACTTGATTTTTAAGACTTTCACTCTCCATACACATCAAATTAATGGGCTAGGTAATATACGTTCTATATTGTTGTTCCAGGTAGAAATAGACGAGAAAGTTATTGAAGTATCCAAAAAATTTCTGCCATTTATGGCTGTGGGCTTTGAGAGTGACAAACTGACTCTCCACGTTGGAGACGGGTTCGAGTTCCTCAAAAACCATCGCGAGGAGTTTGACGTCATCATTACTGACAGCAGCGACCCCATTGGCCCAGCGGTCAGTTTGTTCGAAGAAAATTATTTCTCTCTGATGAAAAGAGCGCTTAGACCGAACGGCATCGTTTGCTCTCAAGCTGGTACCATTTGGAATGATCTAGAACTCGTCAGTAGTACACTGAAGTATTGTAAGAATCAGTTTGCATCCGTCGCGTACGCTTACACCTCGGTTCCGACGTATCCGTCGGGGCAGATAGGCTTCGTCATCGGTTCTTTGAACAAGGACGTGAAATTCGACACGCCAGATTTGATCTTCTCCCGGGATGACGAAAAGTCTATGAATTTGAGGTACTACAACAGCGATGTGCACAGAGCAGCATTTGTTTTGCCAACTTATGTAAAATATGATCTAACATAAATTGTTTTCTGATCAGTAACCGTAGCACAAACCAATATCGAATTCGAATAGTTTGCGAGTCCGAAATGTCATTGTTTAGTTTCGTATCGAAACTTGAACAGCAGCGCCACAAAGGACGTAACCAGAAGAACTAAAAATCAGTATACATTAGACAATGACATTTTGGTCTCGTTCTAACTATTGTAATTTGATATTTGTTCGTGCTAAGGGTACTGCTCATTTTCGAGTACTTAAAATGCATTTAATTGAAGATGCAAACTAGTACTGCCTATATACATAATAAATCTCATAATTACTGGATATGATAAGGCATTGTTATCAAACATATATTTATATTTTTTTATAAATTTTATGAGAAGAACTGAATCGCTTTACACGGGTATCTGAAAATACAATAGTGTGTTTTTCTTAATTCTAAATAATGTCTCTATTTTAATTGTTGAAAATTTTAAATGTTACAAAACCATTTATTGAAAATATATAAATAATAGATTTATTTACAAATTATTATATTCTGTTGATATTACTTTTAAAATTCCTCATTATTAATTACATTCCAGATTGTTCCACCGGGTAATCTTAATGCTAAATAATTTAGTAGTTTTTAAGATTAAAGTGAATGGAGACTATACGATATTGCACTCTATTGAGTAACCTGTAGAATAGAATATATTTTTAATGTTTTTATCAGAGAACAATACATAATACTTTGTGTAGTTAATTGTTATTCCCGTTTTAAGAAATGTGGGTGCCTTAATTTGCTAATACCTATCATAGTAATTGTTATTTTATATTTTGTACAATGTTTTTACGAATGTTAAATCAATGGCATAGAGCAACACAGCCGACGCGGCTAGGAGGGGAGTAGCCAATGACATAATACTACTGAAATCATTATGCCGCTTTTTGCGGGGGGAGGAAAATGCACACAAATGCAGTCCAACATACTTTCGCAAAAACGAAATTGTAATTACGACACTCGCACGTAAAAAATGACAGCGCTAGCTTGGGCATAGATGAAACTTAAGTTTTTTTATTGACAGATCTGAAATTTGTACCGGCAAGTCGATTGTTTTGTCAAACAAGTCTGACGATTGAATTTTAATAAAATAATATGAATTTTGTGTTTAAAAGTGGTTGAATACAAATAATATATTAATCATTCTACTTATATGTATGTGAAATTTAACACCATCCTTTTGTAAGCTTAATATTCCGGATATGTTTTCCTGCTAATTGCATAACATTTTGGCATTTTTGATTTTTGGCGATTTGACTCAGTCTAGTGAAATATCCGACGCGCAACTAGTTTTGTTTATGACCTGGCCCAACAACGAGGGAAAATCGACAGAGGGGAACGCTGTCAATGCCTACTCCCCTCCAGGCCGCGTCAGCCGCATTGCTCTATGATCAATGGCAATTAAAATTAATATATTTTTTTCTACTATGAAAAATTGTAATTATTTATTAGAATACCTTGCACAGCCTCGTTAGGCGATTGGCCCTCTAGCTGATGGTGAGCTACCTTACGCTACTATAATATCATTTTATTTTCGCTGTTGCGTACTCGATCCCATCCCCTACGCCGTGGAGCCTTCGCACTTTGCTTTTATTAATATACCTTAGTTCATTTAGTCTTGGGGGAGTACTTTTCCAATAATTATTGCATTATGTAGAGGAGCTCGATGGCGCTTGGTTAGCGCGTTAGGCTGCGATCGTTGAAGTTAAGCAACTTTCACAATGAACGGTCCGTTGGATGGGTGACCAAAAATCTTATAAATTGAGTTAAGCCGTTGGTCCCGGCTGCATCTGCAGTAGGGATGATCGATATTAGAAAAACATCGATGTTAACATCGAAACAAAAGTATCGATGTACGACAAATATCGATAGAAAAACATCGATGTTTTTTGAAAAAAATAAAACTATCTATTAAAATATAATATGAAATGATTTATTTATTAGATAGGGTGTCTCGGTAAGAGTGTACTTTTTAATATTAAGATATAAACACGTATTTTTTGAGAGAGATGTAATGTTTTTATTGGATTCTAAAGTAGATTGGGTTCCGATTAAACATGAAATAAAATATTCGGCAATAGCCCCCCACGGCCCTGATGACAGGCTATCTAAAAGGGCTCCATTTTTAATAATGAGAGTAAACGTAGGTGTATGTAATGACAAGTTGACAGTATTTTATTTATCTCTTGAGAAATGAAAACAAACTTATTCGTACATAATACGTCTTTGGGCTTACTCCAATTATTTTGATCAGTGTCATCCAGTGGAAAATATATAGTTGTAACTTGATAGTCATCTGCTAATGATTATGCAACATTTAGTTGATGCTAGTACACCTAATGCACGCCAGACGGCACCCAAAAGCATAATTGACGTTTCGATATTTTATTCTAGTAACATCGATGTTTCGATGATATCGAAGTCAACCTATCGATGTTAAAACATCGATGTTTTCCAGTTAAACATCGATGTTTATTCAACATCGATGAATATCGATCATTCCTAATCTGCAGTCGTTAGTTAGCACCCGCCAATACGCACTGGGCCCGCGTGGTGGTGGGTCATGGCCCAATCTCCCTATTCCATCCATAGGGAAGGCCTGTGCCCCAGCAGTGGGGACATTAATAGGCTGATGATAATCGCATTATGTTTAATATTTCAATATATACAGGCTGTAAAAAAACCTTAAACGAAGCCGAAGGCCACTTTTTTTTTTTTTTTTTTTTTATAGTTAGGTCCGACAAATGACTCCACCCCACCTGCGGGTCAATTATGCTTTAGTGATATAATCATAATGTGATGTTGATGCCAACTTGACATTGTTTTTAAATTGGTATTATGAAACATTCCTATGTCACATCAAGATCATATCAATATCATATCCTGTATCACATTTTTGACGTTTTTGCGATACTGTTTTAAGTCAAAAAGTTGAACGTAATACGCATTTAAGTTGATATCATTTTAAAGAGTTGATCATAATAAGTACGCATAAGTTGATGTCATTTTGATATCGCATTTTTCGGAGAGCATAATACGTAATGTGAAATTGACATCAAAACAATATCACAATTAGCGAGCATAATTGGCCTGCTGATGTTAAGTGAAGGTGAAGTCCAGACGCGAAGATAGCTGATACAGCAGTTCTACCTGCCACACCAGCCATCCTCACCCTGCCGGCCTGCATGTTGCTTCTTCACGCCTCTTTTAAAGGATCCCAGGTTGTAAGAGGGAGGGAACATGTGAGCGGGCAGAGCATTCCATTTACGGATAGTGCGACAAAGAAATGAGTCACCAAATTTCTTTGTACGCGTTGGAATTGTGGCCACAGTAAAACGGTGACAACGTAGGCCAGCGCGCGTGGTCCTCTGAAGGAAAGGGGAAGGTGGGATAAGAGAGAATAACTCCTCAGAACACTCGCCGTGGTACAAACGATAGAACGCGCTTAGTGACGCCACGTCACGGCGTAATTGAAGAGGCTCAAGGTGTTTAGTCACCTCCTCATCGCCTATGATGCGGATCGCGCGCCGCTGTAACCTATCCAAAGCATCGAGCAAGTACTTGGCGGAGCCATCCCAGAGGTGCGAGCAATATTCCACGCAGGACCGCACTTGCGTTTTGTACAACAAGCACAGTTGATCGGGCGTGAAAAAACGCCGCACCTTGTTCAGGACTCCGAGTTTGCGTGAAGCTGTTTTGATCACGGTTTCGATGTAGTCCTTTGGATTCAGGTCTGAGCGAACTTCCATACCGAGCATGGAAATGTTGCTCTGCAGCGGTAGTGTTGTGCCCTGAAGAGATGGAAGGGGAAGGAATGGCGATGTTTTTACCGTGAAAGCGCAAGCCTGAGTTTTCTTGGCATTGAACCCAACCAAGTTCCTGGTACCCCATTCGGAAATGTGTTCCAAAGCCTGATTGAGTTCAATGACAAGATTTTCCCGTTTCTCCCTGGTTACTGCATGCCCAGCCGCTGCTTGTCCGAGATACCCCGCATGCACTGTACTATCGTCTGCATAGCAATGAATATTCCCAAGAGGAATCAGGTCATTGATATGCAGCAGAAAGAGAGTGGGGGATAGGACGGAGCCCTGGGGAACGCCGGCATTCACTGACATGAACCGCGAACTGCTACCATCCGTAAGGACACGAATTCTACGCTCATGCAGGAAGTCAGCTACCCAAGAACAGAACTGGGCTGGCAGACCGTATGCCGGAAGCTTGGAGAGAAGGCTTTTGTGCCAGACCCTGTCGAACGCCTTGGCAATGTCAAGGCTGATAGCCAACGACTCGCCACGCTTGTCGATAGCCTCACCCCAGATATGAGTTAAGTACGCTAGAAGATCACCCGTCGATCGTTTCGGTCTAAATCCATATTGACGATCATTAATCAGGGAGTGATCCTCTAGGTAGCGGGTCAGATGGTTATTAAGGACCTTTTCTAGAACTTTACATAAAACTGAGGTGACTGCTATTGGCCGATAGTTTGCCGGGTCCGAGCGATCCCCTTTTTTGGGCACCGGTTGCACGTTAGCATCTCTCCAAGTCTCCGGCACACGTCCCAAAGAATACGAGCATTGGTACAAGCGCGTGAGCACGGGAGACAACTCCGCTGCACATTTTTTAAGTACTACTGCTGGGATGCCATCAGGTCCACTAGCTTTCCGGACGTCGAGTGATTGCAACTCGGCACGAACCTCACGCTGCCTGATTTTAATATCAGGCATCGTTGTGCCACAGTGAGGTAATGATGGTGGCAGTGCATTGCAATCATGGATTCGGGAGTTAGCCGCAAAGAGTATGCTCCACATCATGACAATCATTTTTTTCCTCTGGACCATACGTGGGAAATTTATGGTTATGGAGATATTGAGGGTCAGTCACAATTTTTTTTTCATAATTTTCACAAAAACGTTATTTAGAAACTTTTTTATCGACGCACTTACACACATAGACACAGGCACATTATTTGCGTAGCGCCATAGTAGCGCGCCGCGCTATAAATTCCGTACTGGAAAAAAAATGTATTTTTTTTACTTAAAAATACAAATGTTTCCCACGTATAATATTTTGTAATATTACTTATTTGGGTGTATAGAATGCGTAGTTTTAGTCTTTGTCATAGGTTTTTTTACACCCTGTAGATACCACAGCACTGTTTAAATCCTTATTTTACGTTCTGATGTAGCTGCAGATTGCCTGGAGTGACTTCGTTCAAATTTCTCCAAAATTTAACAAGATTCACAATCAATTAAAAAAATGTTACCAGCCATTAATAGTTCACAATACCTACTGCTAACACGGAATACGGACCACTGGCCAACAACTTACAAAGAAATAAAAGGAATTTAATAGCGCAAATGGTTGTTTGTTGGTCCCGGCTAGGGTTACCATCTATTTCAGGGAGGATGTCGGTCTGGGATAGACAAAGCGCCTAATTTTTCAATAAAAAGCCTGTCTACAATAAAGAAATCTTTTAAGCCAACTAAAAAACTAATATATTACTATAACAAGCAGTTACATGCTTAATAAAATATAACTTTAATTGCTATTTCTTTCTTTTAAATTGTTAATACTTATTGTGGGTTACCTACAATGCGAAGAGATGGCGCTGCCTTGCAGTTTAAGAATTTCATCGAGGCCGCGGTAGCATAATTGCATTCGCCCGGATAGCGAAGGGTGCGGGTTCGAGTCCAGTCTGCTGCCTGGTCTGCGTGGCATTTTTATAGTTATATTTTCTTTAGATTTAAACATCAAGCAGTTACCGTTCTTATAACAAATAAGTCCAAGTAAATAATGCATCCCGTCGCCCGCAAAGTCGCTTTATCTCGTTTTTCCTTACTGCATTGCGTGGCCCACGCACGCACGGCGCATGAGTGTCGTGACTGCGAAAGTAACAACGATATTAAATACCCTTGACACACCACGTGCGCTCAAAATGGGTCACAATGAAGAAGTGCTTGAACACCACTCAAGCACTTTTTGGTTCACAGTCACGTGCGGATCGTTGAAGTCAAGTTGAAGTGCTCCGTGAAAAAATGCGAAAAAAATACTTATAGTATGTAATTATGTAAAGTATCATTTTTTCGACAGGTATCTAATCAATGTTTGTTAATTAAACGCTTTCGAAACAAATTTTGTTCTAATACTTACTATAGACTGATTTAATAGAAAATATTTGTGATATTATTCAAATGCATGGTCGGTATATAGCAGTCTCTTTTCCTCGCGGTCCGTACCTGCAATATTGCTAACAGCGCATTCAGAATTGCGCGTAGAATCAAAGCAATAAGGTCTATATTCTTCCGCACATAGCAATGAGTCGTAAAATTTAACGAGCTTGCATTTCTGTCATAACTCTGACGCATGCGTTTTAATTTAGACCTTATACTGTATGCATTGAAAGTGATTTTCGATGTTTAAATAATGCCTTATACTATTTTTAACTACGCGATCATCTTACGCATCTCCGCGGATCATCCAATGTACATTTTGGACAGGTTTGGGCACGATTTTGTTCGTGTCGGTGCGGTGTACCTAGGGTATTTAATATAGTTGGAGTGACACGCGACATTCAAAAATGTCTGTCAAATGCAGCGAAAGCCTGTCAGATGGTAACCCTATTCCCGGCTGCATCTGAAGTAATTACCACCCACCAATCCGCACTGGACCCGCGTGGTAACTCATGGTGGACTGTGTCCCAGCAGTCGCAACATTAATAGGCTGATGATAAAGAAATAAAACACAATAAATTATTCAGTATGCATTTCTTTAGTAGCATTTAAGGCTTCGGTTTTTCTTCTCTTCGACGCCCCTTCTATTTCAGCTTCTTGTATGGCGGAAAATATAGCGCCGTCTTTTACTTTTTTCAGTATCTTCTTGTCGTGAAAGGGATGTGTGTGTGCTGAGATCCTTAAAAGAATATTATAAAATTAGGAGAGCAATTCTTTTAAAAATAATCATGCTGGTCATCGGAGGCATATTAATTTTATTTATTAACAATTTGAATTTATGTGGTAAGATGATTTGAAAAATATAATTATCTCTTAAAACCTCTGTATAACCATATCTTTCTTAATAATCACTTGTGCTAGATGATGAAAAGGAGACAAATATATATTATTTATTTTTCAGCCCAGCATGTGACACGTCATTGTCTAGAGCTCGTTAAGCAGGATATAAATATAATCTTTATTACGATTATTTTCAAAAACAAAAATAATGACGGGCAGTCAACGTTGTCATTTTTAAACCATTTTTGTTACGGGATCTATCTCAAAATAGAAATTAGTACCCATATACTTTATTTAAACAACAAATATTGAAAACGCTGATTCAAAACGTACTTTGTACTTAAGTTGTGAAGAAAACCAACAAATTATATTTTCTTTCGCGGTTTGTTGTACGGAACCCTTTATGCGCGAGTCCAACTCGCACTTGGCCGGTTTTTTCGACATCAGGTATCTAGTTATATTATTTATTTTTTAAGCATTTAACTCGACACGGCCATCAGGGCCGCGGTAGCATAATAGTCAGTGCATTTGCCCGGATAGCGAAGGGTGCGGGTTCGAGTCCCGCCTGCTGCCTGGTCCGCGTGGATTTTTTTCTATTAATATTTTCTTTAGATTTAAACAATGCTTTAAAAATAATAAAAATTATAACTTAATATATTTACTAAAAATATTGAATAATGTTGGCCTCACCTTTGTTTGACCATGTCGTCTTTAGTAACCACGTGGGCGGGACACTTGACGCTGGTCAGGTAGTCGACGCAGCGTCATTGCCGCGTACTGTTTCTACTCGAATGCTTCAATTTAGTGACCACGTGCGCTGGTCACTTGACGCTGGTCAGCTAGTATGAAAACTGCACTTTTGCTTCTGACACTTTTGTTATATTTACTATAAATATTGTATAATATTGGCCTCACCTTTGTATGACCATGTCGTCTTTAGTGACCACGTGCGCGGGACACGCTGGTCAGGTAGTATGAATACTGCACTTTTGCTTCTGACAATAGAATATTTACTAAAAATATTGAATAATGTTGACCTCACCTATGTATAACCATGTTGCCTTTAGCAACCACGTGCGCAGGACACTTACGCTGGCCAGCTAGTATGAAAACTGCACTTTTGCTTCTAACACTTTATTTATATTTACTAAAAATATTGAATAATTTTGGCCTCACCTTTGTATAACCATGTCGTCTTTAGTAACCACGTGCGCGGGACACTTAACGCTGGTCAGCTAGTATGAAAACTGCACTTTTGCTTCTAACACTTTATTTATATTTACTAAAAATATTGAATAATTTTGGCCTCACCTTTGTATAACCATGTCGTCTTTAGTAACCACGTGCGCGGGACACTTAACGCTGGTCAGCTAGTATGAAAACTGCACTTTTGTTTATAACACTTTTTTTATATTTACTAAAAATATTGAATAATGTTGGCCTCACCTTTATATAACCACATGTCTTTAGTAACCACTTGCGCGGGACACTTGACGCTGGTCAGCTAGTATGAAAACTGCACTTTTGCTTCTAACACTTTATTTATATTTACTAAAAATATTGAATAATGTTGGCCTCACCTTTGTATAACCATGTCGTCTTTAGTAACCACGTGCGCGGGACACTTAACGCTGGTCAGCTAGTATGAAAACTGCACTTTTGTTTATAACATTTTTTTTATATTTACTAAAAACATTGAATAATGTTGGCCTCACCTTTATATAACCACATGTCTTTAGTAACCACTTGCGCGGGACACTTGACGCTGGTCAGCTAGTATGAAAACTGCACTTTTGCTTCTAACACTTTATTTATATTTACTAAAAATATTGAATAATGTTGGCCTCACCTTTGTATAACCATGTCGTCTTTAGTAACCACGTGCGCGGGACACTTGACGCTGGTCAGCTAGTATGAAAACTGCACTTTTGCTTCCAACCCTTTTTTATATTTACTAAAAATATTGAATAATGTTGGCCTCACCTTTGTATGACCATGTCGTCTTTAGTAACCACGTGGGCGGGACACTTGACGCTGGTCAGGTAGTCGACGCAGCGCCACTGCCGCGTACTGTTTCTATTCGAATGCTTCAAGTAATACAGAAACCGATTCAGGATCATTTGCAACGAGCCCTGGTTGGTCACTGTGTATTGCATCACGCGCACATCTACGAATGTTATTATAGTTTTTTATACCAATTAAACATTATGAAAACGAACATCTTTACATAATACTAGATGTGCTCAGCGGTATAACCCGCGTCAATTTGAGGAATAAACCTACTAAACTTTATTCCATACGATATTTTAGAACAAATTTAGTGACCATTTAAAAAAAGGTAAAGTGATTCAACTGTAAAAGGAATACATAATGTTGTCGTGACCTTTTTTCAGCGCATGCAATGGAATCTATCAATTGCTTTTTAATTTGTTTACTTGGACGGTGTAACACGACTTCCAAATCATGAACCAGATATTATTTTTTACTTTTTAATTCCATTTTCAATTTTTATGTCCGTTTTATTTTTTGTTTAAATATTTTTTATTTCATCCATTTTAGTGAAAATTACACCGTCCAAGTAAACAATATCAGAATTGACGGAGAAATCGGCGAACATGGAAAAAAACATCGTGCGTGCCTTTACAATTTGAAGGTTTCCTTCGATTTCCCCGGATTCCACCATCAGATCCTGACTTGGTTCCAATGGGACCAACTTCGGAAGTGCACTCTTTCGAATAAAAAAAAGGAATTTTGGAAATCGGTCCACAATTGATGAAGAAATCGGGGAACATACTAAAAAAATATATACAGTCGAACCAGAACCTCCTCCTTTTTAAAAGTCACTTAAAAATGAAATATTTCTCCACTCTTATTGATTCTAGGTAGGTTTACCGGAATTTCATATAGTATAAAAATATAATAGGTAAGATATTTATATAATGGAAACTACATACTTTTTGTATCAACCGCTTTCAGTGGGTCATAAGTGCCTTTGTCTATGATTTGATCCATTAAACTTGTGTCATAATTATCTTCAACATTTTCATTGTCTAATGATTCTCGGACTATTAGTTTTATAGCTTTGGTGTTATCAACTAAACTAAAAAAAAAAACAGTTACATATTACTTTAATACATGTTACAATCTTTCACAAAAGATGGATTAGTTCAAGCATCATACATTTTATTAAGTAAACAGATTACCATTGACATTACCTCATTTACAGAGATAGCGGTGTCGATTCTGGCATAATTCCCTAAACCTAAAACTACAGTGTGTCCTTGTCATTCTTAATACAAGATGAAAAGGAGAGACTGATGTTAAATTTAGTTTTTAGTTTAGAGAATCATGCCAGAAACGACACCATAGTTACTCTTTAATGCATTAATATAAAATCATCCCAGTTTTAATGGAATATCTTCACTGATAGCACTGATTGTTTTCATATGTTTTTGGTATGTTTAAGGGAGCTTCATGGCGCAATGCTTTAGCCTATTAGGCCTACAATCATCTGCAGTTAAGCAACTTTCGCAGTTTGTCCAAACTTTATTATCTCGAGCTCCTCAACACCCAATAGGCATATTAAGCTGTTGGTCCCATTATCATTTGCAGTTGTTAATACAAATCCACATTAGGTCTGGGTGGTGGATCATGGCTCGATCTCCGTATCCCATCCATTTGTAAAGTCTGCAGACATTAATAAGCTGAATAATAAATATAATAATAAAATGTATCAACTGATAATTAAAGTGTAGTGAGGACCTCGATGGCGCGGGTGGTGAGCGCGTTCGTCTGCGATCGTTGAAGTTAAGCAACTTTCGCAGCGTTCGGTCATTGGATGGGTGACCTAAAATCTTCAATCTTGAGTTCCTCCGTGCTTCAGAAGGCAAGTTCAACCTTTAGTCCCAGCTGCATCTGCAGTCGTTAGCACCCGCCAATCCACACTGAGCCCGCGTGGTGGGTCATGGCCCAATCTCCCTATTCCATCCATAGGGAAGGCCTGTGACCCAGCAGTGGGAACATTAATAGGCTGATGATGATGATGATTATAGTGTAAATGACACTTACTTGGAGTCTTTTAGGTCTAAATCTGATTGGTCTTCCTCCGTTTGGTTGGTTATCTCAAAATAACACACTTGTTCATCAACATCATCTGGTGTAACGCTCTGTGTGTTTGTGATCTGATCTTTAAGGACATGGTGTGATTGTGATCTCTGTACAACATTTAAATTTAGAAAATATTGTCTACTACTACTAAATTTATACGATTTAATTTATTCGACAAAGCGAGATCATTCTCCTTCAGCGGAACCAGCAGCGCGAACTAGCAATTAAGTAACACCAGCACCGAACGGAAAACCAAAAATTTACAAACAGAAAACAACACAACAACAAGGAAAAGTCCCAATCAGGCTGGTCACCTTGGGACGTTAGACCACCACCCTCTAGAAAATAAACAACAAACAGGAAAGACATTAAAACCTAAACTTTTACTAAACCCAACAATAAGAAAAGATAAAAATAAACTATTCATAGCAACCCTAAATACAAGGACACTCAGAACAGATGATAGACTAGTAGAACTCGAATATGCATTACAAGGAATAAACTGGGATGTAATAGGTCTGAGCGAAGTACGACGACTAGGAGAAGAAGTGAGAGAACATGAAGATTACCTGTTCTACTACAAAGGAGAAACAAAGGGGCTACACGGTGTAGGTTTTATCGTTAAAAAGCATCTCAAAGAAGCAATTACACAATTCAGAAGCAAATCGGAAAGAATTGCTATTTTGGACTTGACTATCCAAGATGGAAAAGAGCCATGGTCCATCATACAAGTATATGCGCCCACAGAGAATGCAAACGAAGAAGACAAGAACTTATTCTATACATCACTACAAGATACTATTGAAGAAACTAATAAAAATAAGATTATATTGGGAGACTTCAACAGCCAGATAGGTAGCCAACAAAATGGAGAAACTAACATCATTGGACTCTACAGTCAAGGTAGGCGAAATAAAAATGGACAAAAACTCATCGATCTTGCCCTTGAAAACAATTTAAGGATAATGAATACCTACTATAAGAAAAAAAGAAGCAGGAAATGGACTTGGATTTCACCTGATGGGAAAACCAAAAATGAAATTGATTTCGTATTAACCAACACACCGGGATTATTCAATGATGTAGGCATAGTGAATAACCTAAACTTCAGCACAAACCATAGAATGGTTAGAGCTACCTTGGAAATTACAAACAAAAAACGAACTAGGAAATACATAAAAAACAGATCAGATCAGATAGCAACTCCAATATCAGAAAACATCCTTAATAAAGTAAAAAGTCAGATGGATAAAATTAAAAATAGCGATTTAATTCAAGAAAAATATAACACATTCGAAAAAATAATAACTAATCTAGGAAACGAATTGAGACACATGAGTAAGTTAAACAAAATGGACAAAATAGGACATACAGCAAGAACCCTAATAAAAGAAAGAGGAGAAATGCTTGCAGACAGGAAAAAGAACATTAAAAAGATAGAAGCAATAAGTAAAAAGATCACATCAAGTATAAGAGACCATAAAAAGAAAGTACGTTTCAACAGCATTCAATCTGAAATCGAGAAAACAGGAGGAATCAAAAGAGTAATGAAGAAACTTAAGGATCACTCATTTTGGATACCGAAAATGAAGGGAAAAAACAAAGAAAACAAAGAATTTACAACTACAAACAGAACATCAATCAGCAAAATCGCTACGAACTTCTACAAAAGCCTTTATAGTTCATCCGAACTATCAGTAACAATAGAAAATCTAAACAAAGAAGAAGAAGTCCCTTACATACTAGAAAGCGAAACGAGACAAGCCATACTATCACAAAAGAACGACAAAGCTCCAGGAGAAGATAAAATAAACAATGAACTGCTTAAAGCGTCATTGAGTACTATACTAAAAACACTTACTAGTCTATTTAACGAAATCTTAGATAGTGAAATTATTCCGGAACAATGGACAAAATCAACTATAATATTGATTCACAAAAAGGGCGATAAAGACAAAATAGATAACTATAGACCCATTAGCCTCATGACAAACTTGTACAAAGTTTTTTCGAAAATTATTTTAGGCAGGCTCACCAAACGACTAGACGCGGAACAACCAAGAGAACAGGCAGGCTTCAGAGCAGATTTTTCAACGGTAGACCACATGCATGTCGTAAAACAAATAATAGAAAAGTACAATGAGTACAGGAAACCATATTATATTTCCTTTGTAGACTATAATAAGGCATTTGATTCGCTATCTCATAACTACATATATAAAGCTTTGTTCAATCAAGGAATAGAAAATAAGTATATTAGACTCATAAAGAATATATACAGCAACAACACGGCAAAAGTACAATTAGAAAAAATTGGAGAGGAATTTAAAGTCCAAAAAGGAGTCAGACAAGGGGATCCTCTATCTCCCAAGCTTTTTTCAGCTGTGCTAGAGGAAATTTTCAGAAAATTAGATTGGGAAAAGAGGGGACTAAATATTAATGGATGTAGGCTGTCACACCTGCGATTTGCGGACGACTTGATACTGTTTGCGGAGGACCCAGTCACTCTACAAGAAATGCTCTTACAACTTGCAACAGAAAGTCAAAAAGCAGGTCTGACCATGAACACAAATAAAACAAAGATCATGACCAATAGACTTCAACAAAAAATCTGTGTCAATAATCATGACATTGAGTATGTGAATGACTACACATATTTAGGCCAAATAATTTCACCAAACTCGCAGATGGACAAAGAGTTGCAAACACGAGTAAACAACACCTGGGCTCGTTACTGGTCGCTGAAGGAAATATTGAAGAATAAGAACACTCCAATGCCAATCAAACGTAAAGTATTCAACATGTGCATCCTACCAATACTTACCTACGGGTGTCAAACTTGGGGCCTGACAAAGGCGCACAGTCAAAAACTCAAGGTATGTCAGCAAGGGATAGAGAGAAGCATGCTGCACATCCGTTTAAAAGACAAGTGGAGACTGAGCAGAATTAGAAAAATCACAGGTGTGGCAGATGTTTCCAAGAAAATAAGGAGACTTAAATGGCGTTGGATTGGACATGTGATCAGATCCCCCAAAGAAAAATGGACCAAAGAGGTCGTATCTTGGTACCCCAGAGATGGGAGGAGGACAAGAGGGCGGCCACAGAGAAGATGGGAGGATGACCTACCACAAGGATGGCGCAGATTAGCAAGAGATCGGATAAAATGGAAAATTCTAGAGGAGGCCTATGTCCGAGGAGGACAACCTGATTAAAATAGTGCTGGTGTACCAATTTTCTTTTATTAGTAAGTAAAGCATTGTAAAATTAAATCAAATTGTAGCAATAGGAAATTAGTAATACGGCTAGTTAGTAAGTAGTATAATAACTATATCAGAGAATAAAGGCTATTTTTATTTTATTTATTTTACTAAATTTATACTAACCGTTTGTGGCAGTTGTTATTTCAAATTAATATGCCAGTAGTAGATTTAAGAATTCTAGAAAATTTATCCTTAACTAAGCATCTTTTACGATAAAAAATCAAGCCTTACATTAAAAATTACTCTTAAAGAAAATTTGATTAATAATACCTGTAAATTACTTTATCATTTTATATTATTCATAAAATTGTTTGAAATAAATTGTTCTAATTGACATACCATATTTTCCAGGCCTTTGATATGCAGCTCTTGCCCTGCCTCAACAAACTCGTCAAAATTTTCAAAAGCTATCAGTACTTCTCCAGTGTAGATGTATTCCAATAATAAGCCAAGTGTAGAATGTGATATTTTCTGTAAGATGATTACTATAAAGAAGATATCAATATTTCTATGCATTAATAATTTTATGGTTCCATGGCTTTGCAGGTCCAAGGCCCCATTCCCTAAGTTCTTCGTTAGATTATTTATTATTTCAGAAGCTTATGTTGAGTATTTAATACTATCATTAAAATTTTCTGCGCAAATGTCTCAAAATGCACAAGTTACTTGAGCTGTATAGAAGCACTCTAAGAATGACATGTTATGCCCAGTTCTATATTTGTGAAACTATAGTTGGTGTAGGTGCATACGTTTAGAAAGATGACAGGATGTGGACAATTTGCCGAAGAGATCAGCTGCTTGATGAAAGGGCTTGCAAGAGCCATGACAACTTGATGTACTTTCACGAAATGTCCATCAGCTGCTAAAGTCATATCGACTAATTCTCCGTTCTGTAATAGCAAAACCAGACTATCTGTTTATTATTCTATTAGTCACGTGAAAAATAATTCTAGATGTCTACGTGAGTTTCCTAACAATAACATTGTTTATACCTGTTGGAGACCACTCAGTCCATTGCAAATATTTTTTTCATAATGATCCCATGCCAATGAAAACCGCGCCTGATTCATTGTGAAATACAAGTGCTTCACCAATTCACAGCAGACTTAAAAGAGGATAGGTACCGATCAATACTTGTTTATTTTTTGATAATATTTTTCTATTTTCTCAACTCAAAGTCTCAAACCATTGATTGACATCTAAAAAGTTAACTCAAACAAAACCAAACAGACGTATACGTATGTCAAAACAGGCTTTTCACAGTCACAGACCTTATAGAGTTAGTTACTGGGACTGGGACCGATTCTGGCGTTACATTCTCTAAACCTAAACTTAAAATTAGAGACCTAATTTTAGTTTAGGTTTAAAGAATTGGTATACTGCAATTGCGAACTGAAAACTAAACTCAAAAATTGTAACTAAATTATGAACACAGTTGACAGCTGTAAACGAGCATCTAAATTGAATTGACAGATTATATCATTGAACCGGGAATTATCGGTTTACTCAAATTAGCAATAAATACTTATTTTTCAGTGATTTATACTTATTTCAGCAATTCTTTGTTATTCTTCTTCATCTTTGAAATATGGAAACTTATCGTTTGTTAATTTACTGAATGGAAAATTATTATGTGAATACTTACTCTGTGGTACTTAGGGTTTCTAGATTAGGAGTGTTTATCCTTATTTTGGGGAAAAATATGAACTTGGAGAAATTAAATCTGTGGGGAGAACTGTAGGAATCATATTTTTCTTAGAGCATGCCTAAGTATTTTTTTTTGGCAAAAGGGTGGGGAAAGCCACTACTTTATAAATTAAATTTAAATATAGGTACCAACTATATTTTGGTACCCAACAAATCTATTATGGATGATCAGTGACGATAGACCGTGTCGATTCCGAGCCGAGCCTCAGCCGTAGCACGGTCACCGAGCCGATCCCGTACCTATAATTTACAAAGACGTGCCTCGACCGAGCAATTAGGTAGGTACCATTGTGTCGTGATGCAGTTTATTCATTCAGATAAAGTAATTTATTACTTTTTTAGCTTGTTTTATATATGAAGTGGATTTTTATTTATGTTAACAAAGATATGTTAGCTCCCACTAAGCCGCATTAGGCCCGCTTGTTGACTCATGACACGTTAATAGGCTTACAATAAATCCGTATCGTAACATAGACTTACGTACCTTTTTAAAAAAAATAAAAGATCTAGCTTATATATTATTATTACCGTTGTTCATTATTGTATAAAATGTATGACTTTTTTAACGAAATAAACCCATACCCAACCTTAACAACAAGTTCAAAACTTAAGTACAGCAATCATTTTTCTAATATTTGGCCCCAATTATTCACATTTAAATTTAGAGAGGACCTCCGTAGGTCCTTCTTAGATTCAGTGTGACATTTCTAATTTTATAGAAAATAACGAGAAAAAAACGCGTTTCAGAATACCATTTAATCATCTAAATCTAACTTGAATAACTTAGCGACGTCAATTTTAAATTTAGAGATAGTGTCATTACAGAATACTAAATTGAATATGACAACTCTATATCTAATTTTAGTCAGTTTTAGATATAAGTTGGCACGCCAGAATTGGGCCCACTTTAAGCATACCTCTGAATAATTCAGAGATTTGTACACATTTGTTTTTTTTTTTAAGTTTTACGGCCCTGAATTTCTCCATTTCGGCCACACATTCTGTAGGGATGTCCAATATCGTAAGGAATCTATCGATATATTGATTAATGGTTATATTTTATATGGGGATATTTTGCGATTTCAATTCATCTCTGAGTTCAAATAATCAATCCAAGCGATATTTTTTTACCGGTTAATCAATACATCGACCTTCTATATCACTTCATACATTAACAGAGCCTAAACATGAAACACACCTAAAAAAAATGGGTGCGTGTACTTATGTAGGCGCGTGAGAAGTTATCCTTCTTTGGCATCGTTTAAAATTAGTTTTTAATTGCATGCAAATAATTAATTACAATAAATTAATAAAAAGTCTGGAAAAGGACACAGTCAATGAAGTTCAGTTTTAATTTGAAAATATAAATAAATAATCAAAATATTCAATTAAAATCGCTACTGAATATAATTTATTAGAACATATGTGATTTGCACTTGTATGAAACTCAAACACGTATTCCGAATATACAAACTAGAAATATGTGGATAAATATTATAAATATGAATACCTATAACTGTTACTTTATTACAAAAAGTAAAGATGTGGTTTTTGGTTCTACTACACCAATGGTCAAGAGATGGAGCTCTAGTTTCCTGAATCGCGCTTTGGTTCCGTTGTTCCAGATTAATAAATACTTTTGATAGGCCTTCACAATGCAGTCGTTAGCACCCACTAAATAGAGATTCTATTTTGTTGGTAGATTTTCTTAATGTGCGGTAAACACAAAAATTTTTTGAGTTACAGTGATGCGCGCGCATCTTAAAATTTCACTCTCATCATTTTTTCATAACGCGCCTAAAGAAGTATAACTTCAAAAATCACCATAACAAGCTTTGACAGCTCTGATAATTATTCATAATATTTGTTAATTTAACTCTAAGATCTGAAATATTTTATAAGAAAAAAACATTTGTATTCGTATATAATTATGTATAGCTCATTTTAGAAGAAGTTATTATTGAATAATTACTTTAACATAATTAATATGATGCAAACTTTATGGACGCCTCTGAATATGTTGGTTGTTTATATTTCTATCTCTACATATCGCTAAATGAATGTATACTTTATGTTTTTCTAATTAAAACCAAACTACCTAAATATAATATTTATATTAACTATTAAAATTTATCTAGAAAACTGATCAGGACAAAATTCAAAATTGTTTAATTTGTTTAGGCTGTTATATGACTGAATTTATTAATGTTGAAAAACTAAGCGATTGGTTCCCAATTCTACGACGAGAGACCTTGCACTGAAAAGAACCGGGAAGAAATTCAGAAGCTGTACTTGTTTACCTATATTATTGTTAACAGAGACGTTAATTTGAAATATAACTTCTCTCTGATTCCGTTGGCCTAGGCACGTCTTAGAGTACCCCGACGACGAAATCACCCGCGCCAACGCACCTCCGACTCCTCCCACACAGGCCACAAACACCAACACGACACAGCTAGCATACTTGCACACTAGCTTCGCATTAGGCAGGCACTGCACTCGTAGGATAAGAGTGCGAAGACCCGATCTACACACGACACGCTATACCAGGTACAGGTACGTACCTGGCGTTTTTCCCCGCCCCCCACGACAATGGCTAAGCAGAGCCGAGGTCCGAGTCTCAGAGACGCCCTCTAGTTGAGCCAACTGAATTTTGGGGCTGTCCCGAAACCTTAACGTTTTTATAAATTTTCTTTTTATATTTAATTCACGGGGACAGAGTTTTTGAAAATCATAGGTAATTTATTATGTTAAATTTCTACTTTTTTATAGGATGTTACCCCAACATGCTTTTTTTTACTTTCTTTTTAAATTTTAGAGTAGGTACCAAATTTTGCAATATCTACACGTGACACTTATACATGAGGATGTCCCAAAAAGGTCTTATTTTCATTTTATTCTAATGACTGAGAGCTGTAATTGTTTTATTTGATGACTGAGACAGACACAGACAGATGAATTTATATATATATGTATATATATAATAATAATAATTTATAGATATTTGTATATTAGATTAGGTCCAGGTGGTCCGGATGGGTACTTTCATAATTTGGTAGTTTCAAAATCAATACATATATACTTCAAAAACATATTATTTTCACATACAATATTTATGTCGTCTTTTTATGTGAGCACGTTTTGTAAAAATTACCCATAACCTTCTTTTACCTTAGTGGAGCGTAAGGTTGCGTTCTCTTTTTTTAAAGTTACAATCATTTTCTTATAAGAAGCTATTTTCTTTTTTAGTCGATTGTTTTTTCTCCTTAGCGACTGAATTATAATTGTATGCTTCTTTTGTAAAATACTTTTCTTACGCAATTCCTTTCGTAACTTTTCTTCTTCCGGTGTGTCGAAAATTGAATCTAGATCTGAAAAATCTCCAATATCATCGTCATCATTTTTAGCGGAGGAAGAGGGTTGACAATCTTTACTCTCTCTCTCTGACTCTTTTTTTACCAGAGAATCTGCAAGTGGTTCCGGGTTCTAAAAACAAATTGTAGTGTAAAATTTCTCGAATGATACATACTCGTATACTAACGATTTCTTAAAAAAAAACTAGTCGTTATAAGGTTTGCTACCTTTACTGGTAGATCCATATTTTCATCAGAGTTTTTACTTGTATCAAATTGCACTGTAGATCTGAATAATGCCTGTAAACATAAGTTTTTGTAGAATATTTTTATAATAATAACATTAACAGACTATTGAAAATGCATACTTTGCTCGGAATTCCTTGGTCATCATCGGAGTTTTCACTTTCATCAGACTTTATTTAGAAATTATAGACTTTAATGATGATAAAAATAATGCCTGTAATTTTGTGAAAAATAAATTAATTTTGTATAAAATTAATTATAAATAAATAAACATTATTATTTTTTTTAAACTCAACAAAATATTTTTAAAAAATCAAAAACAAGCTTTTAAATTTACCACCGAATATTTTTATCAAACTTGATTGCGTGTTCTTTACATACCTTTCTTGGTACTGCAACTTTTTTTAGTCTTCTGCGCTCTTGATTGTGCACAAAATACATGTCTTTTGTACTAAAATGATCTGAGCATATAACGGTACTTTTTGCAGGTTTCCAAAAATCTTCTCCACGACTACTTCTTATAATGTCTACCCACTTACTTTTCATTACAGGATCGGTAGGTAGTCTGAAAATAGCTGCCTTTATAATAACAAAAAATAGTAAGCCCGAACGGTTCATACCTCTCTTTCTCAAATCTCGGCAGTTAGAAAATGAAGTAAATTAGAATTAGCTACAGTGGAAAACTGCTACTATATCCGTTGCGTGGATTAAAAATTATAATCGACTAACACTGCTGTATGAAAATAAGTGAACTCACACTCACAATCGCGCCATGCGTCTATTGAGATATATTTTTTCATTTATTTTGGCAACAAAGAGTAATTTACTTAAAATTGAGGTATATGCATAATTGCAAATATTTGTAGATCAAACAGTGTCCAAAACTTATTACAGTTATAGTAGCAAAAAGAGTTTTAACATAGTCAGCACGTGTATTCAGATGCATATACTAAACAATTTATTGATATAAAATATTAAATATCTAATAATTAAAACAGAGATTTACATTAACACTATTTTTTAGGGTTTTCCATCAATATACCATTTACTTTTCATTTTAAACTATTAATACATATAAGAATTACGTGTATAGCTTGTGCGTAATGGCGAAGGAACAAAAAAATTCAATTACGTGAGCAGCGCACCGGGAGACGAACTCTTGATGAAATGAAAATTTTGCTAAATAGAGTGGACATATCAACTTGTGAGTAAGAGTTTAAAAAGAATGATTTAGTCAAAAATTTTACTAAACTTTCGCAACAATGTAATTTTCTGTTACATTGTTGCGAAAGTGAAGAGATTTAATAAATTTGATTTGCACTCTTCCATTGTTTGTACGTGTTTTTGATAACATGGGCTCAAAACCGTGCTGCAAAATCAAGAAGTGACCTTACGTAAGAAAAATATAATATTTGTGATAATTTCTTTGAAAGGCTTACATATTCTGAGTATATATCCTGACCTACGAAATGCTAAGCTTAATATGTGGTCTATGTGAGGGTTAAATGTTAGTTCCGAATCCATAATCAAACCAAGGTCTCTAATTTTAGTGACGCGCTTGATATTGTTGCCTTCAAATGTGTATTGAAATTTGTACTGTTTCTTTTTCCGGGTAAAGGATTATACAGAACACTTGTTTATATTTATATATAATTGATTGGATGAACAGTAATTGCTCAGAGCCTCTTCTTGCAGCTTCTTACAATCATTCATAAATTTCAGTATCATGAACAATTTAGCGCAACCTGCATATAGTAAGTGCATGTTTGATAACGTGACCCATGTCATTTATATCTACAAAGAAAAGAGCCTAAATGCGAACCTTGCGATACACCTTAGAAGGCACAGGAAGGAATTGTGATATATAACATTTTATATAAACCGCTTGAAATCAATTTGACACGACCAACGGTACTTAAACAAGACAGACGTGTTGTACTTTTCTCGAGACATTTTAATTCAAAAGTGCATTAAATTACATTTTGTGTTTTAGAAGTAAAAAAATGTGTTTTTAAAAATTCTGTGAGTGAAACTGAAATACTAGTATATATATAGGGTGAAATTGAATGTTTTAATGAAACTTCGTGAGATTGTTGGGTTACGTGTATAGAGTATGCCTGATTTTTTTCGGATTTTTTAAAATTATTTTTTTCGTTTTTTTTTATTTGGTTATTTTTTTGTCATTTCTTCCTTATGAGTAATTATTCATTTTAAACACGTCTACATAGAAGTTGTAAAACAACTTAAAATAAGCACTCCTAAAAAAACGGAAACTTAATGAATGCCTCCAGTCGAGATCATCGCCGGCCGGGGCGACGACCGGCGGCCGCCTGTGTAGGTACCTACTACACGCACAGATGACCCGGCGCTTACCTACTTTCCGCTTTGATTCCACACTATTTAAAAACATTACAGTAAAATAGTCTTAGATGCTATATTACAATTATTTATTCACTGATACACAATACCTTTGAATATTATTTCATAAAGCACAGGTAATTTATCAATAAAACAAATCTTCTGTTAGAGCAATTAAAAATCCTATAAAGTTAATATGATTGTCACGATTTTAAATCGGTAAAGCCTGTCTGTTAATGTAAGAACTTCTTTTTTATTGTTAATGTTAGTACCTCGTTTAATTAAAACTTAAGAACAAACGGCTTATTTAAAATTGGGAAAAATCATACAGAGCAAATCGGTATAACTGACGAGCTTAGTGAAGGAAGAAACTCTTCGTGTCTGATTTGCCCACGTCATGAAATTCCGAACACATTTAATCACAGCCACAGTCACACACACATACACACAATCATATGTTGTTTTGCGGCAAGCACGGGTGGGCGGCGCGCCGCACGCTGGCAAGAAACGTGCAGCGCTAGCGCCGGTTGCGGCGTCTTTGGTGATGTGAATTCTGCCCACCTCCCCTCTTCCCCGCGTGCGGTGCTTTGCTTTGATTGCAAGCAAAGCGCAGTCGCAAGTATATCAATCGCGCGTGGGCGTGTATACTCTATACACGTAACCCAACAATCTCACGAAGTTTCATTGAAACATTCAATTTCACCCTATATATTATAGTAATAAGGTTTATAAGCATTTTAAAGTTATTTATCGACTACCGCCAAGTGCAGACAACGATATTAAATACCCTAGATACACCTAAATGAACAAAATCGTGCCCGAAACCTGTCCAGTGGTACATTGGACGATCCACGTAGCTCCGTAAGATGATCGCGTAGTCAAAAACAATATAAGGTCTTAATTGAAACGCATGCATCAAAGAGTAATGACAGTTCGAAATGAAAGCTCGTAAAATATTTATATAGATGTAATCTAGTTTTAGTGAAATCGAAATTTTGGCAATTTTGCTGCAAGTGGACCTTGCTCAACAATATGAAATACCCCAGATACAACAACACGAACAAAATCGAAGGTCTTAATTGAATGGCATGCGGAAGTCCCGATTTTTATAGATTATTTGTTTTTAGTTTATCGAGAAAGCTGACTCGAAACATTTTGTGCGCCGATCACTCAAAAAAAAACATAAAAATTAGTCACACGTATGCGTATATAATTGTCTGAATAAGTATCATATGGAAATAACACGAAAACATATACATAAGGAGCTACATTGTAATTTGGTATTGAAATTACAAGTATAATGTTGTTTCCTTTTTACATTCCTATTAATGCATATGAAAAAGTCACTAGCACTCTATTTCGCAATATCCGCTACAGTAGTGACAATGTATATCTATCATACAATTGTGCTCGTGTCGCCATTTCAGTTTCCCATAAGTAGTCTGTGGTTCCATAGTTTGTTTACAAATAAACTCAAAGTTGTGGACGTGATTCTTATTGGAGAAATTTAAACCGTGAAAATAATTAAATTTAGGGTTTAAACATAAATATGAATTGTTCTGTAATTGATTGTGACCTGTGTCAAAACAAAAATAGACCTTACATAAGTTTTCACCGGTAGGTTACCAATTAAACTATAAATTGCTATTTTTACAAGAAGTTGATCATGAAACTATGTTAAAAATACAGCTTAAGAAACCAAAGGTTAAAGGAACCAAAGCCAACAGGCTTTCAACGAATTTTCATGTAGTTTACAATAGTAATCTAGCAACGCTAGTGTAAAACACAAAAGGTGATCGATATTAAATTTCCCATTTTTTTAGTTTGCCGCGAACAGCAAAAAAAAATGGTTAGATGCGATTGGACAGGAGAATATTCGGCCAACCACCAAGAATATTTTTGTATGCTCGTTTCACTTTCAGGAGAGTTGCGTTAATAAAACTCTTATCATACTTAACATACCATAGCTCCTTAGCGGACTGGGGCTGCACCCGAAATACTTTGCTATATTTTTTTTTATTTATAAAAATATTTTATATTTATAAAAATCCAGTGAAAAAGTATTAAAAACGCTTTTATACTCGTTCAAAACTTGTTTTATTTAATGAGTGGTGTGCGTGAAAACTTCGAAACAAATATATTTTGATTTGTTTTTGTTTCAGGCCTGTCAACCATCCTGCTTGCTCAAATGAATCTCATATTGTTCTCTTATTGGTCTGTGAATCTCATACATCCGTATATACTCAGACTAACCATGAAATGGTTAGCTGTTTAGTCATTATTATTATAATATACACACCAAAACTACCTCCCTACATATTTTGTGGCTTTTGTATATTTATTGCTTCCTATTTTACATCGCGAACCAACGGCGTAGCTTTCGACTTTCATATGTGCTTGTAAAAGTCTAAACGGAATAAATGAATATTTGTTTTTCTTTTATTTTAACATCTGAAATAAATGTTTATAATTAAAACTGGATATTATTTTAAATAATATATCATCTATATGCCCTTGAGTTACTTTTAGTTTAATTTTGTAATAATGTTTTATTAAAGTTAATGCACTAGCCTTTATCATAATGTGCACATGCAGACGAATAAAGAAAAGGTTTGTGAAATTTACTAAGCGATTTCTTATTGCTCCTCCTTGTACTTAATATAATAACAGTGGTAGAATTAAACTTACATTGAATAAAATTATCTCCGATTGTTTCCGAGGTTCAAATAGATTCTTCTCTCTCTTTACTCTTTTTTCTCCAGTATATTTGTTTGACCCTATATGCTTTGACCACAGCAAATAAAACATAACATCGATAAAAAGTATCGACTAAAGACATCCTACGTCCGCCATGTTTGCGATTTGTTTATTTAAGTAAACACGCGTAGTACATGCTTGTGTCATTTCCATATGATACTTATTCAGAGAGGTAAACACGCGTAGTACACATAGAGGTGTAAGAATAGAGTAGGGGAGATATAGACTCTATTACAAGTGGAAGTGTTCCTCTAATAGAAAGAGAAAGAAGATGAGAGACCGCTAGCTTTCTCTCTCTTATCGCGCATGCGCATTGGCAATTGTAAGCATCTTACTATTTCGATGTGATGCCGTTGGATGCCATGCGTCACAAGAGAGAGAGATAGCTAGCGGTCTCTCATCTTCTTTCTCTTTCTACTATACGGACTCTTTTAGAGTCGCCATCCTTCCCCACTCTATTCTTATACCTCTATACATACATATAGTAGTACATGCTTGTGTCATTTCGAGTGATGCCAACTTAGCAACTTTATAGCTAGATCTAGCTAATATTTGGTATCACACAGCTACAATTTAATAAAATTTGTAGCTGAACTATTTAGCTATTTTTTCTAGCAACTCTTCATTTCATAGAGATTCATAGAGGAGGGTACTAAATCTTTAACGAAAAACTAAAAACTGAACGCGACTCTATTATATAGATTAAAGATACTATGGTATCGGTCGTAGGTCGGCCTTAGCCGGGAATATCCCATTTAATGTTGCGCTATGAGTCGTAGCCTACGACAGAATGCACTATGACAGAACGTGGGTACTTATTTACTAAACCAAGTACTCACCAACCAAGTATTCTACCCAGTGTTTTTTTTTATCCATATAAAACTAATGCTCGCTTTTTTAATGTAAAAATGTTTTAATTAACCCTTGAGAAAAAAACATAAGCACAGAAATATAGACAGGTTGGTTAAAAGCAGCAAGTGGAGACTCAAGCAAAGCGTTTTGTACTACTTGTTCTATGGAAATTCTTCTTAAACTATTTGACATAAAGAAACATATTAGGACAAAAATTTTAGACAGAAAGAAGAGTTCCAAACAGGTGCGTGAATTTAAAACTCATTTTGTTGAAAGCAGACTTTTTCGACGGGCAAAATTAGTATGATAATTTTAGATTACAAGTTTTTCTTTTTATAATAAAGGTCTCAAACTCATTTTAATGCGTCTACGGTCAGTGTTGATATATCCCTTCTTGTAATATAGTATCTTTTTTACCTACCGGAAGATTTAGCTACTTCTAGCAACTTTTTGGGGTAATAAAAACTGACAATCTAGCAACATTTTGTAAGATGTCTAGCAACTGCAGTTTTTTGGCGGGATTTCATCGAGTGCGGTTGGCGTCTTATTTCAATTATTCTTAAATTCGTTCATAGTGGATATTGTGAAATAAAATTGGTGTGATTTTGTGTTACAACCATCTGCGCAATTGAAGAATTAGTGGAATCTTTAAAATATAAGCTATTCCGGTCAAGTGGATGTGTGAGAACTTTATTGTAGTTTTGAATACCTCACAGAAGCTAATCGAAAAGACCAACTCGATACATTTCGTGCCAAACACTCCAAGAAAGAATGCGTCACACCGACATTGGTGCCAATTCTGGCGTGATTCTCTAAACTTAAAACTAAATTTAACATCAGTCTCTCCTATTCATTCGGTATAGATAATGACAAGGATATACTACTGTCAAATTTAAGTTAAGGTTTAGAGAATCATCCTAGAATCGACACCATTCTAATGTAAACAAGAAGATTAAGATTTGTATTTATGTATACGACTGAAGGACTTGTATCCATAGTCATGAATTATTAAAAAAAATGTCTAGCAACTGGGCAATGCTAGTAGTTGGCAACACTGGTCATTTCCCTATGATACGTATCAGAGATAAAATTTAACTATTTTACTTGTCATTGGCTTAACGCACAAAACGTGCAAGCCATAAAAAAGAAAAAAGAAGAAAAAGGATGAAATAGTTTTACTTTTGTAGGATAAATTTTGAGTTACTTGCCGATGGTAGGTGACTTTGTAGGTTGTTTTTAAGCGTCCGAGATAATTTCGGCAAACTTTAATCACGCAAGTCGGCATTTAAAAAAAACAATTCCAACACTAAACTGACAAATTGACGTCCGTATCGCTAAGCGTGACATTGAACACTGGAGCGGGGGCATCAGAGCGTGTCCAACAGTTGGCTAATATTTTTTTCTATACATTTGCGTTCACATTCAGTCTGTGTAATACCCGCCATAGGGTACGGCCACAGTGCACTCCTGATTCAGATTCAGATTCAGATTCCGAAAACAAGCGCGAGAAATAAACAGTGTAGTTAAAGCAGGGTGGCCATAGTGGCCGCAGGCAACCTGCCTAAACTACACTGTATATTTCTCGCGCTTGTTTTCTGAGTCTGAATCTGAATCTGAGTGCACTCTGGCCGTACCCATAGGGTTACTGTTACACTACTACACTGTTTATTTCTCGCGCTTGTTTTCGAAATCTGAATCTGAGTCTGAATCTGAGTGCACTCTGGCCGCACCCATAGGGTGCGGCCAGAGTGCACTCAGATTCAGATTTCGAAAACAAGCGCGAGAAATAAACAGTGTAGTCTAAGCAGGTTGCCTGCTTTTTCTCGCGCTTTGTTTTCTGAGTCTGAATCTGAGTCTGAATCAGGAGTGCACTCTGGCCGTACCCTTCGACTACACTGTTTATTTCTCGCACTTGTTTTCGAAATCTGAATCTGAATCTGAATCTGAGTGCACTCTGGCCGCACCCATAGGGTACGGCCAGAGTGCACTCAGATTCAGATTCAGATTCCGAAAACAAGCGCGAGAAATAAACAGTGTAGTCTAAGCAGGTTGCCTGCTTTTTCTCGCGCTTTGTTTTCTGAGTCTGAATCTGAATCTGAATCAGGAGTGCACTGTGGCCGTACCCTTCGACTACACTGTTTATTTCTCGCGCTTGTTTTCGAAATCTGAATCTGAATCTGAGTGCACTCTGGCCGTACCCATAGGGTGCGGCCAGAGTGCACTCAGATTCAGAGTCAGAAACAGATTCTGAAAACAAGCGCGAGAAATAAACAGTGTAGTCTAAGCAGGTTGCCCGCTTTTTCTCGCGCTTTGTTTTCTGAGTCTGAATCTGAATCTAAATCAGGAGTGCAATCTGGCCGTACCCTTCGACTACACTGTTTATTTCTCGCGCTTGTTTTCGAAATCTGAATCTGAATCTGAATCTGAGTGCACTCTGGCCGCACCCTTACACACTACGATAAATCGTTACGATTAGGGTGCGGCCAGAGTGCACTCAGATTCAGAGTCAGATTCAGATTCTGAAAACAAGCGCGAGAAATAAACAGTGTAGTCTAAGCAGGTTGCCTGCTTTTTCTCGCGCTTCGTTTTCTGAGTCTGAATCTGAATCTGAATCAGGAGTGCAATCTGGCCGTACCCTTCGACTACACTGTTTATTTCTCGCGCTTGTCTTCGAAATCTGAATCTGAATCTGAATCTGAGTGCACTCTGGCCGCACCCTAGACTGTACAGTCCGAACGGTACCGATAAATCGTAGCGTGTATGTTATAAAACTGCACAGTTTCCTATACTAAACGAAATCGTATAAACTGTACCGTTCGAACTGTACAGTCTGATCCTAACGATTTCTCGTAGTGTGTATGGCGGGTATAAGAAGTGGAAATAAAAACGCGGTAGGGTGAGAACAAAAACGCGGATCTCTAATAAAAACACAGTACTTACGATTTGCACCCCCACATAAATCAAAATAATGTAAGGTTTTAAAGTACCATACAGTGAGTGATAAAAATAGAGATAGTTCGAGCCATATTAAAGTAGATTCGAAAAAATCGTAATTAAAGTTGAAACGCTGATCTATTGTCAAGAAGGCCGGAGAAAAAACGGTAATCCGTAGATATATCACTTCACGAAAGGCCCTAGCACAGATAGCCGTAAAGATATTTGTCTGTCGTGTTATGTCGTGGCTCGTGACGGGTTAGTGTGTATGAAACCCTATCGGTCTCATACATTTAGTAGAGCGAGTCTCATTTTAGGGATCCGCAGCCTTGATAAGGAACTCTTAAAGTTTCATCATGTTCGTCTGTCTGTCTGTCTGTCCATCCATGGTTTTGCTTAGAGACTGTTGGTGATCTGTAATTTTGTTGAGGTTTTTATATATATCTTTCCGACAAAGGGTATAATACAATTTAGAAAAAATATTTTGTAGGGTAGCTCCCCTATGATTTGGGGATGATTTTATTTTCACCTCTACTCGCACTGAGCATTCTCGCTCATTCACTCGCAAGAGACATATTATCCTTAGTGCTAAGTGTTGCTGGATGCCATGCAGGCTGCGACAGTAGACATGGGCGTTTGTGGTTTTGTACGCAAACGGATATTTATCGGATTTCAGATTTCAAAATCGATTTTAAAATCCGTTTTTAGATATCCGATTTCAGATGTGCCGAACTTAGCCAATTCACTAGTTTGTGTTATGATTTGGTTTTATTAGCTAACGACAATCACAAATAATTAATTGTACGAAGCAAGGATACTCGTAGATTTGCGCGATTTTCCTTTATGCTTTAAATCTAGGCGTAGGGTGCGGCCAGAGTGCACTCAGATTCAGACTCAGATTCAGATTTCGAAAACAAGCGCGAGAAATAAACAGTGTAGTCTAAGCAGGTTGCTTGCTTTTTCTCGCGCTTTGTTTTCTGAGTCTGAATCTGAATCTGAATCAGGAGTGCAATCTGGCCGTACCCTTCGACTACACTGTTTATTTCTCGCGCTTGTTTTCAGAATCTGAATCTGACTCTGAATCTGAGTGCACTCTGGCCGCACCCTTAGGCAAGAGTATATATTCTGTGGCTTAGGACTAGCAGAAAAGTTATCTTTACGGTTAAGAGTAAAACTTTAGCGGCTTTATTTAAAAATCGGCTTATATACAATGATTTCTTTTTACATATTTTTTTTTTATTTTTCTGTTTGATTTTATTATTTTTCAAACCATTTACAAAATCAAACCTAATTACTTCAGGTTAGCGTTCAAAAAATGTCAGTTGCTCGACTTTTGATGTTTTTAGACGACATCTTTTTCAGTAATAAATAATCCCGCCTTAGAGAAGAACAATAGATTTCCGTAAACAGCAAACCGAAATCGGACTTCCGAGCACGAAATCGGACTTCCGAAAACGAAAGCACGAATTTCGAATCCGATTTACATTTGGATACTTGTGGTGGTATTAGATCGCTAGCGTTTTGGTTCGGTTAAATTTCTGAAATCGGATTTTCTTGTTGAGAAATCGTTCGGTATCGATTTGTGTTTGAAATCGGATTTTGGATTCGTTATGATATATCGGACGCATGCCTATGCGACAGCATTCACAATACATAAAACGGCGGATTGCCGCCGTGAATAGGCGTCTTTAGTAACTAAATTTTCCCCTAACTGGCGGAATTATAAAGATGATCTGACTGTGCATTGCTATGTGTGCTAGAAGTTTGTGCCCACTATGGTGTCCATTGTGCTAGCATGAACACCTCTAAAATGTAAATAGTTTTTATCACGTTCAATTGTCAAATCTTCTAGCTGATTTCTTTTATTCTAGTTTGACAGAAATGGTACAGTTAACAACAACCCTCACAGTAGTGAGGCATGTATACGGTTTCCTCGAATACGAAAAAATAGATTTAAAAAAAATATTTTTCAATATTCAATTTTAGAATATCTATTGTTATAAAGGGTAACAGCAAAATAGATCTAGATATTACAGGACATTATTATTTAGATAATTGCTAATAGATTTGACCTACTGTCGAAAAGCCAATTGTTAAAAAATTTCTTCGAAGTGCTATTTTTTGATCTAATAGTAAGTTTATTTCATTACGTTCTTATCTCAAGTCACACTTTTTTCTTTTTTTCTAAGAAGCATGCAAGTCCATAATATAGATAAAATAAAAAGTATTTCATTAAGTATTCAAAAATCAAACTAAACCTTTTTGAAATTAATATTATAAATAAAATTTAGATAATAGTTGGTACGGCCACATATCAGTAGATAAAGAAATCAAAAATTCAAATTTCTTTCAAGTCTTCTCGATTTGCGAATATTTCCGGCTTTTGAAAAAAGTCGCTCTACTGAAGCTGATGAAGCATTTATAATATTATTGACGATGAGACGCTCCTTTGTAATTTCTCCACACAGCCAATGGGTCTTACTTTGAGTTAGCCAAAGGTGCTGCGATAAATAATAGTTTCGATTGAACTGTACCTTAACTTCTCATAGTATTTTCTGTCACCATCTTTTCATGATCTTGACATAATATCACTAGCTTTAATGTCAGCAGTAACGGCGGTATCTCTGTTTCACAAACACCTCATAATAGTTATTGCTTTCAGACCCCCGACAGTTCAAAGGATGGGGCAACAACGTAAGTTGAATTACGAGATTGACTTACACATAACTTGCATATGAATTCATAGTTTTAAATTTAAAATATCGTCCTTAAATATTTTATTAAACTGAATCAAAATTGGTGTAAATAATGTTTAAGAAAAATTAATCGATTTTTTTGGTATTAATCGTAAATGTTTACATCCCTCAGCTATGCTCTGAGGCCTAAGCACGAATTTTGACAGCTTCATAATCGTATTGCATCGTTAAAGTTTCTATGAAAACTAAGCAGCGCCCCTATCGGAAGTAAGAACAATCTAGTTTTGTCCATACAAAATTTGACGATGACGATACGATTACGGAGCTGTCGAAATTCGTGCTTGGGCCTATTGAGAATACATACAGAGTAAACAGTAATATTTTGCGTGTTTATCAACATAAACTATTCCGTGAGATTTTATTAAATAATGTCTCAAACACAGCTTTCATTAACATGGCAATCGTTTCGAAATAATATTTGTGACGGCTTAAGTTCTTTTCAACAGGTCAGTAGTACCTCCTAAAGTCTGTTCTTCATTTAGTTTGAATATTTATACAGATAACAAGTTGTTAATGTTACTGAATAGTTGGTTAATTAACTTAACTCAAGTTTCGTTATTTTAGAGGGAAGAATTCGTTGATATGACTCTCGCAGCTGATGGGCACTTCGTTAAAGTTCATCAAATGATTCTTTCTTTGGCCAGCCCTTATTTGAAAGAGCTAATAACTTCAGCCCCATGTCCTCACCCTGTGTTATTTTTGAATGTAAGTTTCTACTATATAATTTTTTAATTGGTATACTTAAATGTGCAGTTGCGTTAATTAGGAGCAGTGTGTTTATTTTATACCAATTAATGTCTGTAGAGCATCGTTACAGGGTTCTTGTGTGTACGGTCAAAGCATGTAAGATCTGTTTAACCAACACAATAAGGCAAATAAATAAATATCTAGACTTTTTCCTGCAACTAATTTATTACTATGACAACTATAAAGAATAGTGTGTTAACTGTATTCAAATTGAAAAAATAATTAACTTATAAGTGCAGCCATAACTGTAATAAATTAACTTTCCTTAAATTAGTCTGCAATTAACTATATTTTGATACTTACATGCAACATTTCAAATCAATAATTGGACGTAGTTACGCGAAAACGTTCCAACCCACAAGTCACTCGAAAATGAGTTACCATAACCAGGGTACTATTTTTGACATATTATATCATGTGCACACAAAGATGCTAGTATTTTTAGGTTAGTTTCATCAATAAAGTTTAACCCAAATGTTCCAACCCACCATTATGCCAAGGACGTGTACTCAAAATAAAGTAAAAACATTACATGCATACTGAAACATATTGTTAAAAACTCTTAATAGAATAACATATCGTTATAATGTTCCACTTGTCTTGGAACATTATACTAAATTCATAAAACGCACATTTAATGGTTTCTTAAATGATCCATGTGGGTTGGAACGTTTTTGCAAAATCTTTACACCTTTTTATTTCTGCAAAAATGTTCCATGTAATTTGAAACCTTTTAGATTAATCCATACTGTTTTTTTTAAGCTGCGAACACTGTTCTAAATAAATTGAAATCTTTTATTATAATATATTATTTTCAAATTTTTTGCTATAAACAATCCACATATACTTGATCCATTTTTGCTATTAAATATGTTCTAGAGAAAAAGATATTTTTTACCAAAATAAATAACTATGGTATATTTCGACGTAGTAACGTGAAAATGTTCCAACCCACAGCAACCCCAATTTGAGATAAACGCAATTTACACACTTTTTCCCTGTAATTATTTCAGGCAAATACTATTGGTTTAACTATGGAATGCCAAACTGTTTATTGAATGATATGCATATTTTTTGTAAATACATAATACAAGGGGCATATAAATAGGTAAAACGAGTTTGAAATGTTTTTGCTAAATTAATTTTGTATGAACCTTGTTATATAGCAATTATGCATAAACTTTCCAAAACGAATTTAAGTGTATTATTTTATAAAAATAAACCAAAAAGAAATATGTAAAATAATAAATAACAATGAGGAACATACAAAAACAACAAAAAAAATATTTGAAAATGTATTAGAAAAAAATAGAACGTGATCTTTTGAGCTTAGAACCTATGCCAAAAATTTGCTGATATGGTTCCAAAAGTTATCAAAAACTTATATTATAAACATTCAATTTTCATCATCGTATTCTATGATCTCGAAGTCCGGAACTCCACCAAACCCATCAACATCATCAGTGCTTCTTCAGAACTTTGAAGCGTTCTATAAAATTGAAGGCAATCCTCGGGTATATAGTGGTACATGGATTGCAAGTCCACTAATTTCGCTGGAGCAATCGGTTTGTCGTTAGGCCACAATAAGCAAAAATCAGATTCTTTTATGTATTGCAGTTCTCGTTTTATTCTTTTATCAATTTTCAACTCATTGAAATCGTCTTCGATCGTAGACCGCATAAAAATAGAAAACATTTTATCTTTATCCAACTTAATTTCTTTTGTATGTAGCCAACTAACTTTAGATGAGTCTGTAAACTTCTTCCTATTGATCTTCTTTTCCAGTTTAGTTGTACTAAAAAAATCAGTCTTTGTCATTTTGTAAACTTGAAGAGGTTTAACTTTTTTACTTAGTTCTACAATAGTGGTATCCATAGTGCATCTAATGATACTGGGCATTGTTATGTACTGGTAGAAGGAGAGGTAGGAAGAGGTGCACAGGAAGTGAATTGCCTTCAATTTTATAGAACGCTTCAAAGTTCTGAAGAAGCACTGATGATGTTGATGGGTTTGGTGGAGTTCCGGACTTCGAGATCATAGAATACGATGGTGAAAATTGAATGTTTATAATATAAGTTTTTGATAACTTTTGGAACCATAGCAGCAAATGGGCATAGGTTCTAAGCTCAAAAGATCACGTTCTATTTTTTTTGTAATACATTTTCAATTTTGTTTTTGTTGTAGTTGTATGTTCCTCATTGTTATTTATTATTTTACATATTTATTTTAGATATATTTATAAAATAATACACTTAAATTCGTTCTGGAACGTTTATGCATAATTGCTATTTAACAAGGTTCATACAAAATTAAATTTAGCGAAAACGTTTCAAACTCGTTTTACCTATTTATATGCCCCTTGTATTATGTTTTTACAAAAAATATGCATATCATTCAATAACCAGTTTGGCATTCCACAGTAACACCAATAGTATTTGCCTGAAATAATTACAGGGAAAAAGTGTACCGCTAAAACACAAAATTGCGTTTATCTCAAAATGGGGTCGCTGTGGGTTGGAACGTTTTCGCGTAACTACGTCCAATTATAACTCTGTAATGTTTGCTTATGTGAAAAAGATAAAATTCTATACTTTTAATAATCTGCCTGATAGATAAAAAAAAAAGGTTTGTCTTTATCCCTAATAAAACAACTGTTACCTACTACCTTAGATTAAAATAAAAATTATTTTATATTTTATTTTTGAGCTAATCTAAGGTAGCTACTTTTTAGCTTTCAGATTACTGAAATTGCTTGCATTCAAAGTATGCTAGATATTTATAATTACTGCTTAATTCACGTTGTTATGATGCATGGATGTAACTTATTATTTTTGAATTGTATGATGAAAAGTTTTCAAGATAATTATGCAGTAATTTTTGCAGCAAATATCATATCGAACACTATGTTCTATATTGGAATACATCTATTCTGGAGAGGTGATTGTTTCTAAAGATGACATCAGTGAGCTAATGCAGGCAGCTAAAGCCTTGCATATTAAAGGACTGGAAGAAATGGTAAGACAGGTTTCTTATATTAACCTATTCATTGTGGATGGCACAACAGGTGTTCTTTCAATTTATTTACATATGGCATATTACACAAGACGTGTGTCATTTTTAAATCGATTGTAACTTCCTCAAAACTAAGTTTTAGAAGGGTCTGCCTAGAAGGAACTATCATGATTTTCCACATAGATCAAGCCTGTTGTATTTGTTTCTGGATATTGTGTGAAATAAAAATAGCAGGGGTTTACAACTTTTATAAGTTGCATTAACATTTTGTTTTAACATATGGCTTATGAAATAAGATTTGTGTCAATTTTAAATTGATTGTTAATTCTCCATTAAGATTATACCTTTTTACATTTATCTTTTGGAATATAAATATTTAACATACCCTTTTTAATTAATTGTTTAAAGAGGATTACGCCAAGTGAACACACTTATACTAATTCTTTTGGCATAACAATGCCAAATGAATTTCAGAGCAACAAGAGAGCTTTTAGAATAGATACTTGCAATGTAAAAAAAATTTGAAAGTTCAAAAATGTCACATGTTCGTCGTTTATTCACTTATCTAGTTTTTAATATATCTATGAATTTATCGAGATACCTGACGAAGCCTTTGCATTTTCTGAGAAAATTTCAAGTTGCGTTTTGTTTTTACTTGATATTTGATTTATCAGCTGGCGTATTCTGTTTCCAGGATTGGATTGACGAAAGTGCTAGAGACCAAATAAGTTTGAGTGCTAGTGCTACTGATGTTAAATTAATTGTAAGTGAGTTTTATTGTAACTTCTTATTTGTTTTGAGGAATGTACATATATTGGAGAATGTCCTATACATTATGCCAGATAGGTCTGGCTTACAAAGTAGTCTATTGAGACCGCCAAGACAACTATCAAAAGGGTCTCTTCTTTTGGCACAAACTACACGATTTTGTTTTAACATTATCAGAGAATAAATCTAATAATGTTAATATGTCAAACAACTGCACTGCATCCACGATACAGCTCCTGCTTGGGCCTCCGTATTCGTATCGCCACGTCAAAGTTTCTATGGACACTAAGCAGCGCCCCTAGCGGAAGTAAGAACAAACCAGCTTCTTCCATACAAAATTTGACGATGACGATATTTTACGGAGCTGTCAAAAACGTGCTTAGGCCTGGGGGCCATTCGCCTAACGGAAATGCTTTGGAAAACCCTAACGCTTTCGACTTTATTTTGTTATTTTTGACCGCCGAATGTTTTCAAATACCTCACGCTTGTTTTTTTTAATATTGTTATTACCAATGCAAAAAAAAGAGCGCGAGGCATTTGAAAACCTGAGGCGGCTAGAAATAACAAAATGAAATCGTAAGCGTTAGCATTTTCCATAGCATTTCTGTTCGGCGAATGGCCCCCTGATCTGTCAAAGTTCATGCTTGGGTTGGTTTGATTAGGTTATCAGGTTTGAATATCAACCGACAGTACCCTTAGCACGAACCAATATCAAAATTCGAATAGTTAAATTCGATCTCGATTCGCGTCTAATGTCAAGAAGTTTTATATGGAAATTTGAAAAGCGCCACAACGGACGTAATGAGAATTAAAAAGCTTCCATTCAAAACTTCTTGACATTTGACGCGTATCGAGATCGAATTTTACTATTCGAATTCGATATTGGTTTGTGCTAAGGGTATCAGTTGATATTCAAACCTGATAACTAAACCAAACCAAATCTAATAGCGCGAACAGAGACCTTATATAATTTAATTTATTTAATTAACAGAGTCCAGCCGGGAAAATCGTAAAGCAGAGAAAACATGCAGCATACCCGATTGATTCCCGAAAAGTACAAATGTGAGTCATCAATTTCCTTAAAATAAGTAGGTATAGGGTTTTCCAATAAGAACCGGGACGTATGAATTCGAAAAAAAAAAAATGTTTACAATACAACCAACAACTGTCGATGACCTAAAGCTAAACGTAAGAAGAGGTGCCACAACGAGATACAGGTGCCATTATGTCAAAAAGTTATGAAAATTAAAATATTTTTTTCTACTTACTTTTTTACTTTTTACTTACTTTTACTTTTTTTTCTATATTTACTTTGGCATTTTGCGTGAACTAAGACATCGTTTAAAATTATCACCGCGCCTTCGTATGGTAGGCTCAATACGATCTATCTCGTTGTGGCACCTCTTCTTATGTTTAGCTTTAGGTCATCGACAGTTCTTGGATTGTTCGCATACACCAGTGATTTTACATAACCCAAAAAATCATCCTGGCCCTTTAAATCACACGATCTTGGAGACCATGTCTCATCCCTGAATCTTGAGATCGGAACTCGATGAATATCTCGTTCAATAAATTGACTGTTTCTCTAGTAATATGACAGGTGACGCTACCCTGCTGTAACCAAATGCCTATTAGATTAATTTCTTACAATTGTGGACATAAAAAACCCAATTATGATCCAGTGATGATTACCAATTCACAATTAAGGCAGCACTGAACACGGTCTCGAAAAATACGGACCACCACTTAAGCTCCTAGCCCAAAATCCGCATCAGATAGTCACTCTTTCAGAATGCAACGACCTTTCATGAATTTCTTAAGGGTTTTTAGCCCAAACCAGTAGTTTAAAATTATTTCACTAATTGACGAATAGTGTCCTCCTTACCCCTCGTTTACACCAAGGTATAATAAGGTGGGTGGACCATGGAAGGCCATGCTCCTTATAAGGCCAACTTTAAAAAAATCAAAGTAATTGTCATGTGACGATAAATTCATTCCACTCACACTAAGCTCCATTAAACTCATGAACACAGACGCGGCGGCGAGTCGTTCGCGTCGCTATTTCGTGACTGCGGTCCCTCGCTTCGTAGACTTCGGTCGTCGACGTTAAAATTGTAATTCGCACGCACAGCTAAAGGACAATGGGCAAAACACACCCAGCACCGCCATTAATATATAATAGTATGAATCGATAGATCTATGAAAAACTAGCCTTTTTTATTATGACACCGTAAAAAATATCCTGGTAGTCAAAAGATATGACACATGGACATATTTAAGTAGCTAAATAAATTCAATGTATAGTAGGTATCTTCATTTTATATTATTAGTAAGCATATTAATATGCCATATCGTACTATACAACCAGATATACGACAAAGTCTGCCGACCATCCTGCGTTTGCATTTACTGAGGCACCTCAAAGCGGTTTACGGGGGTTGAAGGACCTGCAGTTGCAAATAGTCGACTTACTTCGTTGTGATTGTGCGCTCCCTGTCACTTGATTGATTTTTATCTAACACGCTTTGGACATTGGATTATAGGTTTTGTCAATTAGTATGAATGTACTGGAATCATGTTTTCTCCGAAGGCGTGGACAAGTTTGTGTGATTTGTGGTCGCTCCGTCCGAGAAGACAATTTACTATAACAAACAGAATGATTGAAAAAACCACCAACCCATGCGGGGATTTTTGGATTTACTCTAGCGCGGCAGAATAACATATGGGAGCACCCTTTACCTTGTGAAGTACTCCCATAATACCTGAGCCCCCTATGTAGGGTCGAAGAAACTAACAAAATTATTTCCCTTGTTTCATTAATGCTCGTTCGTTATAGTAATTGTACCTATTTAACTTAAAATAACTAAAGATCCCCGGGGTGGAATTTGATGCGCTTTTGCATAGATGAGCATGACTATAATACCTTTCAAACAAATGTATTTTAAGCCGTGGCGGACGTGGGTGCAACGTCCATACATTTTTGCCCAATGTCCTTTGTTATGTAAATAACCTTTTATTGCCTTATTATCGTATATATCGTAGACGATCTAATATGTCCACTATCGGCTGTCAAAAAGACCCTGTTCCTATTGGAATACCCTGTAGAATGATTAAAAAAAAACATATTTTTAGAATCTGTGAACACAATATATTATAATCTGTTTTGCAGCGATACAATAACCGACAGTTATAGCAAACTGTCGAATCAAGAAGAATTAAATCAAAATGATGATTTCATGGATACAACAGATTTTGACGACAGTTTTGACCACCATACACCAGAAACAAAAGACGTCGAGGACACTAAAACAACTGGTTAGTATATAATTGATTTCATTATGGTGTTTATTGAAAATGATAAGCATGATGACAAGTTGCATTAAACGATATTCTATTCTGTTCGTCAGTAAGATATATAAAAAAAATGGACACTTAGTTTTTCTTTTGTCAATCAACTAAAAGATGACAATGATAAAGCGCGACAAAATTTGGGTGTGGGGGGCTCGTGACGTCACTGCTAAGTAAAAATTGTACCGAGACGTGACGTCATGCGACATTTCAAATCAATATAACTCTGTGATGTTGTGATTATATAAATAGAGAAAAAAAGCACGAACAACACATCTGAAGTGAAATTTCTTTTCCTAATTAACTTAAAATTAGGCGGTGCATAAGGCATAAAGGAATGGAGCAGATGCATTACTCATATATATACAGTAGAACCCGTTTAATACGATCACGCTTAATACGATTTCTCGCATAATATGCCATTTTTCGTCAGTCCCTGCAACTTGAGACATGTTTTCATACATTTCTTAACACTTAATATGATTTGTCATCCCGTTTAATACGCCTAAATCGCCTACACGTACCACACATATAACCTCTTGCAGCCTTGCAGCAGCATAAAATTCAATGAGAATGTGAATAACACACAAGAAGAGGCCCTAAGTGATAATGATAAGGTAGAAGATGAATCAACTATGATTTTGTCCTCTTTGAATCAAAGCAAAGACGCACTGCAAAAGTTAAATCATGTTGAAAATCTTGTAATTGCTAATGCCTCAATTTTTTTTTGACAAACTTAAATAGGTGATTAATTTAAGTAACGTAATCATACACTATTTTTTTTATAACATACATAATTCTTAAATATTGTATTTACAAATTTGCTGTCCCGCAATCCCGCATAATACGCTTTCCCGCTTATGACGCGTTTCTGGTTGACTCCCTGTGAAATCGTCTTAAACGGGTTTTACTGTATAATTTATTTTCGCATGTGACCCTCGCGACGCTTGTAGCGTTTCAGCCTTCGCTAGGTTACCCTCCATCTTTTATGCTCGTACGAAAGAGCTGCGCACGCATCCCACACACACACACACATATATATATATATATATATATATATATACACGTATATAGACGTCTGACTTTTGCACTTACATCCCGTCCAAAAAGAAGTCTCACTTAAAAATACGCGTCCAAATGGTACTATTTGATAATCGACCTATCAAATGACGACCTCCGTGGCCAAGTGGTTTATATGGCCGGTTTCAAGGTGTCCGCCTTCTCGAGAGGTCCCGGGTTCGAATTCCAGTGGGGCAGATGTTTGTGTGATGAATACGAGCATTTGTTCTTCAGTCATGGATGTTTAATATATATTTCTATCTAAATCTTTATATATATAATTCTTCTGTGAGTGTGTATGTCACTGAACTTCTCTTAAACGACTGGACCGATTTTGATGAAATTTTTTGTGTGTGTTCAAGGGGATCTGAGAATGGTTTAGATTCACAATTTTGTCCGCTGGACAACCTCTTTTTTTAGGGCGGTACGAAGTTCGCTGGGTCAGCTAGTATACTTATACATGTATTCTATCCGTTACCGTAGTATCCCATAACACAGGCCTACAGTGCTTACTTTGGGGCTAGGCTAATTGGTGCATGTTGGAAATATTTATTTATTATCTACCTGGTACATGAAAAAATTAGGCATTTTCCTATTAATTATGGGTGTTACAGATATCGCAAAACATCAAACCATACAGTACACTCTCTCCAACCAAGGCAACATACAAATGATATTGAATCGGTTCATGTATAATCTGGTGTACAGTTACAAGAATTCCAATCCTCCTGTGCGATTATGGAAATGTGTTGAAAATAAAGCAAACAAGTGCAAGGCGTCAGTTACCACAAAAGATGATATGGTGGTACAAAGGTAAATAGTTTTGTCAAAGATCCATTATTGTTTATTTATTTTATTTATTTATCACACCGACTTAAAGTTAGTTAAGTTTTTGTGTTTTTTTAACCCTTCCCCATCCTTCACAGTTGGTCACATTTGAGAGCCCCCCCCCCCCCCCCCCCCCCCCCCTCCAAGTATGACGTCACACATGTTACTATTTGGCATCTATAGATTTTTAAATTAAAACAGCAGCTCCGCAAATTAGCCAACAAAACAAATTAAATACCCATACAGATAAAGTTCAAAATGTTTAGAAAGTGTTAGAGTTTGAAATGTGACGTCACAAAACTTAGACTCCTCCCACGCCTTCGTCTATTACCCCCATTTTCGTTAACGTGACGTACTTTATGGATGACCCCTAATCAATCATCGACAGCCTATTAATGTTAATGTCCCCACCGCTGGGGTACAAGCTTTCCCCATGGATGGAATAGGGAGGTTGGGCTTTGGCCCACCACGCGGGCCCAGTGCGGATTTGTGGGTGCTAACGACTGCATGCAGATGCAGCCGGAAACAACGGCTGACCTTGCCTTCCGAAGCACGGAGGAGCTTGAATAATAATTCAATACATTTCATAATTAGAAATTATAGGTAGCAAACGAGCACACGGCTCACCTGATTGCAACGAAATTGTGTATAGCATCATCGTAGCCTATTAATGTCCCTACTGTTGGGGCACAGGCCTTCCCTATGGACTCAATAGGGAGTTTTGGCCATGACCCACCACGCGGGCCCAGTGCGGATTGGTGGGTGCTAACGACTGCAGATGCAGCTGGGACCGACGGCTTGACGTGGCTTCCGAAGCACGGAGGAGCTCGAGATAGTAAATTTTTGGCCACCCATTAAATGACCGACCACTGCGAAAGTTGCTTAATTTCAACGATCGCAGCAGAACGCGCTAACCACTTGCACCATCGAGCTCCTCATATAGTGTGTATAGCATAATGAACTTTATGTCAATACTATAATATACAAACTAAATACTATAAAGGAATACCTAATACCTAGTCGAGAATGCGCGAGAATTCCGCGGAATACGTGCCACCATTTTTTGGCTCGTATTGAGATTGTATGTTATACGATTCACATAAAATTCTTTGATAGGTGTATACAAACACGCCAAAATATTACTTTATAAGGTAGAAAGTCCAAATTATTCCCCGTTTTTTCAAATTTGAATTTGGGGCCTGCAAAAGGGCCCGAAGCGTCAATTAAAGTAATAATAAATATTATACGCGTTGTCTTTACTTGATAAGAAGTGTTTCATTTAATTCACTTAAAGTTCATTATGCTATGCACAATTCCGTTTCAAAAATTAGCTTCCGTTCCATTACGAAGTGGTATTTAATTGACCTTAATATACGAAGGAAAACTTTTGTACCCATCATAAATACAATTTGTTCATTGAACCCTTCGTTTACACCAAATATCTAGTCATTTAATATAAGGTAAGTGATACAAACAAGCCCTACTTAATTTCAAACACTTATATCATGATAAATTTTTGAAGAAGGTGATAAATAAAAGCAAGGCATTATTCCTTGGTTCATAAATTTTAAGTAATTAAGAAAACATATTATAATCTATTATCAGAAATCACTTAAAAAGAGATAATTTTGGAAACTTAGCCTTAGGCCTTTAAAAAACATTGTGACCAAAGCCTATGTACTTAAATTATACGAATATTGATATTAGAGTATAAATTATATTAAAATATGTATTTATGAACCTTTAATCAAGTGTTTCCATGGGATCTTTGAACAACATTCTAATTTATTTTACTAAATATTTTGCTTAAATTGCTAGTCAGATTTGAAGAGGCATATTAACAAGAGATAAAGATTAATATAAAAAAAAACATATCCATACAAACAAAAATTAGCAAATTAACATATCTTCTCGAAAATATTATTTAATATTGGTAAATGAATATATTTTGATAGATATATTTGATAAAAAGAAGGCCTTTTATAAAAGTAGGCTTTATTTAGTACATTATACTTCACAAAAGTTATAAGTAGTATTTAATTCGCATATTCTTTAAGTAAAAGTTAAATTTTAAGTCATTGTCAACTTTTTGAATACGGTTCACACCGTATACATTACATGAAACAAAACTTCAAAGAATAACGTATTAAAATTCGTTAAAGATTACCACAAATTAATAACGCGCTATAGAAACGCTCGTCCTTCACAATGTACCGCCACTACTGACGCTATGAGCTAGAGCGGACCGCTCGTGCACAGTTTGCCGAGTTGTGGAACTGTCATCTATGCGTGTGTAAAGTATTTTTGATGTAAACATAATTTTAATAGACTTTCTGCACTACAGGCCTTATTTCAGCATAGGCCTTATTTGTATTAAGTACCCAGTGGCGGCGCTAGGCGTCGGCGACGTCGGCCACCGCCGAGACGGCCTCGCGCCTGAGAGGGCCGCGCAAAAAATTTTTACAAGTTACCTATTTATTTTCGTTTTTCCTGGCCTGGCTTAGGTAGCCGACCCCAAACAATTCGGGGGAAAAGCTAAGCAGATGATAATGACTTATTATTTTCGAACACGTGCGTGATGGTAGCGAGTAGTACTTTACGGGTATTCAGAATCGTCTGTCTGGCAACACTATTTTTGTAATAAAATTTCTATGTTTGTAATTATTTTATGTCATCATTTGATTATCAACAATAAAACTCGTTTACTCATACGTTATTTTATAATTTGGCTCACTTAATTTAACGGTTTTTTACTGCGAAGTAAAATAGGCCTCGCGAACTTGATGTCGCCGACGTCCACATGTGGTCTAGCGCCGCCACTGCAAGTACCTTATTTGTATCAATGAAAACACAAAACTTGTAGAATACCGGTTGTAACTGTTTAAAACGAGTGTGCGATTGGTAAAATTGGAATGTTCCCACTTTCAGGGTTGGCGCACACAAGCATGCATTCCACGACAAGAAGATCTTGAAAAAAATCGAATTCGGTATTGTGCTGTCCGCAATCAAAGATGCAGAAAGTAGAGGCAAAATAATGAAAGAGAGCAGAAGCAACGATACTGATATCACTGATGCTCCATCGAAAGTTATTAAAACCAAGGATCCTTTGAGGGGTTAGTGGTAGGGAATACGATTTGAAAAAGCACGAAGCTAACATGATTTTAGTTCAGATTGAGAGATATTTGTACGTTTGAACCTTAAGGACCGGCAGTGTAAATTCGACAATTTGAATTATTCTATGTGAACGCAAAAATAACGATGATAGAGAGCGTTCTCAATCCTTGTATGATAGACATTGTGATCTAAAATGCGACATTAAACTGGCTATGAGCACATACGGTACAACCAAGGACGGATTTTACACAGGATTCGTCAACTCAAGTCATGCCAAAAGAGCGAGTTAATAAATAAAAACTATTTAGTAATTTATATTATTTACGGGGTTGCTACCATGTACCTTGTTTTCTAGCAAGCGCCATGATTACGGAGTAACTGAATTGCGGGTAGGGTGTTATTGGCAGACATGTTGTTTTACCCTTATCGACGTTTTTTATTACGTTCGATACCATTATTTCACAAGTTTTAGAAACAGATCTCTTGCTATTGACTATGTTATCACATCACTCATTAAATAATACAAGTTCCAACGGGTTACATGCACTGGTTTTTATTAATTTATTGATGTTTCGCATCTTTTGCAGGAATGCGTTGTCAGAATAATGACTTTTTTATTTTATTTATGTTAAATGCTTTAATTAGCTTATTTAATTAATACAGTACTTTATTTAATTCTTTTTTTATAATTTTATTTAAATGTCAATAAATAACTAAAATCAGTGCATCTAACCCGTTGAAACTTGTTTTATTTTTTGATTATTTGTTCTTTCAGAATAGTAAAATATTCATATTAAATAGAGATGCCAACAATCGGCACATTATTTTTCATACTGTTAAATAGCCTATTAATTTATAAACAAGGTACATGGTAGCGATTTCGTAAATAACAAATTACCGGTGTCGATTCTGGCACGATTCTCAAAACCGTAACTTAAATCTGACACAGTGGGACCAATTCTGGCGTTACGTTCTCTAAACCTAAACTTAAAATTAGAGTGCTAATTTTAGTTTAGGGTTAGAGAATTGGTATTCTGAAATGGCTAACTAACTAAATTAAGAGAACAGTTGACAGCTGTAAACGAGCATCTAAATTGAATTCACAGATTGTGTACAAGCATTGAACCGGTAATTATCGGTTTACTCAAATTAGCAATAATTACTTATTATTCAGTGATTTTGACTTATTTTTTATTTTATTTAAGTAAATCTTTGTTGTTCTTCATCATCTTTGAAATATGAAAACTTAACATAACTTTGTTATTTTACTGTATGAGAAATTATGAATCAATAATATTAAAGAGTGAATACTTGCCTACTCTGTGGTACTTAGGGTTTCTAGATTGGGAGTGTTTATCCTTATTTTGGGGAAAAATAAGAACTTGAAGAAATGTAATCTGCGGGGAGAACTTAAGGAATCATATTTTTTCTTTGAAAAAGCCAAGTATTTACATGGGCTAAACGATGTGACGAAAAAAACTTACAAAGAAGTGCATCGAACGAGCAATTAGGTAGGTACCATTGCGCCGTGATGCAGTCTAATCATTCAGATGAAGTAAATAAGGTAAGTGTACTCGTCCGAGCAAAAACGTTTATTGTTTTGGCACTACGATTGCCCGGCGGCACCGCGCCGGCGCTGTATTCATGCAACGGGCCGTGGCCGAGCCGAGGCGGGACCAAGTTTTTTCCGAGCGTTGTTTCATTTGTTGCTCGGTTGTCAGTCGGTTACTGCATGACAACCGAGCATATAGCGTATAAATAGCGTGAATGTTATATTTTACATGGATTATGTCCATAATCATCAAATCATAAAATAAATTATTTAATATTAGTTAACTAGAGAAGTTCGATGGCGCAGACGATTAGCTCGTTCGGCTGCGATCGTTGAAGTTAAGCAACTTTCGCAGTGGTCGGTCATTGGATGGGTGACCAAACATCTTCTATGTCGAGTTCCTCGTTCTCCCGGCTGCATCTGCAGTCGTTAGCACCCGCCAATCCGCACTGGGCCTGCGTGGTGGGTCATGGCCTAATCTCTCTATTTCATCCATAGGGAAGGCCTGTGCCCCAGCAATGGGGACATTAATAGGCTGATGATGATGATGATGATTAGTTAACTCTGCTACGGCCGACAGGGTCTAACGTGAACCATCCTTGAAAATTTCTCGCATCGTAAATTCCCAATCCAGCGTATCTATCTAATACCTATAATTTCGGTTTCGGTAAGAGGTTGTAAAATTATCCCTTCGGCTGTTTTGTGAAGATTTTATTCTCATTTATTGTATAATCCGAGATGCGTAACCTATTTTTATCTTTTTTGTTTCTATCAGTTTTTGGCGAGATCATCCCAATTATTCATTTGGTGAAGATGCCCAGTTTAGGATATATAAAAACAAACTTTTCAATTACAAACAGTAGGTACTTATTTCGTGTTTTAAGAAATATGATTAGCTTATAAAAAGTTGGAAATAAAAACATTTCTAACTAATAGGTATTAAAACTGCTTCATAGAAACAAAACCACATAAAACAAAGGTACAAATAATACATTAAAGTCTAAAGTACCTACATTTAAAGTCAAAACAACAATTGGATGGAATGCAAATCACTGACACCATACCTCTATTATCTTGTTAATTATTTGACTATGTACTTTAGATGTAAGTAGGATCTGTAAGTATTACTTATAGAATTAGTACATAGATTTTTTACCTTTTTAGGTTGTTTTTATATGAAGTGGATTTTTATTTATGTTATATAAGATTTTACCTTAAATTATTTAGTATTTTATACAAGATATACGTGTACATTACCTACGAAAGACCACAATAGCGCAAGTGTAACGCTTTCGTTCTGCGATCGTGAATGTTAAGCAATTTTCACAATGGCCATTCTTAGGATGGGTGACCAACCCAAAATAAATTAAATCGAGTTCCTATGTTGCTGCTCGCTGCAGCTCGGATTTATTATAAGCAGGACACATTAATAGGCTTATAATAAATCCGCATCGTAACATAGATCCACCTACCTTTTAAAAAAAAATAAAAGATCTAGCTAATATATTATTATCACCATCGTTGTTCATTATTGTATAAAATTTATGTATTTTTTTAACGAAATAAACCCATATCCAACCTTAACAACAAGTTCAAAACTTAAGTACAGCAATCATTTACGTGATATTTGGCCCCAATTATTCACATTTAAATTTAGAGAGGACCTCCGTAGGTCCTTCTTAAATTTAGTGTGACATTTCTAATTTTAGAGAAAATATGACATTTAGAACGCGTTTCAGAATACCATTTAATCATCTAAATCTAAGTTGAATAACTTAGCAACGTCAATTTTAAATTTAGAGATAGAGTGTCATTACAGAATACCAAATTGAATTTGACAACTCTATATCTAATTTTAGTTAGTTTTAGATATAAGTTGGCACGCCAGAATTGGGCCCAGTGTTTCCTTGTCATTCTCTATAGAGAGTGATATTAATATTTGTATTAAGTTTAGAGAATCATGCCAGAATCAACACCAATATAATGTAAGCGACCATGAAATTTTAAAACAAAATAAAAATACGTTTGAAAAAGTAAGTTATTTTATTGAAACTCCTTTCTGAGTCAAAGTGTTGTCTTCGTAAGTCTCCAGAACATCAGCCAAATGTTCGTTGTCCCTGGGCTTCTTGAATTGTCTACGTTTCTGCGCGGCTCTCTTCCGTTTGGGCATGACCGGTTTTTTCGGGCCGTGGTCCTGCATAGACTTGATGCCTTGCTTCTCCAAGTACTCCTCGATTTTGGCGTCGTCCATCGCGTCTACAGCGGTGGCTCGCCAGAGCTTCACGAATTCTTCATCTACCTACAAGATTTACTATAATTTGTTAGGATATAAAAAAAGAGTTTTCTTATGACGCGACTGAAGCGAAACTTCTTAAGCTCCATCTGTATGTATACCTGTATATTTTTTTTAGATTCCTCGTACCTGGGGGTATCCGAAAATACCCCATGATACCCCCGGTGGGACGAATCTAAAAAAAATTGTTGACGTCACTAGTTGGACCACCCTGTATTAGGGATGTCGAAAGTTGAAAAAAATATCGATATATCGATCTTTTAAAAAATATCAATATCGGCTTCGATATATCGCGAAAAAAACATCGATATATCGGACCAATTTTCCCAAAAATATCGTACGTAGTAGCTCACGAAATATGACACGCGGAATAATAATGGAACGAAAATTATCTCCCTAAAAATAGACCCTATTTTCGAATGATGACATAGACAATACTAAATACAGCACAGATCATAGATATGTTGAATATCATTAGTCTGAGATCCAGTTACAATTTTTCCAAAGACGAATTTAGTTAGATCGTGATAAGCCGCTAATAATTAAAAAAATATCGTTTTTGATAAGAATTTCGATATTGGTTATTTTGTATCGATGTATCGATATATCGGATCAAAATATATCGGCAAAAAATATCGATATATCTTCAACAAGCTTACCCTGTATATACATATATATATGTGTGTGTACAATATACACATGTATGAACATATACATATTTCATATACTAGCTATAAGAGAAAGAGAGAAAGAAAATGTGCGCGCGCACTGCTTTCTTTTGCTTATATCCCCCACTCAACTCCCGTTCGCTTCGCCCGAACACACTTTTCGTAACGCGTAACGCATTCGTCAGCTTACCCCCTAAGTCAAGCGTGCGTAAAGAAGTTTCACTTCAAAAAGGCAACGGTGTCGATTCTAGCATGATTCCCAAAACATAATTAAATTTTGACAACAGTCTACCTTGTTATTCTCTCTACAGCATTAAAAGGAGAGACTGAATAATTTTAAGTTTATAGTTGACTTAAGAATCAAGACTCGACACTAGTAATAGTCCGGTCAAATTAGACAGAAACATAAAAGTGAAGGTGCATCAATTCACATCAAACTGAAAGTATACTTTATAGTACAATTGTTCAAAACATAATTAAAAATAACATATCAAAATTCCTCATCAATCCGGTACATAAACTAGTCACAAAAATTAAGGGATATAAAATAAAATCCAAATTTTCGAGTGATTTTCAACAAGCTGTAACTCCAAGGAAAATGATCGTACAGAAAAAAAAGCAAATTGTAGCTCCAAGTGTCTAGTTTTCAGATATGACCATGAAAAGTTGTTGTTATGTCCAGGTCTGGAGAAATCCTAAGAAAACTACTGAAAAAAAAATCCAAATTTTCCAAAAAGAGGTCCATGGGCTTCAAAAAATTTTTTTTTATTGTTTCGTTCAAAAGCTCTTTTAGAAAATTTAATACCCTTTAATTTGACGAAATCAAAAAGCCTGTACGACGATTTGCCGCGGAGTTATCGTCAATCAAAGCAAAAAAGTTTTTTTCGACTTTGATAATCAATAACTCTGGAAATAATTATCGTATAGGAAATCGAAGGAGGGTTTTGAAAACTGCACGATATTCTCTATGAGACAATGTAAATAGATTTTGGAAAACAAAATTTTTGAATTGAAATCTCGGGACTGAAAAAAAGACAAAAATTCGCATAATTAAGGATATTTGGATAACTTGGTATAACTTTGGATTGTTGCCCACCTTAATATATATGGAAAACACTGCCATTCTGCCATAGCATGTCACATTTGTTATGGTAGGAATTTGAATACAGAGATCAGGGGGCTAAAATGACGACATTGGATGAAGCATCTTAAATTGTTTCATAAAGATTTCTTCTATTGAACATTATTTTTCATCTATAATATATTTTTTATGATGAAATTTAAAAAATATGAAATAACAAGAACAATATATAACACAAGCAATTTTGCTATTTCCAAACCCTAGGAATTGAGATTACCAATTGAGGACACCATTAGTTGCTAATTTTGTTATGATGAGTGAATAAAAAAACATTAAGTAGAAAGAAATCCTGTCGCAAATATTGCCGAAGCAATGGATTTATTGACACCATACTTACATCTAAAGTAGCAGTCTTATCATTGTAAAACAATATTTTTTTCTTGTCTGTGGGCCTCGTTATGTAGAGTATCTCTTGAGCTAAACTTTTTAATGCTCTCTCACAGTGTGGCAGTGATTCCTGGACATCTTCTAGTAATATACCACCAAGTCCTTTCAAGTCCTGTTGCTTTAATAACCTGTTAAATATAAAATTATAGCTCTTAAGTTAGCAATTTCACATCATTTTAATAAGGCTGCCAACATAAACCAAAAAACTAAAAATACCATTTATAAAAGTAATCCTGCCTTGTATTCCAAAGGTCCTGGGTTAGAATCTGTGTAGAGGCATTTTTGTAATAAGCACAAAATGATATATTCCTTCTGTTGTTTATATTAAGTTAGTTATGTTGCTCCCACACATAATTGCGTATGCACCGCAAGAACTTCCCATCTGATTTGTGTCACACTTGGTGACACCATTTTAGTCCTCTCTGAGACTTCCCTTGTATGATAATTTTGCATGGTGATAATAAACTCAAAACCTCTTCTAATGACGATATGCTCATTCAAAAATAAAAAGATTCATGTTCTCCTGTTCTCAAATCATAGCATTTTCTATTAAAGTAGTTCCCATCAACATTCATAAACGTAATAAATGGATGTACCCAAAATCAGTGCTGGCTTAACACTTTATAGCTATAAAATTATTGCAGCCCCTACTGACCTTTTTTTAAGGAATATGCTAGTTATTAGATTATTTTTTGGGTATATTCTTAAACTAAGAAAAGCAAAGCTTTGTTTTAACTGCACTACTTATAGGTTGTGGTGGGCTAAGGAAAGGTAGTTCCTGCGATGCGAAGTCACATCACATTACAGTTTTGTGTGGGAGCCTTCAGCCTTCAATTCAGAATTATAAGAATTCTTCTCAGTTTGTGAACTTAATAATAGGTGGGAATTGTCCAGAATACTATATCGTATCAAAAATGGGCTAAGTATTAGTTTTGATACTACCTTAGCAAAGACTTCTTGTCTTTAATTTTATATACAGGCTTAAATATATATTTTCCTTCTTGAGTGCATTCAATTTTTGGATTATTTTGCAGAGCTTCTGTTTGCAACCACTGAAATTAATAGAACTATTATTTTTTTTATTAATTTTACCTAATAAAGGATTATAAAATAATCCCTATCAAGCAATCTGGTACCTGCTTAACTTTGTTGCCAACGTCAAGTTGATTTGTTTCATCTAGCACTTCATCCAGGTTCAAAGGGTGATCATCACCATCTTGGTGCCTTGCCCTCATGTGTCTTACAATTCTAGCCAGTACACCAAAGCGGTAGGCTGAGCTACCAGTCATTGTTTTATAACTGAAAAATTAGGCAATTATGGTAATGATCCACATATAATTAGTAAAGGAGATCATCAGAGAGAATTCTCTTCAATACATATTGTTACAATGGAAAACATTTTTAATGTTGACTTACTTGGATGCATCCAATTTCGGTGCAGAGCTAACCGAACTGGAGGATTTTGATTTCTTTTTACTGTCATCTTTGAACTGGGTATCATCTTTCTTCTTTTTCTCAATACTGTAATTATTTAAAATAGTGACTTAAAAAGTAATTATTAATTTAGACAAAACTTGTTTTACTATTTAAGAATAATAAGTATTCTAATTACATTTGCAGACAAGAAGAAATGGAAACATGTTTATTATGACTATATGGCAACTACACATCATCATAATTAATAAAAACTTTATAACAATTCATGAAAATATTTGTTTTACTAGTCATAAACTGGATAAAAGTAGAAGGGAAGAAGAACAAACAATAGTTCGGGGTCACTATAGTAGGCCTTACGTGTTAGAGTGAGAGAAAGTACATAATAGTCCTCGTTATAAAGCCCATGATCCGTAGTAAAGTTGTGTACAAGGAAGGATGTAGCTGCGTACCTCGGTGTGGAAAGTGCCTTTTTCTTAAACGCCTCCCGTTCACGTAATAGTGCCGGATCCATTTTTTTGTTTATATAAGACTAATCTTCAAAAGAGTAAGTACCACAGTTATTTATTTATCTGTTTTAGTTTACATTTCTTACGCATTTATAAGTAGAATTGCAACGATCAAATCGATGCCCCAAATGATTTGACATTTCATTTCACGGATTTTGACATTGACAGTTGACATAGGTAATAATTAGTTTTAAACTTTGCATTATTGGGGTGCAATGGAATTTCAAATCATACAGCCATTCGTTCAGTGTTTTTACGAAGTGTGTTTTGGAAAAACAACCATTGTCACAAATACATGGTTTTTCTGGATGATGGAACTTCACAGTACATATCTGCACAAAATCTTATCAAATGAAAATATTTATATGTATGTATATGTACATAACAAACATCTTTGCTCTCGTTTTCTTGCAATTTGTGAGAATAAATAATTCTTACGGACGAATGTGTCTGTAATTAGTGTTAAAATTGCATATAGTGCGATTCAAAGAGGAATAGGAAAGCCAATGACCTCCATCTGTCAAATGTCGCTTCAAAAGTACGACTTGCAAAAAAATCTTGGAACCCTTTTTTAGCACTCAGCTCATTCTAGAATAAAAACCAAACATTTGTAAACAAACAATAACAAATATTGTTAGTTAATATTGGTTGGTTGTTGTTCCTTTATTGAGCTTTGGCTATTATTGGTTAATAACCTAAATCGTCAACCAAATGTCACTTAAAGTTGCGATCATTAACTCGATTTAAAACTTTCGTTTACTTAAAGGACGCATGTTCGTATGTGACCTAGTAATAGTGCATGATTATTCATAACTACTCCGCCGGTAATGCAGAGATGAGCGGAATTGAAAAGCTAGATTCTTATTAAAACTTTAGATTTAAACATCCAGCAGTTAAATGCTTAAAAAAACATTACTATAAAAGCTATTTCTTCTTTCAAATGTTTAATACTTGAAAAAGTATTTATTTGACATTGTGGGTTACCTACAATGCGAAGAGATGACGCTGCCTTGCAGTTTAAGCATAGGAAAAATTTCGACGCGGCCATCAGGGCCGCGGTAGCATAATTGGTCAGTGCATTCGCCCGGATCACAGATCATTATATATCCCGGATTGCGAAGGGTGCGGGATCGAGTCCCGTCTGGTTCGCGTGGATTTTTTTCTATTAAAACTTTTCTTTAGAAATAAATATTATTAAATATTGGTTGTTTTTTAATAAAATAATCTGACGTTTTTTTCACTTAATCTTAGTAAATAAGTTTGATTAAATAAAAACTGTTTTTGGATCACTACCTATTTGGTTTAACTTAGCAGCTATGGCGTCACTAAATGGCGCCCAGTCAGTCCTAATCTTAGTTGAATCGCATTATTCTACTTTTGAAGTGGTTTTTTTACGGTGTCTTACAAATCTAGCCAGTACACCAAAGCGGTAGGCTGAGTTACCAGTCATCGTTTTGTAACTGAAAAATGTGGCCACTTGCAGCAAATTTGAAGAAACTATCTTTAATCCACAGAAAAATGTCGAGGCGTCAATTAAAGTTAAATTGAGATTTAGCAAAATAGCTGCAAAGTGGTCCTTAGAACAAGAACATTTTTTACTATTTTTGATGTGTAACATCTTTCCTCTCGCTTTCCTGCAATTTCTGGGAGTGATTTCGTGAAATGGGACGGAAGTGTGTAATAGGAAGTCGCGAAAGCGCGCGCTATTTGATTTGATTTTAGAACATAATGTTCAAATGGCTTAGTCCTTTTGTAGTAGGTTTTATTTCTTTTTTTACTAATATAAAGGTTTCAAATGTTACACATCATACGCGACTACTGTTAGGCTCGCCCGTTTTTTTTATACCTTTCTAATTTTGCCTTTTTTACACGGAGGTATGTTTTCATAAATATTTTGTTCTTTATTCAGAAAATTATCAAGTTCATTTTAAGTAAGCTAGAGGTACATATGAAAATATTAATTATTGGTTTATTTATTACACATTAATTAGTAAATAAATAAACAAAGATGTTTAAAACCCATAAAACAACAAGCGTAAGTTGGTAGTTAAAACACGAAAAAATATCATTATTCATTCCTTTTTAGCTTGCGAGTGTCGCATAATTTACGCATAGGAGTAGGTACTTATACAGCCATATAATATTAATGTATAATGGTGTTCAAAGTAGGTTATTTAGAGCGACAAATTCAAGCTTCCGTTAATGCGAGGGCGATAGATAACGCAGACAGATGTTTATTTAAAATTATTGCTTTCGTTTATATTAACGAGGTACAGGCCGGAGCAGGGTTTATTTAGGATATTGTATTGGATATAGGTACTTTCGTTTCGTAAAACAAATAACATTATTAATTCGGAAGTAAGATTCTGCTATACCGATCTCAGCGCACCTCAAGTGTGAGTTGCGTTTCGTTTTAACTTTACTACCGCGTTTGAGTTCAGTTGAAATTAGTATGAATAAAATTTGTAGGTAATATATAGGTACCCTAATTAACGTTAAATGGCAGGCGAAGATATTGACAGAGTGGAAAGGCAAAATCGCTTATACACCACTGTGGTCAAAAATGAGTTCCATATATTATTGTAATCAGTTTTTTTGCGTCTATCTGTTTGTCTTGTAGAGATAAGAGCATTTTTTTGGCGCATAAGTAACTCAATAAAATAATAATGGTATATAGTTCATAACACTGAAGTGACATAAATTAATAAATTAACATACATTTTGGTGTTTTTTGAACCAATGGTCGCTTACACCCTACTATTTGCCGTGTGATTTGGCGTTTGCTTGACTAGAAATGTATTGCGGGCCGAGGGATTTTCGCTTAAGCGATATCTAATTCGTAAAGTCAAGGCGCTATGTAAATTTTGAATATAAGGATATACAGAAATATTTTTTTTATAAATATGTTTTTATTTTCATGGTGCTACTTCTCATTTGCATGTATTGTTGGCCGAAGGATTTTCGCTTAAGCGACATCTAATTCGTAAAGTAAAGGTGCTATGTACTTTTGAATAGAAGGATATTTAGATTTTTTTTTGTAATGAATATGTTTTTATTTTCATGGTGCTACTCGTCATTTGCATGTATTGCGGGCCGAGAGATTTCCGCTTAAGCGACATCTTATTCGTAAAGGCACTATGCAACTTTTGCATAGATGCATATTTAGAAAATATTTTTTTATGAATATGTTTTTATTTTCATGGCACTATCAGTCATTTACAATGAGTTATGATTTTTTTGTAAAAAAATAGCTTTGATCCTTGTTTCTGTAAAGTTACTAAAGTGATGATTAAACGATTTTGCTTTATTCACTGACGATATATTTGCCGCACCGGTCATCCACGCCTTCTTAGATTAAACGGTTTAAGCTATGGTGGCCGCTTATCATTAGGCTGCCGTATGCTTGTTTCCCACGCTTCTAACATTAAAAAAATAAAAAATGGTTACTTAAATACAGCGTGTTAGCTCCCAAGTCATATGAATTAAGTATTAATTAATCTACGGCTTTGTTTTGGAGTTCGTTACTTTAACCACGACCAGAGGCGTAAATAGTGTAAGATCGATATTTTGACTACTTGTGGATTAGTTATTAATAGGTTAGTTAACTATTTTTGGATAATTCAGCATTTAATCAAATCAGCCAGTATCAGTATCAATTATGGTAATCTCAGTGTCAGATTCCGACTAAGCAAAGTACTTATAATCTATCTGAAACTATTGATACTAAAGTTTTTTTGCGGGATTCGATCTCGTGACGACATTGTGGGATAGGGATTGCAATCCAGCGAAATTTTCAAACCGGACGAATTCGACCGGATCCGGAACCGGATCGAACAAATAAGGATGATTTTCGCTTTCTCGAGCTTTTTCGCGTCCAAACTGAACTAGGTACTTGTCAATTTTATGTTAGACAATGAGCAAACTAATAAAAAAACTAGTATTAAAATCCATCAGGGCTGCGGTAGCATAATAGTCAGTGCATTCGCCCGGATAGCGAACGGTGCGGGTTCGAGTCCCGTCTGCTGCCTGGTTTCAAGTGATTCGCCACCACATAAGCACACCAAGTGTACTGTACTGTATATATGAAAGTACATACTCATTCAATTGAGCTATTATTTTTCTAAAAAATGCTATCATCGGATATATCGGTGACCGAATCTGTTATATTGGTTCCATGATCTAGTAAACTTTGATGATTACCGGATCCGTTTTTTCAGATTGTAATCCCTATGTAGGTTTAACAGTCATGCAGAGTCGTCAACGATATTTAATGTTTTAATATCGTTGAGGGCCGTAGCCAGAGTTGTATTTAAGATAATTTTCTCATAATGCCCCACTCCCCCGGCTTTGGTCCTCAGTCATGCATGTATTCATCATAAGTAATTCATACATACATTCATAAATTCATCATAAGTTGCATAGATACATTTTTATATAGGTACTTAACCAAATACAAAAATTAATCTCTTTAATTTAAAAACGAAATGCATTTATATGTTTCTGGATACGTGCTAAATATTTTTTTTTGTATTACATAATTAACTTTGCAATAAAAGTAATTAAAAATAAAAGATTTCATTTGTTTTTAACATTTATGGTCATACATATATGTTGTAATTAGCGGGATAACTACCGTGTACCTACCTTATCTTCTGCGAGTCCCCGATATAAGTCGCTAAGCCCCACCTTCCTTAAATTAACATGGTACTTGTGATTTTACAACGCCATTACTCTGTATAATAGTAGTTTAGGCGACTGACATATAAGAAGAGGTATTAAAACACAAGAGTCATTTCTGAAATTCCGAAAACAAAACATAATCGACAGAAAATTGTATGGGAACAGCGGGAAATCAATTTCCTTAGTTTGATTTGAACTTCATTTCCCGCGTGCGCTTCTTTTTTATATTCAACCTAATAGCCTATTATATAGTAATTTATTAAATTAAATTGTAATGTAATGATTAAAAAGTTATTTTACGATACAGCTACCAGTACTTAACAAAACATAGATTTTTATGACAATAAGGTTTATTCAA